ATTCTAGAATTGAAGGAAATTGAAATTCGTGAATTCAAGGGTAATCTCAATTTCCTTCTTTATCAAATTTCTAAATCTGGGTTAGATCTCTAAATCTGAGAGAATTGGGATTGCTGATGAGAAAATTGAATTGTTCAAACAGTTGGTCATAAGATAGTGATCTATTCACAATTGAGAATTCTTTTCCATTGCTTGAAGTCCTTGATATCAATTTTCCTCAATATTATTCTCGTTTTAATCGAAATGGATCTTTAGCTTTGAGATCTTTTTCTGGGGTTAATAGATGAAGGAATTTTTTGAATTGGCGATGAAGGTCAATAGGTTATGTAAGATTGACCTTTCTAGTGATATTTCATAATTGATAAATCTCTTTAGTCTTTATCAGTGAATTGCACTTTATTTAGAGAAGTTGTGATTTCTTAACCAGAATGGTAATAGTTTCATTATGCGCAATTGTGGTAATTTGTGTTCTATTTCTTTGGATAATCTTGGAATTCCTTATATAGATTCATTTTTTCAAGAATCATTTGACTATGGTAAAACTTTATGTGAGCTTGATGTCTCCAATGAATTCTTATGTTTGATTGGAGAAGCTTGTCTTCCGTTAAAGAAGCTAGTTATTTCTCATTGATGTAATTTTACAGTTGTTGGAGTTAGAATATAGAGCGAAACATTTTTTTCTTGCACTCGAGTTATTGATACAAAGAGGGAGAAAAGGATCGCAAGCTGCTTTCTATAAGTAAAACCCTAATTTAGGTAGAAAAGAATAAGGAAAGTTGTTGAAAAATGGAAGGGAAAATTTTCACTAAGAGCCAAGTTGGACAAGATTTTTCCATGTTAGCCTTCATAAATTTGATTAATGCTCCTTTGGGCGACTATCCACGCTCCGCTCTGCCAGTGTGGAGAGGTGCATAACTAATAAAAAAATTAACTTGAGGTGTATAATAAGTCTTCCGCAAAGTTGGGGATGATGTAGGTTATTTTTTGAAAGTTCAAGCGTAAATCTATATGTGTTACAAATTACATTTAGAGATAATGTTAATTTTAGTGTTTGTACTTATCATTTTTTTTTCTATTTTGGTGCTTGAATGAAAAATTATGACAATTAAGTGTCCAAATTTACATTTTTTTTTTCCAATTTGGTATCTCATAATGACATGAACAACCAAAATATCTAATAGGACTAATTGAGACCTGCAGACACCTTTGTGTTTGCTTACGTGGACTAACATTTTTTCATGCAGGCTGACAACGTGACAAAATTAATGAATTGGAGAGCACAAACAAGGACTTAGAGGAAGAAAGGGAGGTTTTGCTCTTTGAATTGTGATTTAGGTTAGATTTTTTGGGGAAAAGGTATTTGGGGTTAACAAAATGGGTAAATGGGTCATTTTATTAAGTTTGCTACGCCGGCAACCTACATAGAAAAATGTCCGTCAACGTAAGTGGATACATAGGCATATATAGGTCCCATTAGTCCCGTTAGATATTCAAGTTGTCCATGATATCAGAAGACACCAAATTAAAATATATATATATATATAAGTTTGGATACTCCATTATCACAATTTTCCGTTCAAACACCAAAGTAGAAAAAAAACGACAATTATATACACAAAAATTAACATTATCCTTTATATTAAATGTACATAAGTACAATAATCAATTTATATATGTGTACAATTATTTTTATTGTACATAAATACAATAATAAATTTATATACATTACATGTCAATTTATTTCTATCGGACATGAGTACAATAATAGATTTGTACATAAGTACAATGATAAACTTATATACATACGTATGTCCACTATCAAAGGACAAACCACTTAGTATATACATGAGTGATGAGTCCAATTCATTGTACTTAGTACGTTATACACGAATTTAAATGTCTGTTTAATAGATTATCTCATAATCATTTGTGATATGCAATTAATTTTTAATTCGTTAAATACGCATTATTTAAATCAGAAATATAATAGATTATTAATTTATCGATTGGTTAACATTTTTCAATTAAAATAATTTGTATAGCTCCAATACTATTAGTTTGTAAAAGTTGTATTATATGCCTTTAAAATATTTGTATTAATAAAATATAAAAAATCTGTTTGGTAAAATTAATTATTTTAATAGTTATTAATTGTGTTAATAGCTATCAGAACATTCATCAAACAATAAAGTAGGTATCGTTTTATAATCCGCTCTTTTAAACTCTAAAACTTGAATAAAAATGCTGTACACCGAATTCTATAGTTAATAAAAATAGTGTATTGACTTAGTCAAAAAGTTCATAAATTTAAGAGGGAGAGAGTTTTTTTTTTTTTTTTTTTTTTTCTATAGTTAGATAAAAATAGTGTTATTGACTTAGTCAAAAAGTTTCAAATAAATTTAAGAGGGAGAGAGTTTTTTTTTTTTTTTTTTTTTTTGGGGAATCCATAGATTTTTTTTTTTTTTTTTTTTTTGGGGAATCCATAGATTTAAGATTAAAAAATATATTATTACAGTATTGACAATTATAAATTTTTTAAAAAAAATTATAAAACTTGTGTTTTTGGGCTGAGAAACACATATGGGCAACTTTATTAGGCCACAAAGGCTGGATGATACAATCAGACAGATATATATCGAGAACTCTATATTTTTGTTGGTGGTGGCCTATTCTCCCTTCTTCTTTCTCAATTTGCTCAAATAAAAAAAAAAAAGGGAAACTATAGTATATTTCAGATTTTTAAATTTTAATTTAAAAAATATCAGTTTGACCAAAATTATTAAAATAATGTCAATTTTAATATGAATTTGCCTAATTACCTTTTAATATAGATCAATTTTCCTTCTTTTGATTAATTTTCTTTTCTCCTCTACCTATCGAATATGTTCTTGTTTTCTCTGCCTCTTCACCACCATGCCAACCGCCTCTGCCGTTTCTCTTATTCTTTCTCTTCTTTTGCTGATCTTCTACGATTTCATTTCTGTTTTTTCACTAAGCCTGCAATCTGGCAACTCGCTAGGCGTGAATGAGTAAAACGTACTAACAGCTTAATCTATATGAAAACACCTTGTCAGAAAACTATCACGGCTATAAATATTATTTATGCTTTGAAGAGACAAATCAGCACTCTCTACAGTTTCGATAGTTTAAGAGATTTAGAGTTAGATCGGGGATTTTGTTTGTAGCAATGGCAAATGATTAGAAATTAATGTTTTGATTTTAAATTCTAATCGAAGTTTATAATGGTTCTGTTTTGATGGATACTTATACTCTTTCATTTTTTATTTCGTTTTTGATTCTGTTTAGATTGATGCTACCTAATTACTTGATTTGATTCAATATGTTAATTTGTATGTATATGTTTACGGTTTATATGTATAGATACCATATTTATTGATCAATTGAAAACTTAACTTTTCAATGTTTGTTGCTTGAAATTATAGATTTTTTTTTTGTTTTACATATATATTTTTTTATATAGTTTCAGTTATGTTCAATGCGTTAATTAATTAAGTTCCGCTGTAATATAGATTCATTACTTTGAAATTTCTTTTTTTATTTTTAACTAAAATTGACGTTATTTTAATTTTTAAAGTTTTTAACATTTTTTCAAACTTGAAGTTTAAAAATCTGACATTTGTTAAGTTGCCGCTAATTTAATTATTATTTAAATAAAATAAATAAGATAATATCAACAACGTATTGGTAATGGTGGCAAACAGTTCCATTCTCATAACAGTGAAAACACAAATTGATTTCAGAAAAATTTAACTACTAAATTGAAATGAGCCGATTCAGTCTAATTTAATTTGACATTTTATATTATTAGTTTTATTTTGATTTTAGAAGAAAAGAAAATCAAAATATTTTAAAATTCAATTTGGGTTTTATTAAATATAAAAAAAACAAGTTCAAATTTAATAAAAATAGTTAAAATTAAATTGAACTAAATCGAATTGGATTAATTTTGTACATTTTATATCTAATAAAATTTTTTTGACATATTTAGTTTATACTAGTTTAATTGAAGACCAAATGCAAATTGAAAAAGACTAATGCATCTTTAGAAGATTGTATATAAATCTATTAGATTATTTTTGAAATACGAAATGCAAATGGAATAAGAAATGAAATGAAATTAGAACGAGAATGGAAATGGAAATGAGTGATTTAATATGCAATATGGAATATATATATATATATATATATATTTAATATTGCAGATATGGAAATATATATATGAATATATATTTTTTTTTTTTCGAAAAATTTATTCCTTGTCTATTCGAAAAACCCCCCAAGAAATTTTTAAATATATATATATATATATTTTTTTTTTTTCGAAAAATTTTTATTCCTTGTCTATTCGAAAAACCCCCCAAGAAATTTTTATTTCTATTCCATTCTTATTCATATTCTCCCTCCTTACTATGCTAATATGAAGAAGAATTTCATTCTCCAATTTATTCCATGCATAATGCAATGTTTGGTACAAAATTGAAAAAATATCAATTGAGTTAATATAATATTTTGCATTAAATGTTATTTAATAATTTATATAAAAATTAAGATTAATAAAATAGTTAACCTTTACTATATTGAACAACAAATTGATATCAGTGCAAACGACTTACGTCCGTTGAGCAAGATGTTTAGTGTTTAGTCATTGTAAATGAAGAAAATCTCCACAGGAGTGCAACCAACTAAATATTAACAAGATCAACAAACTCTATTAGCTACAATAATAAGTTGTATATAAGATCTTAGTATTGTTTATAATATCTAATATATTATTAATATTATCTTTTCGTCGAGATCATCTTTAAGAGAAAAATGTAATACCGCTTCTTTTAATTTTAATTTTGTTATTCTTTTGATTTATTAAAATATCAACAAATTCTATTAGCTCGGTACTAAGTTCTCTCTTATCTATATGAGTATTGGTGATATATTAATTAATAATATATAATAATAATAATGTCATGGTGTAGCATGAAACATGCAATCAAAAAGAGATGCAACTTAGCCCTTACAAATATCTATTTACAGAAAACATAGAGTAGTTTAAACTTTAAAGCAATACTTATCCCTCTAATTATATATAAAAACAGTTTGTAAGGATCAAAACGGCAAAAACTATGCGTTTTTCCGAGTCGTATTGCATTAAACATATTCCATTGTAATTTTTACAGGCAACCAGTGTAGACTCAAGCCCACTTGTCTAGTCAAACAACTCCCAGTCCTGAGTTATTTTTGTGGCAGATTGTATTGGAACTGGGGCGTTCAGGCTTCCAACTCCAGACTCAAATGTCTCCCATCTGGTTGTTACAGAAACTGCATTGCTACAACTTGTCAAGGGGATAGAATTTCTAACCTTTAGATTGTCAAGAGTGTCCACAAAGCTCTGGACACGATGAACCTGTGAAAGAAAATGAAGATTTTGGCATATCATGGCAATTTCACCAACATAAAGATTTCTTAAGTTTTTAGAAATGTGAGCCAATTCTGTTGCGAAATGCAAATCCAAAGCAAAGGAGCGGCTCATGACAGGTAAAAATGCAAATTCAAATAATAGTGATAATAAACAACAGCCCTGCGCTGGTTTATAAAATGAAAAATGCTTATCTACAACGTGCATATACTTCCAGTAAATCTAATAATGCACATGGTACAAACAAGAATATAATTATCATGGTACAAACAAGAATATAAATATATTTTTACTGGGAAAAATAAAAAGACTTCAATAATAATGATTGACAGAACCATTTGCTGGGCTTCTGAGGATGGACTTGCAACTTTTACCAAGGATACTTCTGCAAGAAGATTTACTCAATCTTACTTTCCACATTCAAAGACATGTCAACTACTCTGAAAGCAACCAATCTTGTTTTTACCTTATTGTTTTGTTGTTGGCCAAGGAAAAAGCAATTCTAGTAATGCTCCAATAAGAATTACACAATAGCGATGATATATTTGAACGAATACCTTTAATCAGACCTACTATGGGCTCCATATTACACCTATATGGGGATTTCAATCATTTCATTTCATTTACCAGCATTATTGTACTTTTTCACAAAGTGGGGAACCTCACTTTTGTCCTTTTAGGCATAAGAAGAGTAAGGATCTCTCACTGCTATGTTGAAAGTTATAAATAGTAAACCAGGAATAAGTCTCCTTTAGAATGAGTTAATGTTAGATAATCTAAGAAAACTACAAATTAAAGAAATAATTGAGATAGTAGAGGAATAATGGTCAATAACCTCAATCCGCCTCTGCTTTTTTGCTTCTCCATCAGCCTGAATTGCATCCAATTTAAGTAACTCTACCATAAGCAACTCTGTTAAGACAACAAATTCCTTATCTGCAACTTGGGAACCATTGTGAATAATTTTCTCCAAAGTGAGAACCTGAAATCAAATTAAACCCAAAAAGCCATAAACAGATTGACAACTGATAAGTTTCTTGATTATGACAATGAAATATTTCAATTGCATCTCAAAAGGTAGTTGTTAACCTTCTGTGAGAGCTTATCAACCTCTGCTCTTACTTTGGCAACTTCTTCATAGGCTTTTAACATTCCTTGATTTCTTTTCATCTCCTCAAGCTTCCTCTCTTTGCAAGCAGGGTCCTCAAGTAGTATCACCTTTGACATGTCTTTTACACCTACCATGTGCAAACATTCATTGTCCTCCTTTTCCTTCCCTCTAAATAACAATCTTTGCTCCTTGGACTCTAAACCAGTTTCTTGGACAAGAACCTTTTTCAAATCCCCTTCCATTGCAACAAAAACAGCAATTGAAAAATCACAAATAATAAATTGAAATTTCCATAACTCAATAAAAATTCTAATTGTGTCTAAGAAACAACAGAAACAATCATGATTAGCTAATCCATTGCACATGACCCGATTCCTTCCGAAATGCATTAGAACACAATTGGGTATCTATTACCCTTCTGAACAAAATCAAAAGCCAAGTAAAATCCGAAGAACGATAAAATGACATATGGCATTTTCATCTAAAATGCATAAAATAGAGCATAATTGCATAGAAAATCTTCAATTACCAAAAGTGGATTGAGCAGGGACAGTGATTTCGTAGTGATAGGAATAGTGAGAAACCTTGATCTTGATCATAGGCCCAAAAGGGTCATCCCCAACCTCTCTCTTCTGAACAAGCATGCCACCAGGCCTAACCTCCCAGTCTATTTTCCTAAAGCTGAAACTGCTATTTTCTGAACGTTTAGGGACTGATTTTTTCATGGTAAAGAAATGGACAGTAGATGCATAAATTAGGGATTGAAAGGAATCTTTTTTTTCAAAAAAAAAAAAAAGAAATTGAAAAAGGTGAGGATGGTCGAGAGAGTGGAGCAACAGGTGGAAACGAAACTTGAAGGGAAAACAAGGTGGACAGTAAGCAAGCAAAGTGGCTTTTCAGAGTTGGGACAGAGACCCCTCAACTGATTTTCGAGTACAGAGGTTGGTAGGCTATACATTATTATAATCAAACTTTGGTATATTATATTATATTATTATATTTATATATAAGCCGAAGCAAAGTGAAATTTCCAACTCTTCCTTTATTCAACATATTATTTTTATTTTGTTAGAAATTTTGAAATTTTCTTTATTTTTGTGTTTGGGGCTAATGTTATGGGTTTATCATATTACTATTTTAGTCTTTAAATCTGATGCATCAAAACAAAAGACACATGGTGCAATTACACTTTCTATTTTTATAAAGTCTGTTCTATTTGTTCTTTTTTTTTCCTATTTATTCTTTTATTTATTTTTCTTTTAAGTTTTCTTTTTTATTCGCGAAAAAATATGGAGTCGTGATTGGTTGTCTATCTAACCAATTACCAACATTGGAGGTGGCAAGTGCAAAATAGAGTGCAGACGAAAAGCCCTAACAATTGGATCAGTGAAGGAGCCGCGATCAAGGTAACCTTTTTTATTTTTCATTTTAATTCTTTTTTTATCTTTTGTTTTAATTTGATTATTGTTATGTGTTCAGTATTCGTAATCAAATAGCTCTAGAATTAACCTTACAAATTAATGTGAAACCAGCTCTCAAGTTCTCCTTCTTCCCTAATCCCTGTGAAGGGCTTACCTTTATTGCATATCATGTTTGTTCCTAAAAATTTTTTAGGATTACCTACTATACGAATTAATTTTAACAAGATAATATTCCTTTAAGGCTATCTCATCTCCTATTTGTTATTTGTTATTCTAGCTTATAAAATCAATACTTTTCATATTTGTTTTTCAAGATTCAGACATCTTAGGAAAACAAAAGATTCAAATTAGGTAACCATGGCCTGACAATATAGTAACAAAACAAGTAAGGTGGAGAATATGTTTTTGGTTTAATGTATGTAGTTACAAATTTAATTTTAATTATATATAATTCTGATAAATAAAATATATATTATTAGAAAATTCTAATATAATTAGGATGCATTGGAGAGCCATTTTTAAAATTTAATATTTACAAATACATATTCAACTACATCACCATCTATAACTTCTATTTATTAAGACACATCAATTACAATCTATAGTTGCATTGGAGATGCTCTCAGTCGTTGCTAGGATGTGAATTTTGTATTTTTCGTACTCATTGATTAAATATTAGTGATTTCACAATTACTATAGGATGTGGATTTCTGCCTCTTAAGAAATAGGGGAAAAAAAGTCTCCCTAAATAATAGTCATATTTACACATTCCTCCTTCAATGTTTTGGAATTGACTTTAGTATCCCTAATTTTTATTTCCGTTACTTAAACACATCCTTCCATCCAAAATTACTCAAATTTCCATCGAATGGCAAATAAAATCACCATACTAACTTTTATAATATACATAATTTTCTTAACAATTCATTTCTTCTATTCCTCCATCTCTCTCCTTCAATCCTCCATAGAAACTAAGAATCCATTTTTTTTTTTCAACCTTTCCGATCACCAAATTTGTCTCTGATCGATGATCGTCAATCAAGTCATCTTCCAGCATAAACATTGCTTGTGATGGCCGTGACAACACTTCTGGCTATGGAATTTTACTGTAAGCATTGCCATGAACAGAGTAATCCAGCTCAATGGCGATTCCATGACCGACAATGTTTCCATTGGTGTAGAGATCAGGATGAGAAACAAGCGAGCCATTAATAGTATAGTTGAAAATGGAACTATGAGTTAAGAGTATGGATTCACCGGCAAGAAACGTTGGAAGGCAAGAATAAAGCTTGAATTAACCAAGATCGGCGAAGGAGAGACGCTGAGGCACAATATGGTAAGGGAATATGTAAGGGTCAATAGTGATAGTGGTGGCGATAAGTGAATAAGAATCATCTGCGGGAATAAAGAGAGTGGCGAAGATAGGGAGCCTGTAACGCCCCATTTTTCTGTGTCTGAAATAGTAAGTTACCTGTGACATTCTACTGAATCGAGTCGTTGCATAGAGTCGAGTCGAGCTGACCCAAAACCCAGTTCGAGCCATTGGATTCCAGAGTGGGGTAGAATGAGATGTAACTGAAATAATGAAAAGAAGTGGACTTACTTAAATGAAGCAAAAAAATCAAAGTATAAGGATTAGGACTTACTTGCACTAAAAGATCAAGTGTAGGTATTAAGTTATAACCTATTGACAATTGAGGTACCATTTGCTAATTTTTCACATACAATCAATGATATTTTGGAGTCTACCCGAGACTTTCATTTCACTTTTCCATTTTTATCTTTATCTTCTTCATCTCCTTTACTCACCTTCTTTCTCCACCTTCTTCATCTTGATCTTCATCAATTTTAAATGTTATTCAAGCATTAAATTCAATCTCTATTTTATCCAAGTAAGTAAAATTTCTTGAAGCTCTATTTTATTCAACCTAGTAAAATTTCTTGAAGCTCTATTTTATTCAACCTCTAATTTAGTGATATTTTAGATTATTCATAAGAGTTCTGATGTATAGGAGAGGTGAGCTCAAAGAAAGTTAGATGATTAATAATATCATTGTTGAGTGAAAATTTGGGCCCACCCAAGTCTGGATAAGTATTTCTTAATCCGATGTATGATTAGGTATGAAATATGCCCACAAAACGTGCTCCTAACCAAAAAAGAGAGCGTTTTGGATATAAGCAAAGAAGCCATCAAAACCGCGTGATTATTACACCCATCACGAACCCCGCCCCCTGCGACTCCCAAAAAGGAGAGACGCTGAGGGCCGAATAAACAGAAGCAAGAGCCTAAATACATTGGGAAATAAATCTGGGGTATACTATCTTAAGGGTCTTATATAGCCGAGGTATGTCCTCATGGTAAGCAACCTCTTCTATGCCGGAATGCCCCAGTGCCAGGTGATTTCCCTGGAGACGATAAGATCCCAAGAATTTCAAGAGAGAAAGAGTGACAATCTGCGTGGATCAGAATGTGTGAGAAAGAGTAAACTGAGAGTGGCGGAAGATAGGGAGCCTGGTAAGGCTCCGCCCATCTTTTTCACTCCTGCGGTGATTATCCCGTTATAGCAATATAGGCCTACAGTACACATGATTTGACATTCTACTTGACATTTCGAGATGTAGCGGAATTTTGGCCACACAATTAAAATAGCCCAAGGTAAAAGAGAATAAAACACCGCGATCTGTTGCCTGTATGATGCTCTCCGTACATGTTAGACCCGAGGTTCACTAACCGAAAGGCCAATGCGCTTCCACTTCACAAGTCTAGTGGGGTGAAACGTAGATTTGAGGGCTTGCGCGAGTCCCTTAAGAATGAGATGTAAAGATCTGGACCACTGATACCCAATAAATTAGGAAAAAGAAAAAAGGAGCAAAGGTCGAAATTCTTTTCTTTATCCTTAAAATGATCATATGCAAAGATATGATGAATCATTCACAGGGTTCAGTACAAAGGTTTATACCAGATAGTATATGAGAGAAATGTGCTCTCTATCTTCGGGCGTACTTTATAAGAAAATAGAACAATGAAAGATAGAGTCATTTTTTAAGTCTACAGAAAGGCGCACATAATTCCGACCACCTAGGCAAAGTTTCCCATAGCTCCGGAAGCAATCAACACCTTTGTTTAGGAACTTCTTGTAGTTTAGAATCCTGCCAAAAAGTTTTCAGAATGCCCTTCTGGTTAGGCTACATGAGATAAAGATGGCTGCAAACTTGTAATTTCCTAATACTACATAAACCTTATATCAAGCCTGAAGATGGAATATTTTGGAGGAGTGCTAACGCCCGATTCCCTGCCACAGAAGGTCAAGAGACTGTTACATTCACCTCCATTTTTATCTTTATCTTCTTAAGCTAATAACTTGTTCTCATTGCTACTGCACCTTCACCTTTCTCCACCTTCTTACATCTTGATCTTCATCAATTTTAAATGTTATTCAAGCCATTAAATTCAATCCTCTTATTTGTAAATTACCAATAGTAAGGTGATAAAAATCCCTAATCCCCTAGAAGCTCTACCAGTTGTTTAAATCCCTCCAACAAAGCAACAATAAGAAACCTCCTCTTGACAGGCTCTATTTAATTTGTTATTCCGTAACCGTCCTAAATTTCTTTGTAGTGGCACCATGAGTTCGCTAAAACCATCAGTTATTCATAAGAGTTCTTGATGGATATGTAAACCGAGAGACAGGGCCTGAAGACCTCATAAGGCGACGTTAGAAATGAATACTGTAAGACAGGAAGCCTAAACACAAAAGAAAGATAGAGAAAGATTGGGGTGAGTGAGTGAAGATGTTTATTACTCGTGCTTCATTGCGAACATAAGATTTATTTAGGTAAAGATAATGGTAGGCGAATAAAACACAATTAGTGGAGAGGTCTTCCAATATTGACAAAAGTTAAATTAACCCTTGAGCTTATTCAATACTATTTATAATGCAATAATGAGTCCAAGAAATGGGAATCCACTCCAAACAGCCTGAACAAGCAAATCGATGACACAAAAGATATATGCGAATGCCCCACGCACACATAGAATTTCCGTAAAGCATCCCTCAGGTAAACGCCAATACGAATGTAATTTCAGGGAATTGGAGTATTTCAATGTGTGCTTGATTAACTCGAGAAAAATGTGGTGAATGCCTATTACAGATGATCCCTAAAATGCCCACCGAAAAGTTATACCAATCCAAGGCCGTTGATCATTTTTGGCCAACTGTATCTTATATAGAATAGGAGAGGTGAGCTCAAAGGTAGAAGAAAAAGGAAGCTAAGAAGAAGATTTATATAGTGTTATTGTGTTATGATGATTATTTGGAGATGGTGGAAACTTGGAGTTTAATTGAAAGTGTTTTGTATTCATATTTAGCATGCAGGATGATATCAACATGACAGGACATAAGTTCAATCAGATTGTAGCGCCTCGGCTCGATTCAGGTTAATGGTGGACTGGGAAGGAATGTTACAGAGCCTCGAGGGATCTGCCACCGAAAGGATGTTGGCCCAAATGTTGAAGTCTCCGGCACCAGTTAGGGCTTCAATTATGTTGTTGAGTTGTTAGCAATAGCCATGGTGTTTAAGCCGTGGCGCCGGTGGTACAGTGATGACGGTGGTGATGGTGCCGATGGTGCCATGAGGAGTAAACGCTGGTGAAGGGGCGGGAGAGCAAATTGCAGAGGTATTGGAGGTGGATTTGGGAGTTACGGCAGGAGTAGGAGCTGGCAAAGGTGTAGGAGCAAGAATGGGGGTGGCAGTGGTGTTTGGAGCTGGCAAAGGTGTAGGAAAATGGAGATTTCTTAATTTTGGTTTTCAATAATTTTTTATGGTTTCAATTTGAACCGGTTCAATTAGCAAATTCTATAAGGGTAGAATTGTCTTTTTTTTCTCTTTCCTTTGACCTTAATTTATGAGGTAGACTAACAGAAAAGTAGGCTGATTTTGGATGGTGGGAGTTATTTGTGTAATGACTATTAATTTAGGAAGGCGTGTGTTAGTTCCAAAATGTTGAATGAGGCATGTGTAAATATGATTATAATTCAGGGAGGTATTTTTTTTCTCCTATGAAATATTTCTATACATTTTACACATCTCTTTTAATTCTTTTACAAGTACTGGTGGAGTGGTAGCTGTGATGATAATACAATTTATTGATGGCGATGATGTATTACCTACATTATATATCTATAAATAAATACAAAAGTAGAATAATGATTATATTTTATAAATTTTTTCAATTAATACAATTTATTGATGGCGATGATGTATTACCTACATTATATATCTATAAATAAATACAAAAGTAGAATAATGATTATATTTTATAAATTTTTTCAATTACATGTCCAAACATAGCAACAGATTGTCAATTACATTTTATTACAATATGGTTTTCTCATTGCATCACATTTTTTATTACATTACATTATATCTATCTAACCAAACATAGCCTCATTACATTATATCTATCTAACCAAACATAGCCTCATTACATAGGTGATTTCAAACACAAGATTTATTAGTAAAATGGCATTTTTTTTTTTTTTTTACAATTCCATGACAACATTGGTAGAATCTTATATATGACCATATATAACTCATTTATTCTGTCTTAGAAATCAATTTATTGGGCCAATTAAAAAATGCACGGCCCACGAAATTATTAGGACCTAGAAGTATTTTTCTTAGCCATGAATTAGTTGGATAAATCATATTAAGAATAACATCATTTATTTTTTAAAAATAAAGATAAATAATTAATTATGATAAAAATATAAAGACAAAATAGTAATTATACGAATTTCTTTTCTCCTTCTCCCTTCTGCTGTACGCGGATTTGAGGAGTGATTTGGTGTTTACTTTCTGTACTAAACTGGGGCAAAACCGGAATCGATGCCAGAAGTGGAGAAAGGGCAATCAGTTCGCACGCAGTCTTTGGCAAATCAACGCTTCGATCTCTAAGTTAATTGTAATTTAAATTTGATGTTTGATACTTTATATGATCTTTAACTCTCGGTTTGTTTGGATTTTGCATCTCCTCTCAGAAAATCCCATTAGGCCCCTTTCGTTATCTTCTCAGAATTCTATAAACGGATTCATGTCAGCGCCAAACGAGGATAACGTTTCTCCCCATAGTCAGGTATATTTTAATTTTCTAATTTTGTCGAATTTCACTTTCACCAGCTTTCATGAAATATACGAATTTGTGTGTTTTGCTATCGTTTTGATTCCCATTTAAAGTAAAAGGGATCTTGTTAATTATCTCACTTGTGAACAATTTAGAGAAACAGATGGGAAGAACAAAATAAAACAATCTTAGCTTTGATTGTTGTTTATTCCTTGCCATGGATTGATTTGTTCTAATGGAAATGAAATGGCCTAATCAATATATTAATTTACTCCAAAATTTGAGACTTTTTGCAATTCTAATCAACAGTTTCAACCTCCTTTCCATAGTGATCTCAATATCACTTTCTCTGCCTCTGTAACCTCTAGTTGCTTCTAAATTTGGAGTTCTCCATCATTCCTGTGTTATTTTCCTCTCACATCTTGATCCAAGTTTAGGCAAAGAGAAAATAATAAGTCCTCTGCGAGGGATTTTTTATTGGATTACGTATTGATGGTTTGAATTCACTGCTTCAAAAACTCTAAATGACAATGAGAAATATTAAAGAAGGCATTGTTGGGTGTTTGTGCTTCTAGCATTGGGTGATATATTTGAATTCTTGCATTTTTGATGTTGTTTTGGTGTGATTGTATGGAGTTGGAAAGATATGAAGGAGGTGAAAGAGTTGAAGTGAGTTGGATGTGTGATGCATGGATTTTGAAGATTCTGGGTTTGACATAATGGTTTTAGCTCCTTAGCTAAATACATGTGTCATATAGCTAAATATATGTATCATTTTGTGTATCTAACTTCTTGCTTCTGGTGATGCGAGTGTGTGAAGTTTTCATAGCAAAAATTCTTATGGTGGTTTTTTACTGTAGCAATACCGTTCAGCTGCTGAAATTTATTAGTTTCTTCTGTTGTGTAGCAGTTGCTCCAGCTATTCTTGGCTAATATTCTCTCTTCTAATTTCATCTATAACATTCATCGTCAATCTAGCTATTCATCGTCAATCTAGTTATCTGCATAGGAATTAAGTTTTGTTTTTGCTGGGAAAGATAGAAAGATAGAGCAACTTAACCCAAAGTAATCGACCATTAGTTTCGTTAATGTTTGAGACCCATTTATTTTGTTCTTTTTAATGCAACATGTATGCCTCTGAGGAGTCAGAGAGCTATTTTGTCTGACCATTAAGTGTCTGTGGTACAGTTGATACTAATTTTGGGAATTCAAGTGGAAATTAAATAAAAACTGCATAGGATATAAATTCAAAAAGTCGCAGAGATTGGGATAAATTTGATGGTTAGTCTAAGTGAAATTTATGTAACTAAGATAAGCAGCTCCTTTGGCCTTTTTCAAATATCCTCTGACTTGCATGTTCATTTGTATTGAGATGTATTTTACTATTTACATATATAATATATAATAGATGATTTTTTCTTTATACAGCTTTCGTCCCATTTTTTTGGGGACCTCCTCGATTCCATAATTGTTGATGTGGCCTCTGAGTGTCACCGAATAGCAAAGTTGGGACTTGATCGCAACTTAGAGGAAGAGGAAGAAGAATTGAGGCTGTCAACACAAGCCCGTGTTAGGGTAGCTGATCCTAGTATTAGTGGTGAAACAAATGGCAAGTATGTTGTCGACATTTTTGGACAAACCCATCCGGCTGTTGCAAATGAAGTTTTCGATTGCATGAATTGCGGGCGATCCATCGTGGCTGGAAGGTTTGCTCCTCATTTAGAAAAGTGCATGGGAAAGGTGATCCTCTAATTCTTAAATGTGCTAGTATTAGGGTATATTCCCAACTCTTTCTCATGATAGATTTGTTTTTTGGTCAAGGACCATGATATGGGCTGGCACTAGTAGTTGGTTATTATTTGATTGGATATTATGCTTGGCATAATTCTTCAATTTCCATTTTGTGTGAAGCCCCCCTATTTTATGCTCATGTTATTTTTTGTGACATTATGTGTTACATCATCAATGTGCTTTTGGATTCCGCTCTAGGGTAGGAAGGCTCGTCTCAAAACAACCAGAAGTAGCACATCTGCACAGAACCGGTACTCGCGAGGAAGCCCTGTTTCCACATACTCTCCTTATTCAAATTCATCCAGCACAAACCGGTTACCAAATGGAACGCCTGGTCTTGCAGGTGAAGAGTATTCAAATGGCACTTTGGAGGAGCCATGAGACACAATTTTACGCAGGTAGGCTGACAAGTCATACTGAAGCAAACCCTAGAAAGGGGTTGCTGACAGGCAAATCAAACTGAAGAATCATAGCCCAAGTTTCTTTCAACTGCAGATTTTGCATCTTATTTCTCATGTGGATCTCCTATTTGCTTGCAGCATTCATGCCTGTTTATGAGATCTGAAGCTTTGTAGAAGGGTTGGCAAAGATTACATTCCACAGATTCCAAGTTTTACAAGCTTAGCAATGAAGTGCACCAACAAAAATCTCACGCATGAATTGTTCATCGGGAGCAAAATCGGCCCAGCATCAATCACCTGCTAGTTACTTGTCTTTTTCTTGTAATTCACTTGGCATCATTTCCTTTCAGTAAATTTGCCATTCATTTACTCTTACCACAAGCTATGCTGCTCCTAAGTTCATCTGATCTTAGGTTCTGTTGTAAAGGTTGCATTGGAAATACTGTGATGGTGCTATTTTAAAGAGTCAAATTTGACTGGAAAAACCTAACAAGATTTTGAGTAGTAAAATTTTAAATTACCTGGAGTTTATATTGGTAAATTAACTTGCAATTTCCCTTTTCCTTTTGATGTGACAATGTGGAGTTATGCTCTAAAAACAAATTGGAATTGGCAAATATTAGAAAATGAATTTGCTTGCAGCATAAGAAATTTCAGAAATAGAAAAGAAGAAACAAAAATAAGTTGTATATCACCAGGATATGTAAGTTGTTTCAATTTTTACTGTTTTTTATATAATTTGTTTTGAGCATAAGTTTTTTAAATAATTTTTTTGTTTCAATATTTTCTAATGGTTTCAATTTCTCTCAATTGTTATATCTCACTTCTTATTCAAGATTAACATTGGTAATAAAAATTATATTTATTATTTATTCAATAAATTTATCTTTTTATATTATAGAATCTTCTCAAAGTAAATATTTTGGTCTTATTCATAGAAATAATTCTATTCAATATTTTTACCTTTTTATCTTAAGGTTAAAAAAATATTTATTAAATCTATCGTGTGAAATCTATTGAAAAATCACTCCAATATTAATTATTATTATTATTATCATTTAAATGATATCATTATTAAAAAGTATTTATTGTTTATTTTATTATAACATAAAACTATTGTTACATTGAATTAATATTTTTTTTTTATTTTAACAGATTTTATTAGAACCCAAATTACAAATTTTGATCTAAACTGGTCATGATTCCACGCTTCGAGCGCGGTATTTATATATTACTTGATAATTGTTATAATTGAATTATTTGATAAATTTTTAATTTATAATTTTGTATTGAAAATTTTTTTATTAAAAAGAATAATTAATCTCAATATTTAATCATAAATGGATGAACATTTAAAATTTTAAAAAAATTATTAATTAAAATTTTTAATCCAAATTTAACATAATACAAATGATTGATATTTTTTTCATAATAATTTAGGTAGATTATGAATCTAAATTTGAAATAGATATTATAAATTTAAATTTAAATTTTAAAACTGTAAAATTATGCTGGCATTAAATTGGAATCAAAATTATAGTCCGAGCACCTTTCGAATCTGAACGAATACTAATCTGTATGCTTGTATGGAAGCATTTCCTTATGATTTCCTTATGATTTTATTTATTTTATTTCCTGCATTTTTTTTGTATGGAAGCACATCAATGCTCTAAAAACATGGGTGGGCTGTCTTAAAAATTATAATGGTATAGGTGATTAATGTAATTGGAGCAAAGTAGCAAACACCATTGGCAGACAGAGAAGACATCAATACATGATAAACGTTAATCAGGATAAACTAATTTTAAGATAAGACTGAAAATAGAGTCCAACACTAAAATTATTATAAAATTAAAAAATTAATTAAATTGACCAATCAAAGTACAGAAAAATAAAGTAAAAAAGCTAAAATTTTATAAAAAAAAGAATATTAGAAAGTTGAATAAACAACGCCATAAAGATTATCTTTGGTTCCGCCAAATAGGCATGGCCACCGGTTCGGTTCTAACCGGAACCGAACCGGAACCGAACCGTACTGTAGACGAACCGGAACCGGATCGAAACCGGCGGTTCGGCCACCGGTTCGGTTCTAACCGGAACCGGACCGGGAACCGAACCGTAACTGTAGACGAACCGGAACCGGATCGAAACCGAGGCGGTTCATAATTTTGAACCCGGACCGTGGCGGTTCAAAAGGTGGCAGTAGGTCCATGTGAATGTTAAAATATAACCGGAACGCGGGTCCCAGGAACCGGCGGTGAACCTGTGCGGTCCGGTCGGTTCGAAACCGGATACACAAAAAAAATTATAGCTTAAATTTTTATAAAAAAATTTTATATCATTGATTTTATTGTAGTTGCCTTTGATTTAATGGTGAAGAGAAGGTAAAATGGTTAAAATATAAGTATAAAAAGTTGTGAAAAAAATACACATTTTTTACTTAATTTATATAAAAAATGGTAACATGAATAAGTTGATTTATCATAAAAAAATACTTTTCATGGTACAAAACAGAAGTGGTAACGGGATAGTTTTTTGATATGAAGGTTGTTATTTTATTTATTTTTGGTAAATAAATTTTAATTCATTTTAATCATTTATTTATTATTTACTGTATTGGTACTAAATAATATAAGGGAACAATTTGGAAAACTAATAATGAGACACAGTATACATAATGATGAGTTGATGATTTTTTTTTCATGAATCAATTATATCCTAACTCTTCTCTTATTCTCAATAAAAATTTTCACAAATTTCCATAGTTCAATTATTTTTTTTATCTTGCTTTTATTTTCCCTTAATGTGGAATTATCTATTGTTAATTTTTTTATTTTTTTACATCTCAATTCCAAAGTCTTTTCTCTTAATACTCAAAATTTTTCCATTTCATAAATTCTTCATTGTTTTTTTAAATAATTTTCTTATATTTGAAAATAATAAATTTCCAACTCAATTCCATTTTAATTTTATAATTCCATTTATTAGTTTTTTATTTTAGTAAATTTAAGCAAAATGTTGATAAAATTTAATGTAGAATATAGTTCTAAGTTAGTTAATAGATGTTTTTTCTTTTAAAAATTTTATATATTATTATTTTAGTTAATAAAATTTGAAACTTTAAATTTATTATTTATTCAATGGAAATTTCGGAATCAAAATTTTATTATTTTTTTAACAAAATTTGCGTAATGCCGGATAACCGAATCGGAACCGTTAATTGACCGTCGGTTTCACCGGAACCGTGCTTGACCGTGCCAGGAACCGGAACCGGACCGGAAACCGAGGTTCAAGGTTTTCGTTCCGGGTCAAAAATTTTAAAACATCTCCGAACCGGCGGTTCAGTGAATCGGTTCCGGTTCAAAATTTTAAACATCTCGAACCGGCGGTTCAGTGAACCGGAACCGGCGGTTCACTGAACCGGCCATGCCTACCGCCAAAGCATATATATATAAAAATTAGCAATAAAATACAATAGAGTGGGCCCACAAATCACAGTTGTGGTTCACTCGCCCAAGTTCAAACCCACAGCAAAACGCTGCGTTTCATCTCAGTCTCGATCCTTCTCCAAAACCCTCTCGCTGTCGATAAACCCTAGCATTAATCCTATTGTAAAACAATCAAACAATCAAATCCCTTTCAAGCTTTATTATCAACTTTTCTTGGTGATTTTTTTTTTTCTTGGTTTTGTTGAAGGCATCTCTCACCAAAACCAGAAGAAAAAAAAAAAATTAATCAGAATGGATAAGCGGGTTCGTTTTATTTCAAAATTCTCTCTTCTTGCCACAAACAAACACAAAAATCTCATCTTTTCTCGTCGGTTATCCTCAGCGCCTACTCACTCATTTGAACAAACCCCACAAAGCGAAAATCCACCGAGTTTTAGCAAAGATTATGAGCGCTGTGAACAAGTAAACAAACTTAAAGATCTCCTTGAACAAGGCTGCACAGATGCCGCATATAGCCTTACCAAATCTCTTATTCTTTCAAAATCATCATTTTCTTCTCCCTCTGATCTTTTCTGTTGCTTCTCTGCATCTACTCCTCTTTTACAACTCGTTTTCTCGGATTTGTTATTTTCTGTTTGTTGTGAGTCAAAAATGCTAAGTGAAGCTACAGAATTGTACCATTTGATTAGGAGAGATGGTAAGTTTCCTGCTCTTGGGTCTTTGAATATGTTACTAAGATCTTTGGTTGATTTTAAGCAATTTGATAAGGTTATTGAGTTGTTCATGGAGATACAAGATTCGGGTTTTAGGCCGGATAAAATGACGTATGGGAAAGCCGTGCAGGCTGCTGTGAAATTGGGGGATGTAAATAAAGGTATAGAATTGTTGGAATCTATGACAAAGAGAGGAATAAGACCTAATGTGTTCATTTACAATGTTTTGATTGGTGGGTTGTGTAAAGAGAGGAGAATAGGAGATGCAGAGAAGCTTTTTGATGAAATGTATAAGCGGAAGTTGGTGGGGAGTACTGTGACTTATAATTCGCTTATTGATGGATATTGTAAGGTAGGGGAGGTAGATAAAGCATTTAATTTGAGAGAAAGGATGAAGAAAGAGAATGTGGAGATGAATCTTATTACTTTCAATTCATTGCTTAATGGGCTGTGTAAGGCACAGAGAATGGAGGAGGCAAGAATGATATTGAAGGAGATGGAAGCAGTTGGCTTTGTGCCTGATGGGTTTACTTATAGTATAATTTTTGATGGGTTATTGAGGTCTGGTGATGACAAAGGTGCCATTTATTTGTATGAGAAAGCCATTGGAAAAGGAATTAGTATTAGTAATTATACTGGTAGTATTTTGTTGAATGGGTTATGTAAAGAAGGCAAAGTTGAGAAAGCAGAGGAAGTTTTAAAGAGGCTTACAGAAAATGGATTTGCTCCAAATGAGGTTATATATAATAATATATTGAATGGGTACTGTCGAATAGGTGATATGGATAAAGCCATTTGGACTATTGAGCAAATGGAAAGTCTGGGGTTGAAGCCGAATTACATTACTTTTAATACTCTGATTGATAAGTTTAGTGAAATGCAGAAGATGGATGAGGCAGAAGAATGGTTAAAGAAGATGGCAGAGAAGGGAGTTGCACCGACTGTGGAGACATATAACATCCTTATTGGTGGCTATGGATCACTCTGCACTTTTGATAGGTGTTTCCAGATTCTTGAAGAAATGGAAAAGATTGGTGTAAAACCAAATGCTGTAAGCTTTGGTTCCCTTATACATTGTTTATGCAAAGATGGAAAGATTCTTGAGGCTGAAATTGTCCTTCAGGATATGATTGGCAGAGGGGTTTTGCCTAATGTGCGGATATACAATATGCTTATTGATGGGAGTTGTATGATGGGGAAATTGAAAGATGCTTTCAGGTTCTTTGATGAGATGATGGGAAGTGAAATAAGTCCAACCCTTGTAACATATAATGCAATCATTAATGGGCTCTGCAAAAAGGGAAGGTTAACAGAAGCTGAAGATATGCTTCTTCAAATTACTAGGAATGGTCTTAGTCCTGATGTGATCACATACAACTCATTAATCTCAGGATATGCAAATGGAGGGAATGGACTGAAATGTCTTGAGCTATATGAAACCATGAAGAAGTGGAGCATAAAACCTACCATAAAGACATTTCATCCACTAATCTCTGGATGCAGCAAGGAAGGGATAGAGCTTGTAGAGACTCTGTTCGCTGAAATGTTACAGATGAATTTGATTCCTGATCGAGTTGTGTATAATGCAGTGATTCACAGCCATGCTGAGGCTGGAGATGTTCAAAAGGCACACGCTTTGCACCTTGAGATGCTAGACCGAGGAATTCTTCCAGACATGATGACTTATAACAGTTTGATTGTGTGTCATTTCAGAGAGGGAAAGTTGCCACAAATAAAGGATCTTGTTGACAATATGAAGTCTAAAAGCTTGGGCCCTAAAGCTGCTACATATAACCTTTTGGTTAAGGGATATTGTAACCTAAAGGATTTTAATGGAGCATATGTTTGGTATAAAGAAATGTTCGAGAATAATTTCCTTCCTGATGCCAGCGTTTGCAATGAACTTATTTCTGGCCTTAAACAGCAGGGAAGGTTGCAAGAAGCAGAAATTATATCCTCAGAAATGAGTGTTAAAGGAATGAACAATTTGAGCTCAATTGAGGAGCTATATTCTATTGCCAAAATTTAAGAGTGAGATGCTTGGTACTATTATAATTTGGCTTTTTTTTTTTTTTTTTTATTGCCAAAATTTAAGAGTGAGAATGCTTGGTACTTTTAATTGGGCTTTTTTTTTTTTTTTTTGTGTATAGAAAAGGGTTGTGAGTAATCATTATTATTATGAATATGAATGCATTAGCAGCTATTTTTGTCGTCGGTGACTTTACTAAGTGAGTGGGTTTCTTTCTGGGTTGTTTTTGCAGTGAATTCTGATGAGTGCTTGATGACAAGAATGCCAGAATTGTCTTTGGATTACCATTTTACTGCTGGGCAAGAAGTGGGCTCCTCTTATGCTTTCTTTGGCTTCGGTGACAGACTAATTAACTTCTAATAATTAATTTACTATACCTAACGGTTCAATACTGCTCAATTTGAAACCAAATGACTCTTTCTTTAGAAAATGAAATGGATTTGAGAGAGGCCTCAAGTCAAAGTCATGGCCTCATTTTTTTGCTATATAGTAAAATTTTGTTATGCAATGCCAAACAAGACCTTAATATTTTACTCTTATTAGTTTTTGTAGGATACAAAAATATTTTACCTCATTTTTCTTTTCTTTTTTTTTTTGAGAATAATTTTTAAAGATTATTATGTTAATAATGAATTTTTGCACCCAATGAAGCTGGAGGCTGAAAAAGGATCGGACAACAGTTGATGATATGAACTTCAAGCCAGACTCAAAGGCTGGAAACTTTTGTACCTTGATTCTCTTAAGGTAATTATAACCCTTAATCATTGAATAATCTACAATATATATAACTATATGGATATAAGAAAATTTGTAAATTAATTAAAAAAGACATAGGTATAATTGATAGTTATAAAAAAGATTATTAATAATTTTTTATTAAAAAGATCATGTCCTTAAAGTTTTAGAATAATCTATAGGTGAAAATGAATTGCCTAGTACATTGAAGGTATACCGCTATTAGCAGCATAGGATGAAAATGTTGATGGACATTATAATAAATGAGGTAATTACGGTGACAAATAAAAAAGAAAAGTTCAGATTTTAATAAAAATTTCAAAATTGCAAAAAATCTATCATTTATTGACCAACGAGATGTTTTTGTATATTTTTATTTACAATCTAATAATAATAATGAGAAACTAATTTGGGTTTTATTTGGTCATGAATCCTAATAAAAATATAATGTAATGTAATCAAATGCATTTGTAGTGTAATGTTTACACTAGAAATGCATTTAATTATATTACGGTACATTTCATTTTAGTTCACCAAATAGAATCTCCATCAATTGTGCTTTAGCTCAACAGCACTTTCAAATCGTAGTTGGAGCTAAATTAATGATTGGATTCTAAATTGAGTATTTTTTTTTTAACACAAATTCTTGTTTTAGATGCAGAAAGTAACATTGTGGTAGAAGATACATGTGATCTACAGCTTCTTCTGGTGAGGAAAATTGTTGCCCGCATTGTACATTTATATTCTACTGTGTCGTACTGCCTGCAATTGCTTTGGTACCTGAAGTTGATATTCCAAAGTGGGGAGCTGTTTATATTCCTTCCATAACTACTTTATTCAATGCAGTTGGAACTCCAAGGTCTGATTTTTCTTGTAAAATTTTTAAATGTTGAATGATCCTATGAATTAATTTGCATTCATGTTATTATGTAGATCACTGCATTTGTTGGTCTTCTGGATCCTTTTTGAGAATGCCACATCATTGCACTGTATGAGGCTACCTTCATTGGCTTGTTAGAAGCTAGCAGAGTGAATGAATGGATTGTCACTGAGAAACTAGGAGATGCTGTTAAGTCAAAAGCTGTAAAGCACCCAAGAAACCTTGATTTAAATTCAGAGAGAGGTATTCATTATCCATCTAATTTCTTTTCTTTCTTACAAACAAGTTTTGATTTAATTATACTTAGGTCACATTCTGGCTTAATTATACTGAAGTCACCTTGAGTTCGAAAAGAAAACTGTCCAACACTGCAATTTCCATGTGAAATTTCAACATTAACAGGCTTCACCTATTAGAGCTTGGAACTGGAGCTTACTTATTCTTCTGTGGTTGCTATGATGTTGCATTTGGAAAAAAAAAAACACTACTTACACCTACTTGCACAAGCAATTGCCTTCTTCGTCATTGGATTTGGATACATTGGCAATTTTGTCCTTCAATCTTAATTTGACCGTGAGAAGTCAGTAACAAACAGTTTGATGCAGTATTTCTTTCCATAATTCTTCACCTTTATATATATATACCATTAGCATCTAAATGGTACTGTGAAACATTTTCTGCTATTCTGGAGCTTCTTATAAACTAAAGGGGACGAAAGAAACATACTAAAAGAATAAGGAAAGAAAAGGTGATATTCTTTTAGATGGAGCATTAGCAGTCGAGTGGATGATAACTCGAGCTTAGAGAGTTTTATTTTTCAGTTTCTCTTTTGTGAATATTCAAGTACATTATTAAGGAAACTACACACACATTGTTACAATGTTGCTTTTGGTATCAAATATATACAGAGAGGGTAAGAAGAGAGAAAAGGAGAGTGAACAAAGCAGCTCTGCGTTTTGATAGCAGATATTGTATATCAAACATGTTGGAATGGATTGTAACTGTGAGATGTTCATTGTTTTGATGATGTTGGCATTGGGCTTTGGTAGGGAATAAACTGATAGAAATAGGAAACATTTCACACTTCAATTACATGCCTGTCTCTCTCTCTCTCTCTCTCTCTCTCTACCACCCTCATTGCTTAGCAAGTGTAATTACATTTATTATATTATATTATATGCCAATGCTATTTTAATTAGTATGAATATCTGTTTGTGTGGCCTGATTATACGAATATAGGAAAAAAAATGTTTTATGGTTGCTTTTCTTGATGAACTTAATAATGGAGAATGATTTCAAAGACATATTGCGACTGATGCGCTGTGTATATACTTTCTTTCTCACAATGAATCAAACCTCCATGCAGTTTGGGACGGTTTTCTTGCAATGGGTGTTTGGATTAATTTGGTTCCTCAAGATCTAGTCAATGATTTCTTCTTGACCCAGGTCAGCGTTTTTAATTGGATTTCTTTGAATTTGCAGCTATCAAAGGTTCAAGTTCAAGGAATTCACGGCCTCTTCTTTTCGGTATGATTTGCTGGTTAATTTGGAAGAAGAGAAATGCAGCTCCCTTCACCAATTCTTTGCAGGGTCATGCTGTTATTTCCATTTCTGTTTTTCGTGTAGCTGCAGAATTTTCTGGTTTATCTCCTACTCCTAGTTGTTCTTTATCTTGCTATTAGAGGAGTTGGGATGAAGAAGTGGATATGTTGGAACCCGCCTCCCCGATTGTGGTTAAACTAAATACACATCGAGCATTTAATAGGGCTGGTCAGCTTGCTTATGGTGGAATATGATAACAAGATAGCTGTGAAAATGGTTAATGTTGTTTTGGAGCCTTCCCCTTCTGTGAGATCACATGTTGCTTCTATCAAGCTTTATGTTTTTCTTCTTTTCAGTCTATTTTGGTTACTCGTATTTCGCAAAGCTAACTTCTCTGCAGATTGGCTGACGGATTTTACTTCATCTAATGGTATGAAACTTCATATTTTACATCAGCCGCCAAATGGTATTCCTCATTGTGACATTTCTGGAGTGGCTTACTCTCGTGGGTGTAGTTCTTAGCTTTATTTTCATCTTTATGTACCAAAAAACATATTGGAAAAAAGAAATGTATAGTACGAAGAAAACAGAGGATATCCTGCATTTTGCATAGATTCAAGACCTTGTAATTTCAAAATCTCTATTAAACTTACAAATGTGATTAGTCTGTCTTTTGGAGAGAATAATAGCATTAAATCTTTTAATAATATCATTGAATTAGTTATAATCAACAAATTAATTTTCTTAAGAAAAAGTCAGTTGCATCCTTTACTTTTAGCCTGTAACATTATAAAATTTATAATTAGTAAAATTATATTTATTGAATAGTTTTCAATTACTTTATATACATTTTTTCAATTACGGGATATATGATGAGCACAATGTTTTATTTTATGCATCTTTAAACACAAATTATTCACAATAATTTTTATATTTTTTGATTCAATATTAATTGGTTAATAAATAATTCTCAGGTTTCTATCTACCAGTGATTATCCTTGTACTAAATAAATAACATTGATAAGAAAGAAATGTAGCAAAGAACCAATTAAAGTTCACTAAAATTTCATGTTTTGTGTAAACGACATGTAGTTTAGAGTAAAGAAAAGGACAAACCGTTTGTACAAGTGAAGAAGTTTTAAGGGTTATGATTGGGCTCTTATTAAATCAAGGGTTAATATTAAAATCCAATTAACCGTATCGCAGGAAGTCTGAAACTCACTCCCCCTGACAAAAGGCTCTAAAGCTCTGTAAGTGCTTGCGAGTTGCAATTGAAATTTCATAAGTAAAACGCTGCCATTGGAGTTACTCGCCGGCGCCGCTGTCCTACATCTAAACCTTTTCCTTCTTTTAGTTCTCATTCCCTGCCAAATTCAATTATTTTTCTTCTCACCTGCTTAGCTTAACGATTCTGGTAAGTATCTCAAAAAAAATTTTACCTTAAATTCAATGTTTTATCGAAGTAGACTGTGCCCTAGAAAGCTTTATACACTTACCAGAAACCCCAGCTCCAGACCTCCATTTCAGGCTTTCAATTCACTAACCTCTAATTCCAATACGATTGTAAACATTGACACTTGCTTTAACTTCAATTACCCGATTTATTCATTGTGTCATAGTTCGATTCCCCAATTTTTTCGCCTGTTAAAAACCCCTAAATTTGCTATTTATTCTGATTTTTGTGGTACAAACCCTTACTTTGTGAGAAATTATTGTTCCGCGAAGAATAATACTGGAAGTGGGTCTTCTCAGTGGACTGAGGACATACAGTATTTAGATGAATCTGGTGGTGTGATTTATAGTGGTAAAGGAATAAGGTCAGTTGAGCCAGGGGTTGATGATCATGTGATGGTTGGTGGATTGAAGAAGCCATTTATGAATGTCACTGCTGTTGCAAAGATTGTTGAAGTTGTTAAGAGGTGGAAATGGGGGCCAGAATTGGAGACCCACTTGGATAAGCTTCAATTTTTGCCAAACATGACTCATATACTTCAAGCTTTGAAAATTGTCAATGATATTGATGCGTCATTGAGTTTGTATAAATGGGCCAAGAGGCAATCTTGGTATGTGCCAAATGAAGAATGCTACTTGTTGTTGTTTGATGCGTTGAATCAAAGTAGAGATTTTGATGCAATTCAATCTTTGTTTGATGAGATGGTTCAAGATTCAAGCAAGGATGGGATATCCTCATTTGATGCATATAATAGGGTGATTCAATATCTAGCTAAAGCAGAGAAGTTGGAGCTGGCATTTTGTTGTTTCAAGAAAGTTCAGGGTTCGGGTGGTAAAGTTGACACACAGACATATAATGCACTCATAACCTTGTTTCTGAATAAGGGCTTGCCTTACAAATCATTTGAGATATATGAAAGCATGGAAGCAGCACAATGTTCATTGGATAGCTCAACTTATGAGTTGATGATACCAAGCTTAGCAAAATCCGGTCGTCTTGATGTGGCTTTTAAACTTTTCCAAGAGATGAAAGAAAGGAATATTCGGCCAAGCTTCGGCATCTTTTCCTCACTTGTTGATTCGATGGGAAAAGCTGGGAGGTTAGACACAGCTATGAAGATTTACATGGAAATGAGGGGTTTTGGGCTTAGACCATCTGCAACCATGTACGCATCTTTGATTGAGTCATATACAAAGGCTGGGAAGTTAGATACTGCCCTTAGGCTTTGGGATGAGATGAAGAAAGCTGGCTTTAGGCCTAACTATGGGTTGTACACGTTGATTGTTGAATCAAATGCAAAGTCAGGGAAACTCGATACTGCAATGTCTATCTTTAATGATATGGAAAAGGCTGGATTTCTCCCCACCCCATCTACATATTCATGCCTTCTTGAAATGCACGCTGCCTCTGGACAAGTAGATTCAGCCATGAAGCTGTATAACTCGATGACTAACGCTGGTCTGAGACCAGGTATGAGTACATATACTGCTATTTTGACTCTTCTGGCTAGTAAGAAACTTGTGGATGTGGCTGCCAAAATTTTGCTTGAAATGAAGGCCATGGGGTTTTCCGTTGATGTGAGTGCAAGTGATGTATTAATGGTGTACATTAAAGATGGTTCTGTCGACCTTGCCTTGAGGTGGCTACGCTTCATGGATTCATCAGGGATAAGAACGAATAATTTTATAATCAGGCAGTTGTTTGAATCTTGCATGAAGAATGGCTTGTATGAATCAGCTAAGCCTCTCCTTGAGACCTATGTGAACTCTGCTGCTAAAGTGGATCTTGTACTTTACACATCAATTCTTGCCCATCTTGTCCGATGCCAAGAAGAGCAGAATGAGAGGCATTTGATGTTGATCCTTGGTGCCACAAGACATAAGGCTCACAAATTTATGTGTGGGCTATTCACTGGTCCGGAACAGAGAAAACAACCTGTGCTATCCTTTGTGAGGGAGTTTTTTCAGGGCATTGATTATGAATTGGAAGAGGGTGCTGCAAGGTACTATGTTAACGTTTTGCTCAATTACCTTGTTCTTATGGGTCAAATTAACCGTGCTCGATGTGTTTGGAAAGTCGCTTATGAGAATAAGCTTTTTCCGAAGGCTATAGTTTTTGATCAGCATATTGCTTGGTCCCTTGACGTTAGAAATTTGTCAGTTGGAGCTGCTCTTATAGCAGTTGTGCACACTCTTCATAGGTTCCGAAAGCGCATGTTGTACTATGGTGTCATTCCAAGGCGCATCAAATTGGTTACTGGACCCACTTTGAAGATAGTGGTTGCGCAGATGTTGAGCTCAGTAGAGTCTCCATTTGAAGTTAGCAAAGTGGTTCTGAGAGCCCCAGGGGACTCTGTTATGGAGTGGTTTAAGAAACCTATAGTGCAGCAGTTTCTTCTGAATGAGATTCCTTCTAGAGCTGATATACTCATGCACAAACTAAATACTCTATTTCCTAGTTCTGCACCTGAAATTAGGTCGCTGTCCCCTCCAAAACCACTCATTTCAAAGAAGGCTATGTAATCATTTACGCTAGCTGAGATCAGTTAAGGTAATGTGCTTGTACTTGTGGCATGAATATCAGTTTATTAGTTTCTGAGGCATGGTCCTTTTTCCTCATTTTTGCTGTTGAGGTTAATGTGAAAATAGTACACTTATGGGGTATGTACATATATCGAATGTTATTTTTCTATCACATCCTGATCCAAGTTTAGGCAAACAGGAATTGGTACTTTGTGTTTTTTTTTTTTAAAAGATTACAGATTGATGGTTTGAATTAGCTTCATCAAAAACTCTAACATCCATTGTGTTTGGATTAAATGAACTCTGCAAAATTTTGTGGAATTCAATTGAATATGATATTTTGCTTGTTTGGTTTAAAATAAATTTAGAATTCAATTTCTAGAATACAATTTTGGGAATTGGCTACCAAATTCTATTTAGGTTGATAGAATTTGAAATGAATTTCATAAAACTAACATAACATTATGTCTAGAACTAAAGTAGCCTAATAACATATATAATCTATATTTTATTATTATTATTATTAATCATTTAGCTTATAATTTCAATTTAGTAATCCAAGAAGTTACGTCTCTCCAAATTCTTGAATATTTAATTGTAAAACAATTAATCGCGAAATAATTAAATAGATATTTATTTTCGGAAAAAAAAATTAAGTAAAACCATAAATTAGTTTTTTTCTTTATTTCAATAGTAGTATGTTAGACGATTATATTAGATATTTTATATTTTAATATTAACTTTCTAATATTTAAGTTTATTATGCACTTATCATTTATATTATTTATATTGTTATACAAACATCCTATAATATGAGGCATGCAAATATATTTTATAATTAGTATATTGTTAATTGGTTTCTATTGTTGTTAACAATTATAAATTTATCACATATTTCTAATGTTACCATTGAGGTTAGTTTAGGAAGTGACTGTGAATAAAATTCAATTTTGAAATTATACCAACTGTCTATTATGTGGAATCGGTTGAATTCTGCATTTTAAGTTGTATTATTAGATATTTGAATTTTATTTCTAAATGAATTCTAAAATAGAATTCATTCATTCCGAATGAATTCAACAACTCTAGTTCATTTAGACCAAACACTAAATGAAAATGAGGAATCCTTGAGTTAAATTGCTAAAGACGGGATTGTTGGTGTTTGTGCTTGTATTAGCTTGCACTTATGATGTTGTTTTGGGGGTGATTGTGTGGAGTTGGAAGGATTTGAAGGAATTGAAAGAGGTCAAGTGAGTTGGATGTAAGGGTGGACATGGTTTTGAAACCGACGCTTTCAATTCTAAAAAATCTGGAATCGAAATCGAATCGAAAACTGACAGTTCTGTTTACGGTTTGACATTGAATAGTTACGGTTACGGTTTCGATTACGGTTTCTTAACGGTTCGAAATCGACGGTTGCAGCCGGTTCTTCGATTGATTTTTCAGCGAATCACATAATTATAAAATAAAAAATTAGAGAACATTTTTGTTGGAAATTTAAAATTTAAATATTTATGAAATAATTTTCAGAAAAAACTTTAAGAAAAAATCAATAAAAAGACTAGACTTAATTTATTTATTTTTAAAAAAAAAGGCTTGAACCTTTTTTTTTTGAAAAATGGCTTAAACTTAATTTTTTTTAGAAAAATATTTGAAATTAATTTATTTTTTTAAATGAAAGGGGTATTTATAGTAAATCAAAAAAATTATTTATTTTTACAAAAAAAAGGGCTTGAACTAAAAAAAGGCTTGAACCTTTTTTTTTTGAAAAATGGCTTAAACTTAATTTTTTTTAGAAAAATATTTGAAATTAATTTATTTTTTTAAATGAAAGGGGTATTTATAGTAAATCAAAAAAATCAACTTTTCACAAATACCCTTAAAAGTAATCGTTATATAATTGTTAGAATTGTTAATTTTGAGATTTCACAAAATATTTGAAAAAATAATAAATAAAAAAGTTGTTGGAACTAGGTGGAACTGCTTGTTCCAGCCGGTTCTTAGAACCACAGGTTCACGGTTCCTCAAAAGTTGAAATCGAAACTGGACTGCATACCCTCAGTTCGGACCGGTTCTGAAAACCGGGAAATGGCCAGCCCTAGTTGGATGGTGATGTGTGGATTTTTGACACAGTGGATTTAACTCTTTAGCTAAATACATGTGCCTTTTGGTGTGCCTAGCTCCTTGCTTCAGGTGATGCAAGTTTGTGAAGTTTTCATTGCAAGAATTCTCAGGATGGTGACCTTTCTGTGTAGCAATACTATTCATCTACTGAAATTTATCAGTTTCTTCTGTTATTCCATATAGTTTCAAAATTATGCAGCTGTTTGTCCTCATCTCGCAAAGAATTTGAAGCAGAGGATATTAGATTCATGCTACTGATTGGCTCCCATAGTAATGAGATTCGTTCAACTTATCCTAAAACGAAATTTTCGGTGGAGTTGACATTTTTCGGACTAACCGATCCACCTGTTGCCAATGATATTTTCCAGTGCATGAATCACGGGCGATCCACCATTGCTGGAAGGTTTGCCCCTTATTCAGAAAAGTGCATGGGAAAGGTGATCCTCTACTTCTGAAATATGCTAGTAGTAGGGTATATTGCCATTTCTTTATCATGATACATTTGTTTCTTTTCGAGGACTATTATATGGGCTCGCAGAGTTTCTTTTCGAGTACTTGGCATAATTCTTCAGTTTCTATTTTGGAACCCTCTAGCTACTTTATGCTCATGGAATTTTGTAACATTTCTATTTTACATCATCAATGTGTTGTGGCATATAAGACCCACACAAGTTTGAAGAAAAAAAATAATAATAAAACAACAAACACGTTTTGTTTTGGGCGGTTAATGAAGGCTGCGAAAGAAAGAGAAAAACGTGTTATTTGAAAAAGAAGAAAAGTTGGCAATCTTCTTTGATAAAGTATAAAGACGTGAATGAGGTTATTTGAAAAAGAAGAAAAGTTGGCAATCTTCTTTGATAAAGTATAAAGACGTGAATGAGTTATACACGACTCATTCACTGAACTGCCTATAAAAGGAGGCAGACAAAGTTCATTTAAATGTACAAAAACAAAAAGGAATAAAAATACATAAAATGTATAGAATTTTTAGGAAAGGGTTCATAATTGGAAAAGAAAGAAAATAGTGAGGATTATAATTTTTTGGGTATTTTTGGAAAACACATAGAGTACCACTATTTTTATAATCTCTTTTGTACCTACTATTTTTAGTGAACGAATTATTCGGAGTTTTTGTCCTGTGAACGTAGCCCATAACAGTTGAAGGGTAAACCACGTAAATCTCGGTGTCCTTATTTTTCATCTTACATTTACGCTAAATACTTAATTTTTACCATAGTTATTATTTCTGGTGAATTCGACGCTAAATACTTAGATTTTTACCATAGTTTATCATATTTTCCTGGTGAATATCGATCCGTTATATCCAATACGTAATTATTGGAAGCGATTTTCCGCGACTCCCACCGGAATCAGATATAATCCCAACACAATTTGCTTTGGACTCCAATTCAGAGGTAGGAAGGAAGGTGTGTCAAACACCAGAAGAACTGGTGCTCACAGGCAAGCCCGTTTCCACGTCCTCCGTAAATCTCGGTGTCCTTATTTTTCATCTTACATTTACGCTAAATACTTAATTTTTACCATAGTTATTATTTCTGGTGAATTCGATCGTTAATATCCAATACGTAATTATTGGAGCATTTTTCGCGGACTCCACTCGGATCAGATATAATCCCAACACAATTTGCTTTTGGACTCCACTTCAGGGTAGGAAGGAAGGCTCGTGTCAAGACAACCAGAAGTAACTGGTGCTCACAAGGAAGCCCGTTTCCACGTCCTCCCCTTGTTCAAATTCATGCAGCAGAAAACGATTATCAAATGGATTGCCTGAAGAGTATTCAAATGGGAGGAGCCATTAAAGATGACTTTATGCAGGAAGGCTGACAAGTCATACCGAGCAAGGGGTTGCCGACGGGCACGTATAATGAATGAATATGATATATATGTGTTTTTTTTTCTTTTTTCTTTTATTTTCCGAGCATAAGATAGTTATCGATTGAACAAAGTGTAGAATGACAGCAAAAGTTTCTATCACAGCAGATTTTCTGACTCATATCTTATATGTGGATCTCTTATTTGCTAGCAGCTTTGATCAAATACTGCCAAATTCAACCGAACATGAATGTGTTAGCCTATGAGTGCAATTATTCTTCCTTTCCCAAGTTACAGGAGGAACCTCAGCCTGCCATTAGTCACCTGCTAGTTCCTCATTTTTTTTTTTCTGTAGTTCAATTGGCATCATTTTCTTTCATTAAATATGCCTTGCAACTATTTTTCACCATGCTATGCTGCTTATAATTTCATCTTAGGTTCTGTTGTAAGGTTGCTTCCACAGGGTCAGACTCATGATGCTATTTTAAAATCATATAGATCTCTTGAAGAGTCGGATTTGACTAAAAAAAATCCTAATAAGGAAACTTTTAAACTTTTGTAGAATTTGTATTGTAAATTACCGTACAATTTTCCTTCTTCCTTTGATGCCATAGCATGGAGTTACTCTCTAAATTTTTATTGCGAGTTGAAATTATCCCTATGTATGCAGTTTCTAGTACCATTCAACCAAAGTTAAATAGAAGAAATCAATTGTAATGCAGTGGAATAATTGGTACGCTTTATTTGATAATTGGAATTACACAGGGAATAGACTAGAATACATCATATAGTAATTTCTAAACATGGAATGTTAACTCTAAAAGAAAACATTCAGTGGCCAACAATTATAAATTCACATTAATTCTGGAAATCAGAAAACAAGGGTTCCAAGCAACACAGAAGTCAAACTTACAGTGAGATTGTCATCAAGTTGAGTACTTATGGGAAGTGATTCTACAATGGCTGATGCAATAGAGACAACCAAGAAGCCCATTGTCATTTCCCAACTTTCACGAACGTATCCAAATGAGGCAAAATAATGCATATACCTGTCACAAAATTAATACGTGCTAATAAGACAATTGCATTGTGTGAAGCCTTGATCAACAATACATATTGACAGCAAAACCAGAAAACCATAGCTGAGATAGGGCAAAATTTACGTGATGGAAGCTAAAAAACCAGCCAGTGCCATTGCAACGCTACCAGCTATAGACTTATTTGTGTTGTAAGGGAGTTTATGATTGCCGAACCGTCTTCCCACAATGTCTGCCATTCCTGAAACCAGATAACACTTGGAGTTGGGCTACAGTATAAGATGAGAATCTCAAGTATGTCTTACATTGTAAGTACTGAAATTTAAACAAAAAGGAGTCCAATTAAACAATTAAAGCCGAGAATATAGATGGAATTACCATCTCCAGCACACAAGTTGCATATTGCTGCAATTGTGATAGGGGAAGTCCTCCAATAGATTGCACAAGTTAAAGTAATAGTTAAGGCATAGTAAAGGGGTCCCTTAAGAAGTTCCCTGGTCCACAAAGGAGCAAAGGATAGTTAGAGATTAAAAAAAAAAAAAAAAAATTCAATAGTATATTCTAAGAAAAGAAAACGAGAGACCAACAACAAGTCTTAAGATACATAAACTACCTCACATAATCAGTTCACTTTTTAATCTATGCCATACAATATCATAAAAGAGTCGAACATCTTTTTCCTGCTTAAAAACAACTGGATTTGTACTTTAGTTAAAGACACAGAAATTTCTCCATGTAGGATAAGATTGAGACAAAAGCTACTTCATGAGATGATGATGTAGAGATTCCACATACTTCCATATTTTTACATAGACAGCCTAAGTAAATTTTTATATCCAAAGTTGTAACCTGTGGTCTCCAAATCTGCTCATTGATTTCACTGTGGCTTCATCTTTCCAAATCCCCAATCCCAAAATAAGCATTCGGAATATGTTGATGCCTGGAGTAAGAGCTGCCAAAATTGCTCCTCGATGCCCTGAACTGCAATGATTAGGAATAGCTATTTCATCCACCAAATATGTAGTAAATAACAGAAAGCTCCATCGGCAATGAAATTACCTGAATAATGGCCAGCAAAGCATGAAAACTAGCCCAATGCTTATGTGAACAAGCTTCCTATTCAGTTTCTAAACAGGAAAGGATAGAGGATAAGCAACCTCTAAGACAGAAGATGGGGGATTGTCACAAAGCAAATATGAAGATGAAATAAAGTTCTTCGGTCTCTCATATAAGCAGCACAGCTTCAATTATGACCAAAATGCTATGTGAAGAAAACTAGAATAGACGTATACAATAATTAGGAAAAACTTACTTCACAGTCGCAGAAATTAAAAAGTTCAAAATCAAACTTCAAATTTCAATATAAACAGATTGCTCTGTTTGGAACAGTGGAAAAATTAAGTGCATCTATTTGTCCAAAGATGACAAATGGGCAAGCTCTAACTTCTTATAATTTAATTCCTATATGGATATTGAAACATGAAATGTAAAATCAATCTTATGGTAACTGTTGCATATTTACTTCCGAAGTAATATCTATGGAAACAAAATAGGCTTGAAATAATTGTTGCTTTTATTGTAAACTAACAAGAAACAACATAAAACTACCATGTGTAACCATATAAAATAGCTCAATTGACTTCTTGTTGCAGCATCATCTTTGCTGGACAGAAAACACGATAGAAGACACAGTCCAGATATGCACATGTTCTCCAGCCTTCTGACCTAAAATTCATCTTACAAGCATGCTAACAAGTTGAAGACCTTTAAATGTGTTATTAACTTGTGAGGGATACTACTGTAACTGTTTCCAGTGCCCAATTCCCTGTACTTTTGAGTAAATTGATTTCTTATATAAGGAGCAAAAAAATCGAACATCCACAATTCCTTCACAATGCAGCAAAGGTTTCACTAATCATGTAACCATTCTCAGCTTACATGAGCCTCCTAAGTGTATCCACCACAAATAAAAAGTAACTCAATCATAAACACAAAGTTGCAGATAATATGACAATTAACTCAAGTTTTAGAGAACAGTGTCTATACTAGAAAGAAAAGAGTTCAAGAAAAATTCAAGTCCTAACATTCACATAACTTAGAGTTACGATCTATATCTTATACAGCGGTTATGTGGAACCTTATAAATTACTTTCTAGTCTCTACAATGTTATTTAAGAATGCCATTTCATAAGTTAGTTCTGGGTCCAGTATTTTAAACCTTCAAGCTATAATTCTTAGCATTTTGGAATAGGTTGACTAGACGTCTTTTAGCATTTATTTATATTCTTTATTTCTATAACTTGTTTTCCTATGGGATCTTGTGAAATTTTGCTTCCTAGTTTATCTTAGTTTCAGATTTAGGTTAATCTGTCAAAGTTTCCATCTTTTAAATCAAACCAGAAATCTCACTGAGGACCAATTTACTTGTAGAGAACTGGCGTAGCTTTCTGAAAAAGTCTTCCAAAAAAAATGGGGAAATAAAAATTTCTTATTCATAATTTTCTAAAATTTAACTAGGATTGGAAGATAAGTTTAAATTATTTTCTATAGTTCTCTTTATAATAAAATTCTTTTCATAAAAAAAAAAGAATTTTTTCACAGTTAAAATTATAGTACATATGACTTTTTTTGGAAAAAATAATCATAAAAAGTATGTAAATAAGTTTAATAATTATTTTATATTTTATATTTTTTAGTATTATAATTTAACATGTAATTAATTTATTATTATAAAAATATATATTTATAATAATAACAGTTATTTATAAAAGAATTGAGAAAACAAAAAAAATTGATAATATTATTGCAAAATAAATAAAATAAATATTAAAAATTAAAAATGTTTATAAATACGTTGTAAGATATTTTTTTTAATTATGAAATTTACGAATACTTATTTTTTATTTTTTGAATTGAAATACTTATCTTTTTATTTTTTTTGGATTGAAATATTTTTTTTATTATTTTTTCCATTTCTGTTTTCTATCTTTCATTTTCTAAGAAAACTATTTTTCTTAAAAGAACGAAAAGGAGAAACAGAAAACCGTTAACTCGCGCTAAAAGAGGAATGAATTCTGCAGGCAGAGGACCAAAATCCACTATAATTACCCCAAATTCTGCAGAAAAGTTGAAAAACAAATTCCTCTGCTCTGTGCTTCTAGGAAAAACAGGAAAAAAAAAGAAATTACACCCTCACAGAAATTAACCTGGTCGAGCCCGTGCTTGGCTGTTTCTTTCCACAATTGAAGAAAAGCGAAAATGATGCCGGCCGATACAAAAGCCGCAATGACATCGGAGACTACGGCATTACCTACCAACATAGTTGCCGCCGGCGGTACGAGTGATAGTCTGTGGATTATTATGATGTAATAATAAATATATTTGTGGTTTACTCTGACAGATTAGTGAGTGAGCTTTTTGTCAGTTTATCAGCCCGCCATTAATTAAGTAATTAATTATAATTTGTTTGCTTAGTGTTTTTAAACCAATAAATAAAATACAAAAACAAACAAACATTGACAAAGACTCAAGCAGTGAAAGGAGAAGGCGTATAAAATTAACTAACCTGGTCAAACAGCCGTCGTTTTGCGGTTTCTTGCCAAACACGAAGCAGCGAAAGAGCTATGGCACCGGCCAAACCAGTAGCGCAGAGGTCAGAGACGACCGGATTTTGATGTAGCATGGAGACGGCTGGTAATCGTAGATTAGGGTGCTTATATGTCTGAGTTTTTCTGAGTCTTGGAGGAGCAAGGTGGTTAGGGATTGGACAGCGACGGAGACATATGCCTAATTGAATGGTCCAAGGCGAGCAGCTGTAGTATGAGCAGCACAGTACTTCCGCAGCCGCCATTGCGGTTCGGTTTCTAATTAGTTGTGCTACTTAAAGCATGGCCTAATCCAACTAACACACGTGACACGTGCGATTGCGTGGCTCTCTGATATTTGATGCCGATGGATTATTTAAGGCTATTTTATTTTGGTCGTTGTCGTTTCCAAGTATCTGCTAGATTGGGAGAAAAATATTAGAGAAAATAAAATAATTTGAGAAAAATAAGAGATAATAGTCATTTTGACTTGTTTGAAAATAAAGAGTAAAATGCCCAAGAAAAGAAAATATGTATAAAATTTTGAATTTTTTGTATTGTCACGCTTATTTTCTAATTTGGAGGCTTGCATAAAAAAATATTGGAAGCATTTTCACGTTTCTTTCACCTCATATTTCATTTATTTTTTCAACTTTTTCATTGCCAAAATATTAATTCATCATGAAATTATCGTATATCCATTAAATTATTAATACAAAAGTAATTCTTTACTTTCTTTTCAAAAAAAAAAAATCCTTTAATTGTGGAAAGTTAAGTGTCTGTTTGGTTTAGTATATCATACTAAATTATAGTTTAAGTGGTTGTTAACGCAGTTAGTTAATTACTATTTATATTTTTTAAGATTTTGATAACTGTTGTTATTAAAATATAAAATGACTATTAAAAATATAATTATTTTTATATATTATGATATATAATGTATATATTTTTTAATTTAAGGTGAATCTGTTATTTTTTATTTTAATGTATTATATAAACAATATGCTAATTAAAAGTTTATCAAACATTTATAACATAATTGTTTGGTACGAAACAACTATCAATTATATAAATCATCAAATATGTTTTTTAAATTTAGTCGCTTTCAATTGAGTTATATAATATTAATTATTATTTATAAACATTCAAGAAATTAACACGTTGCCAAATAATTGTCCCTGATTAATGATTTGTTCAACCCCTTCTCAAGTGGGATAACATTTTCTACATTTCTTTTTCTTCCTTACTATATTTCTATTTTTGACTCAGACAATGAAAAGAAACGGAAAAAAAGGGGTGAAAGACATAATAAAAATTTTCACGTGCAAATCACATGAATGCAGTTGAGTAAATGAGGATTTTGTCCACGTCAACAGTTGATGAGGCATAAATCCCACTTCAAAAATCCATAGGCTAAAAATATAATTATCCTAAAAATTATAGGTACGAAATTATATTTTTCCAAAAAAAAAAAAAAACCAGCAGCTCTTTATTCGAAAGCCCAACGGACGCAACCACGACCACTCTCTTATCGTGCACTATTACAGATGGCCGGACGCAACCATCTTTCCTCCAATGCCTTAAAGCTCCGCCAAATTCCAATTGACGACCTCCGCCTCAATAATCCTCTCACTGCCTCCATCTTTGCCAATACGGAAACTTCCCGGTGGCCCCACCATCCATCAACCATCCTCGAAGACCGCATCGCTACCCAGCACCGTCAGATCCAGTCCCTCTTCCTTGAAAACCAAAAGCTTGCGTCCACTCACGTAACATTAAAGCAAGAGCTAGCTCTCGCTGAGGAAGAGCTCCGACGCTCATCAGTGGCTGCAGCTGATATCAAGGCCGAGAGGGATGATCAGGTGCGGAAGGTGTATGAAAGATCGTTGCAAATGGACGCTGAGCTGAGGTCTATTGATGCATTGAGAACAGAATTGGTTCAGGTGAGGATGGATGTGGATAACCTTACCATGTACCATCAGGAGCTTACTGCGGAGTTAAAGGCAATTAATAGTGATCTTGCCAAGGCCAGAATGGAAGCAGACCGAGTGCCTGCAATTAAGGCTGAGATCGAGAACATGCAACGAGAGATTCAAAGAGGAAGGTAAACATTGGAGTTTATTAGCACTGCTAAGTTTTCTGTTTGGTTATTAGAACTTTAAAAATGTCAAATACATATACAACTTATTAGAACAAAAGCAACAATCCTTTTGTTATATTACTGGAGGCACAAATTTGGCCATGGAGTCATGTTTGCTGTTTAAACAGCACCAAGAGAAGTTCCCAACTTTACAGTATATAATTAACAAATGAACTTAAGTCCTCAAATCCTTTTGCTTTGTCTTTGAAACATGATGCATTTAAACCTTGAAGGTATTTTGACGTAGGATAACTATGAGATGCTTGTACTTAGAGCTATTTGAAAGTTAGAATGAGGGTGAGCTGATTTGGACGATCAGGGTTGTGATTGCAACTCAAGTTTATGATCAAATTTATGTGCGAAGTGTAGATTTAAGTGGATGAAAAACCAATAAATAAATCTGATTGTAGCCAATAAATAAATGAAGAAGTAAGAAGATTCTATGCTTCTTACCTAAAACCTCTAGAGCATAAAACCCGAACCCTTGTCTGCATCTCACCTTGGGTTAAATCTTAAGTAACTGACTGTTGAAAAGTCTTCTTTAATTTAGATTGTCACTTCTGATATCTTCTGTTGTTTTTTTATTCCTCCGTGCTAAGAATAGAAAAGATGACAATAATTTCAGTGCCTTTGCCCTATGCTGAGATTAAAAAAAAAGAAAAAAAAAAATTCAATCCTTATATCCATTTGACTGGAGGGAAGCAATGTTTAAGATTTTTCATAGAATTTAGCTAGAGAAGAGAAGAAACAAATACAGGAAACAAATGAAAGAAAGGGAAAGAAAACAAAAGATAAAGAAAAAGTATTATGTGAGTGTGGTTCTCCTAAGGTTCACATTAGTTGGTAACTTAATCAACCACTTTTCTCGTAATTGCGATCATGCATTGCCTGTGATGATGCCAAAATTGCAATGTCCTCCTGTGACAAGATGATCTAGTGTATAGACAGCCTGGATTGGCATCAATACGGAGCATGGTATGATGTGATGATCCTAATTGCAAAGATATTGGACTTGATTCCACTTGAAAGTATAATATTCTAGTGTGGGCTATATGGCAATACAAAGCAAAAATTCAAAAATTCAGAAATTTCTCAAATTACTATTCATTTTAGTGTAGAAATGTTCAAATTAGGTATTTTTATGTTTTAGTTAAGTTAGATTTTATTTAGAATAACGAAGTCCTACTTCTATTACCATTTACTGTTTAAGGCTTTATTCCAAGAGGAATTTTGTTTGAGACCTTACTCTATTAGAATCATTGATTAAGACCTTGTTCTAGAAAGATTTGATGCTATAAATATGGCTGTAATGTTTTGATTTGAAGTAGATTTCAGATTTTTGAGTAATAGAACCACTGATTTATTGATAGTCTATTTTCCTGGTTGTCACAAGAAGCTTTCCTGGTTATGAATTTTTTGTTTTCTTTTCCCTTGTCAAATCTAAAGCCTAATTAGAGTTGCGTTTATTTAGTTACATCATATGGGTTGTGAGCTCTCTAATCTCATGAGCTAGCTTTTGGAGTGTGGTTGTCTCAAGGTTTTACCAAAAAAAAATTCAAATTAATATTATTTAAGCAAATTTCAAAAAAAGTTAAATATGTATACTGACGTAAAACATGTGATAGCTCAATTTGTTGCTTGTTCTGATATTTACGTAGACATTTTTAGATTCAGACGTACTGTGGAAATGCTAATGATGCTAGACCAATTTACAACACCAGCTGTTCTCAGTACCATGGCACATCAAAGGATGTTGAGATATGATCTTACGAAGAGCAAGAGCATATTCTGCCACTGCCAGAATAACCTGTATTTTGAATTTCAGTGAATTCAAAAGTTTTCTGGATAGATGTGAATTTCAAATAAAGGGATTTTTAGATTTGAATGAGCTTGTAACATATAACTCTTTTTGCTTGGTTAGGTTCATGTTTGAGATTTAATCTTTGAATCTAGGGCATACTTTTTAGTTTGAAAACTTGTTGAACTATGGTACTGTTCTTCAGACTTCATATTTATAAATTAAGTTATTGTATTTTTATTAGTTATAGTTAGAATTCAAAAAGAAAAATAAAAAAAGAACTCATATTTGGCTGAAAAGCAGGTCTGATCATGTTTAGCATGCAAGTCTAACATTTCAAGTAAGGTGCACCATCCCTCTCTTAATTAGGTAGAACTGATGTGATCCTTTTTTCAGCATGAAATGAATATCTGTTTTGGCAGAACTATTTTTTAAATTTGTTAGTTTCTCTTCCTCCAAAAATTACATTGCTAGATAGGTGCATTTTCAGAGGCATTCCCTAACATTTGGTATAGATGTTTTTCTTCTCATTCTCATAAGTCCTTATGTTTATGTATATAATTTGAACTGAAAACTTATAGAATCCTTATATTTGGAATTTTCTATCCGAACTTATGACATCGTTGGAAATTTTCTATTCAATTTAATTAGGGCGGCCATTCAATATGAGAAGAAGACGCATGTTAATAATCTAGAGCATGGTAAGACAATGGAACAAAATATGCTCGTGGTAGGTTGTGAAATTGAAAAACTTCATGCTGAACTGTCTAATGTGGAGAAAAAAGCAAGGGCAGCAAACCCAAGTAAATATATTCTTTACTTAAATTGTCTTCTCAAACTATGATTTGCAGAAAGTGGCCTATTCTGAACATCTTCCCAAATCCTGCTCCTGACCTTTCATTTGTTCAGGTCCTGGATATGCTGGAAGCTACAGCAATCCTGAAGTGGCTTGTGGAGGAAATCCATGCCCTGATCCTTATGCCATGCATCAGGTGCTCTCTCTCTCTCTCTCTCTCTTAACATCTTGGTATAGATGTTTCATTTCTTCTCCATTCATCATAACGTCCTTATGTTTATTGTAGTATCAATTATGACACATTTGACCAACTACCCTCTTGTTCCTCATCTCCTATCATAAGCGCAGCATCGTGCATATTTGGAATTTTCTATCCGAAACTTATCGACATCGTTGGAAATTTTCTATTTCCAATTAATCTAGTGCGGCCATTCCAATATGAGAAGCAGACGAATTGTTATCACATCATAGAGACATGCTGTAAACAATGAACCAAAATCACACACAATAGCGGTCCTTCTCACCTATGCCGGCTTGTTTGAAATTGAAAACTTCATGCGGAAGACTGCCTTTAATGTGGAGAAAAAGCGAAAAGGGGCGAGCAAAACCCACACGTTCACAATAGCTATTCTTACTTAACATTCTTCCATTAACTCGATAATGATTTGCAAAAGTGGCCTATTTCGACACATCTTCCCAAAATCCTCTCCTGACCTTTCATTTGTTTCAGTCCTGGATATGCTGGAAGCTGACAAGCAATCCTGAAGTGGCTTGTGAGAAACCATGCCTGACCTTATGCCAGCATTCAGGTTGGCTCTCTCTCTCTCTCTCTCTCTCTCTCTCCTCATCTCATAATATATATGACTATATATTATAATTATATTCTTTTCTTTTCTTTTTCGTGCAAAGTTGATTTTTAGGATTGCTGCTTGTTAGATCTAACATTAGTAAGATCAACGTATTCTAGTTGTTTAAAACAATCATTAAGCATCAATAAACGATATAGCATGTAACTATGTAAGTTATGCATACTTCAAGGAAAGTTCTTTAAGATGGAGCTCAAATTGTCTTCCTGTATGTTGCTGCTGATATGTATGTTGTCCTTTCATTCTACTAAATTATATGCTAACCATGAGTGGCAACTGTTTTTCCAGTAACTTTAACAATGGTGCACTACTTCTTTTTTAGGTGATAGCTAACTTCTCTTCTAATTTTGCAAAAGTTATACATATTTCTTTATGTATTCATATGTGCTTGCATGTGTTTATACACCAATCAATTTGATCTATAATGAGAATATCTTGAACAGTTGGGTTCAATAAGAGAAAGTGGCAATGCAACAATTGAAATGTCATATTATTTTGAGTTACACTCTGTATGAAGACAACATTGGCCTTTTTAGGGATTTCTAGGATTGATACTCTATTGCAACGGATCATCAATCTTTTTTCAAAAGATGTTATGATTCATCATGATTTGTTCTTATGTCACATGTCCGCCTTGAAAAGGCTTCTCCCAAGAAATTTTTACTTTCCTTGGAGTAGACAGATAGTTTTTGTATTTCTGTTTTATACGGGTAATGGACAGAAGTGTTGAGAAAAGCAATTGTTATTATACCCTTTATGTTATGCTTGATAGAATGAGAAAAACAATAGATTCTAAGTAACAGAAAAGGAAGCCAGCTGAAGTGCCCAATGTTATACTGACTTTCTTCACATTTTAGGTTCAAGGGGTCACCAATGGTGGTGCCCCATTTGTGTCTGGATGAATGCTTACTATCACTGTGCAAACACTTGCATGAAGAGAAAAAAGAAAAGTCATGCAGCATCGTAAATGGCCAGAACTCCATGGAATTCATTTTCAATGCCCAGGTACATATCGAACTCCGATGCAAGTATTTTTGCTGGTGATATCCATTGGTGCCACAATAGTTCACCATCAGGATTTGGTTTGTGGTTCGACACTTTGGTCATTATTTATTTGTATCTTCTGTAACAAAAACAATTTGTTTTAGACTCCCGACTGGAGTTTAGAAAATGTGGTTTCGACCTCAGGGAATTGGGGTTTGCACATGTTTCCTGGAGTGTTGCATGAATCCTGACGAGAGATGGATAACCTGTCACAAAATAATCAGAAGCAAAATGATCCAAACAGAAGACGATATTTTCCTTTTCTGCACAGTTGTAAAGGCGTTTGAACATATGGCTGTCCGAGGCTCTAAGAAATATCACAGTCGAAATTTTTGTTTTTCTTTTTCTTTTTCTTGTACCACCACATGTAGCGAATTAAATTATAAATTACATTAAAGTCCATTAAGGCAGTCCAACCTTATCCATAAGGGGCAAATATTACAATTTACAATGAGAATGCCAAGATACAAGCATGGGAGACCTTGAATTTCAATTTCAATATTATAATACTAGATTTTTAATCAAAATAAATATATCGAAAAGATTAATTTGCATTTTCAAACTTCTTTTATCACTAGTTAGCAATTTATAATTATATTCTATTTAAATTATATTCACCTTATACAAATAATTACTATTAATTTTTTTAAAATTAATATTTTATAATTATTTTAAAAATAATGAATAATTACGAACTTATTATAAAAAATATGAATTAAATTTTAAATAACAATATTTAATTAATAATTTTTATTTTTAACACATTACAAATAAAAATAACATTTCTTCCAATATGTATATAATACTATTATATAATAATTATATTCCGTCACTTGTTAAAAGAACATTTTTCGCGCGGGTGCCGGACTGCTTCAATTTGTAGACGTCGTCTCCAAGATGGGATTTGGAATTGGAGCTCTAAGAGGAATAATCCGTCCACTAGCAAGAACCCTAGTATCTCGTACTTCAACGACCTCGTTTTTATCTCCTTTTCCATCTTCAAAGCACCATTTCCGGTTAGCCTGTGATGGCTCGTTTCAAGCTCAGTCTCCATGGATACCGATGTCGATGCATTTCAGCATCTTCTCTGAATCAAACCAGTACGATAGTTTAACTGACAGTCGCTTTCCCAAGCGAAGACCCCTTGATATGCCTCGTCGAAAAAGGACCACTTTGAGACCTGCAGGTACTGCCATTATTCGAATAATTTATTAATTGATTTAGGTATTTTTATTGAGATTAGGGTTTGGAAGTAATTTAGGGTTAGATGGATTTTGTTTATTTTTTATTTTAGTTTAATTTGATTAACAATTGCAGGACCGTATGCTTGGGTTAAGCATGTGCCTGGCCAACCTATTCGACCTAGTAACCCAAATGAAGGGAGTGTCAAGAGGAGGAATGAGAAAAAGCGCATAAAGCTACATCGTGCCTTTATAAAGGTCTGTGTTTCATGGATCATATAATCTTAATTGGCTAGTCATGCTGGAGTTTTATAGATATTTTAATTGGCACAAAGAAAATGTTTGATGAAAATTTGTACTGTGGAATTTGGTTTAAGAAAAAATCTGATAAGAGTAACTTATGAATTAGGAAGGATATTTCCTCACATTACTCTGTGCTGTCAAACATTTTCCCGTGAAACTTTGTTTCATTATGTGGGATCTGAAAACTACTTTCCTCTAATTTTAACGTGCTAACTGTGTCCAACAATTACCCAATTTATCAAGTTAAGCTTACTGTGTATTAATACATGAGGAAATAATGCTCTTGAGATTGACAGCTTTATCAAAGATTTACCTTTATTTTCTTTATTGGTCTAAAAGACCATTGTATGTGAAAAGGAAAGAGTTTCTGGTTTGATTATGGGAATAGTTGAACTGTTAGGTGGACTTTTTGATTGATCTTCATGACTTGTTATCTATATAGAACATGAATTGAAGCGGGTAAATTTTATTTTGCTTTGTCTATAAATAGCCTAAAAACAGAAAAAAAAGGGGGTCATATTGAATATGAACTGAATAGGGAACTTTAATGCTTTTAAAGATTAAATCTCACCAATTTTGTGTTGGAAATTTAACATTCCCATCAATTTTTATCATTGATTGAGGAATCATCGAGTACAAACTATCTAATGCTGAGTTCTCAGTCACTTTGTATGTGAAATAGGCACACGGATGACTTATTAGAATAAAACAAATGTCAACTGATAGACTGTTTACTGATAAAGCCACAAGAATGTTTGATTAGGGTCAACATGTCACCTAATAATCTTTTTAACGTGGAGTTTTTGTTCACCTTGTATAAGAAAACTTATTTGGGTGTGGTTATGGCTGTTAAATAACTTAAATATGAATGAATGTTCAATCAGGGATACAAATGTTAAAGTTCGTATACTTGATAAGTTTTCAAGTTTCAAATATAAATTGGAAAAGAGTATCACAATCCATGAATTGTTTTGTCATTAAGCTTACATAAGTTGAGGGGGAGCCTTTGCACAATGGTAGTGTTCTACTTTTAGTTTCAAGTTTGGGAAACAATTTCCAATAAATATATATAAAGATAAGCCGATGTACAATAAATGACCCTCACAAAGTGGAGTCTCTTATATTGAAAACATTCTTTGTTTATAAATTATGCAAGTTCTATTCACCAATCATAAGAATACATGAACAAGTCAAAAAAAGAAAAAAAATGTTTAACCCAGTGGTCTCACCAGACCAGGAAATGATTATTTTGAAAGTGAAAATATGCAGCATCATATGGTGGGGTTTATGCAATAGACATGAGCTAGCTATCTTCATTGGTGCAGCTTATCAATAATCTGATGTACCATTAGGGAAAGGACTTGGCTGTAATATGAATCAATATTTGCAATGTGAAGATTCTGCAAGTCTAATTTTGTGGATGTATTTATTGCCAAGTTTTGGCTTCCATCAAAACTGTGTGATTTTTCTCTTGAGCTTTATCAAGTTCTGTGCGTGATCAGCATTCATGATATTATTTACTAGCAACAGGTGACATTTGATTTGAATCATTGAGTAGCTGGTTTAATGAATCTCATCCTTTCCAAGTTTATTGAATCCCCTCTTCTATCTTATTTTCTTTTGTCTTTTTGGATGGGAAGCTGATGTAGGTTTTTTGACTGTGATCAGGCAGAGGCAAAGAAGAGGAAAGCTCAGATGCAGGAGGCTAAAAAGAAGAAACTTATCAAAAGGGTAGAGCGTAAGATGGCTGCAGTTGCTAGAGATAGAGAATGGACCCAAAGATTGGCAGAGCTGCAGAAGCTTGAGGAAGAGAAGAAAAAATCAGCAGCTTAGTTCTTTGTTTTTTTGGCTACACTTCATCTCCTTATGCTACTGGAGCTATTCCCATTTTGGTTGAATCCTGAACCTAACTTCCGTAGGTTTGTAATGTTTTTTTAATTGCGTTGATGAGCTTATGGCGCTGATCTTATCTATGGACGATCTTCCTAAAAGAACTTGGTTGTTTATTTGAGAACGATAAAATTTTGAACTGAAGCCGGTACTTGATTAGGAAAAGGTATTCTGCACCATTGTAGCTACAATGGGTGAGTTTTATCTAGTTCCCTTGCATTATTTTGTTGAATGTTAATATTGATGAGAGTGCTCGAGCCAAACGTGAAGTTTCTTTATATTTAATGGCCAAATGGAGGTGAAAAACTTTATGGCACCCTCTATAAAATTGACCCGTTAGACACTTTCACTTATCATACTGTAATTATTTAATGCTTTACCTTGTAAAATTAATCTGTTAAATACTAATTGGATAGTTGAAAAAAATATATAAAAATTATATTTGGAATGTTATATTAGTTACACAAAATTCAGGCTTTATGATGTAAAAGTTCTATTAAGGGATTCAATTACAACTACTGACATATTCACATTTTGTTCTTTCAACAAATTCAACTTATTTCGTGAGGCATTTTGTTTGAATTGTTATGGCTGAGCAGAAATTGGTTAAACTGACAAAATTGTATCTCCCCATTATTGAGTTCGGTATAATTTGATTTTTAAAATATTTGGTTTCATTTTAATTGTAATCGAAAAAGTGAATTTATTTTCAGAATTGAATTTAATTTTTATTAAAATTGGAAGTCAAAATCAATTAGATTCTCTAATTGAATGATTAAGTTATTTTATATAAAGCTAATTCATTTGTGGTGTGGTTGATTTTACAAGAGTTTTTGTCAATTTGATAATAAAATGAAGGGCTATTTTGTTCCGTAATGAATAAAAAAATTATTCCCTTTATCCCGTTTTGTTTACATAGTTTGACAAAATACACAAATTAAGAATTTAATCAACAATCTTTACCCTTAACAACTCATTAAGATATTAATAAAAACTTTTCATTCAATGAACAATTAAAAAGATTAGTATAAAAAAATAATTATTTACGTATATAAATTTAGAAATCTTATAAATATTTTGTAACATAAAAAAAAAGAATAAAAATCAACAAAAAGGTATGTAATCGAAAGATTTTTTTCAAAATTTTTTGAAGAAAACATTAATAATTTCTTTCACGTGTAAATAAACCACATTTGAGAATGTAATTAAGTGGTCCCAGCTGACAAACAACAAAAAGGTATGTAATGGATCCCACTAGCTCCTCCAAGCTGGAGCCTTTTAACCGACAAAGTATTTTTATCAACCAACCAATAGAAAAAGGATAAGGTTCCACGTAGGACTAAAAACCGTTAAAAATATATTAAACAAAACAAATATCAAAAACATCCACTCGCTGCCTTCTTCACCGACTCGTCTTTCTTTCAAATTCAGTACTTTTCCTTAAACAGCAAGAGAGAGTTTAACAAAGATGAGATGCAATTCTTCTCGTTTGTCGCCATTAAAAAGCCCAAAGAAGGAAGGTTTAGAGATTCCAGAAGATTATGGAGGACGAGAAATCGACGCCATGGATGACTTGCAAGGCATTTTGAGCATTGAAGATGAAGAAAATACTTGTATTCCAAAGGATGAGAATGGTTATGGCTATGGCTTACTCAGTTGGGATTTTATGGAGTTAGATGAACAGATAAATGGAGAAGATGGAGATGGTGGTTGTTATTATTATAATAAGTTTGATAAAGTCAACAGCTTTTTTGAAGAAGATTATCGGGATAGCAGCAATAATAACATGATAAATAGAGAGTGTATTGGATTCTCTTTGGATAATGTTGATGAAGAAGAAGAAGAAGAAGATGGTATTATTATTATTAATAATGAGAAGAAGAAGAAGGAGAGTGTTTCTTTGAACTTAAACTTGAATTATCAAGAGGTATTGGATGCATGGTCTGATAGGGGTTCTCTTTGGGCTAATGATTGCTCTGCTTCAATGGCTACCAGTAATACCTATTATGTTAGTAAACTTATCATCACTCACAATCAATTAATTATTTATTTATTTTTATTTATAGATGATGATTAGAGATATATGTAAAATATTTATATACGTTCAGATGGGAGAGGTGCCAGTGATGGAAGAAGAAAAAACAAGAAGGGAAGCAAGTGTGATGAGGTACAAAGAGAAACGCCAGACTAGATTGTTCTCTAAGAAGATAAGGTATCAGGTTCGCAAGCTCAATGCTGATAAAAGACCTAGACTAAAGGTATTTTAATATGATACCAGAGTTTAATTATTCCTGTGTTTTTTACCATTTACAATTGGATAAAAGAGAATTATAATTTACAGTTATATAAATTATGATACCAGAGTTTAATTATTCCTGTGTTTTTTACCATTTACAATTGGATAAAAAGAGAAATTTATTTAAAATAAAAAAATTTACAGTTTATTGATATTATATATATATATATATATATATATATTATATATATATATATTAGTTATATATATATTATAATATATATTATATATATATATATATATATATGTATTGTGTTTGGATAATAGAGAAATATATGTATTTGTGTTTGGATAATAGAGAATTATTTAAATTGACATAGAGTAACAAATAAATGCATTTTTGGGTTGGTTGCAGGGTCGATTTGTGAAGAGGGTATCCTGAAAAATACTCCAAATGGGGACTTGAAATATCTGAATTCTGAAGAAATATCTCTCTCTTTGGACTTTTTCATGCGCACAATTAATATTCATGCTTTGTATTTTTCTGAAAATATCTAATTTTTTGAGACAACTTTATGGGTAGTTCTGATGGAGCTTTCTGTCCATTCCCCATAATTGACCTATGTATATTCTCTACTGTGATCACCATACAGTATGGTCTTTATCTTGCTTTTAGCGATCAAAAACTTTCGTACGCCCCCACTCCATATATATTTTATTAATTTTTTTTTTTTTTGTTAAATTCACCCCTAATATATTTAATTTAAATATAATTAAACATTTTAGGTATCATTTAGTTGGAGGTAAGTGAAGGGAGGAAGTTGAAGTTGAAGTTGTCAGAAAATAAAGATTTTGAACATGTTTGGTTGATACAAACTATGTAATTTTCAGAAACTTAAAAATATAATTTACGTAACCATACGGAAAGTAACTTCCCTTACCGTATGGGAAGTAATTTCCCCAGATTACCCATAGGAAGTGGACTTCCTTAGCTCAAAAACTTCTAATTCTCAATTTTACCCTTCTATTATTATTCTTATTTTGTTTGTAATTATAACATTAACCAAATAAATAAAATTATAATAATATTTTTTATAGTATGTTATTAAAAAGTTATGTTGATTACGAGCTAGTGGATTGTATAAATGTGTATTATTAAATTGATTTTAGGCCATTAATTTTTTTTTCAATGAAATATGTCAATTATTTATACTTCTATATGATAAAGGTATTTTTGTCAATTATAATCTCACATCTCATTAACCAAGTTTTAGTTCATGGGAATCCAATATATCAATCAAACACAATCATACTATATTTTCTAGGAAGTAATTTTCCTGGAACTCTACTTTTCGGGAATTCAACTTCACTGAAAATAGATCGATTTGAACCAAACGAGGCCTAAATAGCAATTCACTATTTTAGCCATTTTTATCAGATAATTAGCACGTACATTCATTATAGATGATGATGATTTTTCAATTAATGGAGGAATTAAGCAAAATAAGAGTTATGATTAATGTAATTAAATATAAGTGAAACACAAGATAGTAATTCACTCTTTTCTTTTTCTTAAACTTATTGAGTACAAATAATTATAATGTTATAATGCCTAAATTCGCTTCTTAAATTTTATGAAAATTCTTTACTTTTTGATCAATTAAATCCTCTAATTTTGATTTTATTTCAAAGGATTAATTCAGTGGTAAAGAACGCTTAAAGGAATTGAAGGATCCGTGAAGTCGTGGATAAAATCTCTACAAGCCAGCTCTCATGCCTCTCAAACTGAACGGAGAATATTCGAAATATATGGATCCTTTAACGGATCCAGAATTGGATTTCTCATGGTTAAAAAAAATCTCTAAGTTTGATTTTGAGTGAGGTGATATATATACCTTTTGTGGGTCCTACAGGAGTGAACAATTTGGATTTGGGCCCATGGAAGACTCGTGATTGATTGATACAGTTCCTATCATGGTTTTGTTTTGATCTTTTTTTATTTTTTATTTTTCTTGAATAATTTTTGTATCCAAATAGGTTTACCCATGACTTGTTGCAAAATTTATTGATTGTTTCTGCAGAAAACTATTGAAAGATTTTTCTCTGTGCTTTCTAGAAATTTCAGGAATGTATCCCACATGCTTGCCACAAACATAAAACATAATTCCAGATACAGCGGTTAAAAAGTGTAATCAGCTGACAAAAACTTAAATTAATGTATCTATCTATGTACTTTTCAAAGCAAGATCCTGGTTTTATGAGAATACTTCTCCTTTCCCAGTAAAAGTAAATTCAATCTATATAAAAACAAGCACCAAGAGCTTGGTATAATCATACAGATGCTTATTTTCAGAAGGATGGTTCTCAAAAATACCCATATGAACATATACTTTACACAAAACATGCAGAAAGAGAGTTTCTACACAAATAGAATTCATAACATGTCAAGAACAAACTCCTAAGAATCAGGTGAACTAAAAGTAACTGAAAATCCAAATCCCTGTAGACTAGGTAAGCACTAAACAATGCAATCTCAAAATATCTGAAGAAACTTTAAGAGTAAAACAAATTATTTAGCCAACAAATTTTCTCTTAACAACTGATGTTTTATAAGTAACATCCAATTTAAGGTTTTCAACTATTAATTCAGAGAGCAAATGCTAAGCAACTTTCTGAAATTCTGAAGTGCTGGAAATTTTGAGGGATTTAGTTAGAACATCAGCAATCTGGTCTTCACTTTTGCAGTAAAATTAAATCAGTGACTCCATGATTAGTGAGTTCTCCCAAGCAGTGATACTTCATTTATGAACATCAGCAATCTGGTCTTCACTTTTGCAGTAAAATTAAATCAGTGACTCCATGATTAGTGAGTTCTCCCAAGCAGTGATACTTCATTTATATGCTTGCTTTAGACCATGTAGAGCAGGATTTTTGGAGAGTTTTATTGCTGAACTGTTGTTATAATAAATAGACATAAAAACATATTCCTAAGTACTCTTTCGATCATCAAGATCTCAACATAATTGCTATCAATAAACCCAATCAGATCTGACTTTTCTTCTTTCTTGTAAAACAACACAAAGTCAGCAGTACCTTTACAGGAAATCCAATTAGCTACTTGAAGATGTGATTTTTTTTTTGGATGTTCCATGTACCTGCTAACAAGACTTCCAGCAAAAATGATATCTGGCCTTGGTGCCGTCAAATACTTCAAGCTTCTGACAATTTCTTTGAAACCTGCCTAAAATCACTCGGAGATATTTCTTTCGAGAGAGAATTATTCTACCAGCAGATTGCACTATTTCTATGCCAAGAAAGTAATGCAATTTTCTAAAATCAGACATATCAAATTCAAGCATCATGGACCTTTTAAAATTCTCAATCTTGAACCTACCGTTTCCTGTATAAATCAAATCATTTACACACAAGCATACAATTAGCCTTTTCCCTCCATCTCCATGTTTTATAGACGAGGTAAGCACTAAACAAAGCAATCTGAAAATATCTGCAAGAAATTTGAAGACAACTAAAACAAATTATGTAGCTAACATTTACAGATTACTAGCACTAGTTGTCCATACTAATGCAGAGCTAGAGGTTGTTTGACATGTATGAAAACAAATTCACTTATGACTCAACATTTGAGCTGTTCAGTAAAAATGAACATCATAGGATTGTTACAGCATCAATTGACAATTGAGATATAGAATAATAACTGAGCCTATTTATGAATTTGGGAAACTAAAGGGTACAGATTTACAAGTAACACAGTTGATGGTGTTAACTTGTAGAAACTGAAAAATTGCAGCATTAAATCCTCTAAGAAAAACCAGCAGGTCTGTTCACAATGAAGAGTCCTAAAGATGTCAACACACTTACTTGGCCTGGCATTGTGAAATATCCCTTATGAAAGAATCAAGGTTAGCATCAGATGATCCGCCTCTTGCAATTGCTGCTTGACAAACCTCTTGAAGTTCTTTCGCTTTTTTCCTCATTTCTTTTACCCCACTATTTTCTGGATCCATAAAACTCTTCACTAGTTTTGCAATTTCTTCTCGTGTCACCAAGTTTTTGGATTGAGTCCCTCGTTTTAGACTCCATCCAATCTTCCAATCTGTAACAATTTTTTTACTGTTTGGAATTTGATCCCAAAATATAGGAGAAGCAAGCATTGGAACTCCAGCGAAAACACCTTCAAGAGTAGAATTCCAACCACAATGTGTCCAAAAACCACCAACAGAAGGATGGCACAACACTCTCAACTGATCACACCAAGGGACCACTAATCCCATATCACCACAACCATCTTCAAACAGAGATGTTTCTCCACGAGACACCCACAGGAACCGAACACCGCTATTGAGAACTCCAGCAATGATTTCATCCATTTGGGCACTTGAAACTGAAAGGAAGCTTCCCATTGAAATATATAAGACTGAACACATGGGTTGGGAATTTAGCCATTCTAGGTAGTAAGAGACATTGTGATGATAAGCATTAGTAGCTAAAGCAGAATTGCTTTCTAGTTCAAAATAAGGTATGGTAGGGCCTAAAGGGAGGACAGGAAAGGGGAACTTCAATTTTAGAGCATCAATGACTTGAGATTCAAGCTCATAGACAGAAGTGAATAACAGGTATTGTGCTTTGGACACCATTGAAGCAGGTTCCAAGGCCAGGTGCAGTGTTTTTCGCCCAACTCCATCAAATACTGTTGGAAAATCTAATAAACGTGTTGAAGGAATTCCAGGGATGTAATCCACGCACTCTTCTCCTCTTTCTGTAAGCCATCGAAATGGGAAGGAAAAAAGGAAACACTTAACATCCTCATAGTCTGAATATATATATATCTATATATATATATATTGGTCAATTAAGCTTCTGAAAAAAACCTCAACTTCACAGCCATGAACACAACTTCTATACCACTCTATGATAGCTCATTGATTAATAATTCAATGTATTCTGTGAAACTTAATCAGCTGATTGCAGGACATTCTGGTCCACCAGAATCCTGCAATCTTGGAATTATCAAAGAAATAGCAAGTTCAAGAATCTATTTTGGACTAATCAAATTTTGAACTCCTCTTTGCTATGCTAGTGATACCACCATGATAAATAGAACAAAAACTGTAAAAAAAAAATATTTCTTATTTCTTAAAGTTCTTCTAATTAACTTTATTTAAACAAACAAAAGAAAAGAAAAGAAAAGAAACGAAATTATGAGTAACTTCAAAGGATATGAAATAATTAATTACCTGATAATTCCACAGGAAAATGCCCATTTTCCGGAAGGAGATCAAAATGGTAGAAGACAGAAAATACAAGAGCAGGCATAGTCCAAAGAGAAGCCACCGGAATATTCCTTCGATTCCCAACACTGACAACCCAGCTCAAATAAGTATCAGCTATTATCACATTCACAGGCAAATCAAGCCGATCAAGAAGTTGCTCAAATGGAGCTTCCATCTTCGTTGCTACAGCTTCCAAGAATCCCGGAAAATCTTTCGCTCGAACAAGCTCTGACGGTATAACATTGGGGATTGTGTCAAATCGGATAATCTCCGGCTTCTTGCAACCGCTAAGGAAACTGTGCCACTCTTCGGTGACCACGAAGGTGAAGAGAATGTTGGGATTTTTTAAATGCATAAGCTTGCAGAGATTCATCATCGGGTTTATATGTCCTCTACCGGGATAAGGCATGGCCAACACGTGGCAGCTGCTCGTTGGAACCGCTTTAGGATATTCCATGTCTGTAAGGCTGTAAGTGTGATAGAGTGAAGATGATAGATGGAACTACGCAAAAGTTTGCTAATGGAGCTTGGAGTGTTCAATTGAAGCGACAAACTTGACTTTAAAATTTTACTAAGTCGGTTACAACATTTGGAATTTCGCGTGTTTGATAAAACCATTAAATTTATGAGAATTACAATAAACTAAATAATAATTATTGATTATATATAAAAAATAAATATAAAAAAATATTTATTATTTCATAAAATCACAAATATAATAAATATGTTGAAAAAAACTATTTTTTCAAATATAAGAATGAAAATAATATATTAAAAAATAAATATAAAAAAATATTTATTATTTCATAAAATCACAAATATAATAAATATGTTGAAAAAAACTATTTTTTCAAATATAAGAATGAAAATAATATATTTTTTTTAAAATAAATAACTCCTCAATAAAAGAATCTTTTATCGATTGAGTACTAATAATTGGATAGAAATTTAATAGAATTTTATTTTATATCATTCCTTAATTGAATTAATTATATCAACAAAGGATAAAAATATTAATTTAAGTTATATTTCTAATTTTTTTTTTTTTGTTTTTAATGTGGATTTATCCTTCAAGTTTAGGATAACTAAACATGCTAATAAACATTACGAATACAAAAGGAAAATTAATCTAAAGGTTGAACATAAATTTTATAATTATTTATAAAATTGGAAACCACAATATCAAATATAGACACATTTATACATTATTAGTAATATATTAAAACGTGCATTACATATTATCTATTGTTATAACTCATATTTTATTAATGGATGTCCATAACTTAAATTTAATAAATTATTTAACTTAATAATCTTATATTTATTATCTAGTTCAAGCTTTTGTAATTTATAAGCTTTGAGAGCCTATAAATAGTGATATGTATACATAAAGAAAGATAAGAATTGATCTTATCTCTCCCGATTCTCTCTTGTTCCATTCTCATATTTTTAAGTTTTATAACATCTATATGTATTAAATGTATTGTTGTGGGGTCCCTCCGACACGTGGGACCCACATAAGTTTGAAAGAAAAAAAAAAGAAGAAAGAAGATGTGTGGTGTCGTGGATCCACACACAAAGTTTGAACAAAGAAAAAAAAGGCACGTTTATTTTATTGTTCAAAGGACGGTGTCAAAAAAAGAAAAAACAAAAGAAAAAAAAAAAGTGGATGCGTGATCAATGTGTCCATTTGGTGGACACGTTAATAACGCATAGGAGAAGGATTTTCCTTAAATAGATGTACAAAAACATATAGAATAGGAATATACAATTGAGTGTAGAAAATTTTAGGAAAATGTTCCTAAAATTAGAAAAGAGAGAAAATAGTGATAATTGTAATTTTGGGGTGTTTTTGTTAAACACTTAGAGTACCACTATTTTTGTAATCTCTTGTGTACCTACTTAGAGTACCACTATTTTTGTAATCTCTTGTGTACCTACTATTTTTAGTAGAAGAATTATTCAGAGTTTTTGTCCCGTGGACGTAGCCCATACAATTGAAAAGTGAATCACGTAAATCTCGTTATTCTTATTTTTCATCTGGCGTTTAATGTAATTATTTAATTTTTACTGTGGTTATTATTTCTGGTGGATTCGATCGTTAATATCCAATATGAAATTATTGGAGGTATATGTGGTAATAGTCATTTTATTTTATTTTTACTACCGGTATTTTTCCGCGGGCTCCACTCGGGATTAGTTCCTATCATGGTTTTGTTTTGATCTTTTTTTATTTTTTTATTTTTCTTGAATAATTTTTGTATCCAAATGGACCTTGACTTGTTGCAAAATTTATTGATTTGGAAAGCTCACCCATGACTTGTTGCAAAATTTATTGATTGTTTCTGCAGAAAACTATTGAAAGATTTTTCTCTGTGCTTGCTCGAAATTTCAGGAATGTATCCCACAAGCTTCCCACAAACATAAAATATAATTCCAGATACAGCGGTTAAAAAGTGTAATCAGCTGACAAAAACTTAAATTAATGTATCTGTCTATGTACTTTTCAAAGCAAGATTCTGGTTTTATGAGAATACTTCTCCTTTCCCAGTAAAAGTAAATCCAATCTACATAAAAACAAGCACCAAGAGCTTGGTATAGTCATACAGATGCTTATTTACAGAAGAATGGTTCTCAAAAATACCCATATGAACATATCCTTTACACAAAACATGCAGAAAGAAAGTGTCTACACAAATAGAATTCATAACATGCCAAGAACAAACTCCTAAGAATCAGGTGAACTAAAAGTAACTGAAAATCCAAATCCCTGTAGACTAGGTAAGCACTAAACAATGCAATCTCAAAATATCTGAAGAAAGTTTAAGAGTAAAACAAATTATTTGGCCAACAAATTTTCTCTTAACAACTGATGTTTTATAAGTAACATCCAATTTAAGGTTTTCAACTATTAATTAAGAGAGCAAATGCTAAGCAACTTTTTGAAATTCTGAAGTGCTGGAAATTTTGAGGGATTTAGTTCGAACATCAGCAATCTGGTCTTCACTTTTGCAGTAAAATTAAATCAGTGACTCCATGATTAGCGAGTTCTCCCAAGCAGTGATAGAACATCAGCAATCTGGTCTTCACTTTTGCAGTAAAATTAAATCAGTGACTCCATGATTAGCGAGTTCTCCCAAGCAGTGATAGTTCATTTATATGCTTGCTTTAGACCATGTAGAACAGGATTTTTGGAGAGTTTTATTGCTGAACTGTTGTTATAATAAATAGACATAAAAACATATTCCTAAGTACTCTTTCGATCATCAAGATCTTCAACATAATCGCTATCAATAAACCCAATCAGATCTTCAACAAAGAATTTTATCCTTTGAATTTTATTCTGAGTACTAATAATTTGATAGAAATTTAATAGAATTTTATTTTATATCATTCCCTAATTGAATTAATTATATCAACAAAGGATAAATATTAATTTAATTTATATTTCTAAAAATGTTTTTTTTTTTTAGTATGGATTTATCCTTCAAGTTTAGGATAATTATACATGCTAATAAACATTACGAATACAAAAGGAAAATTAATCTAAAGGTTGAACATAAATTTTATAATTATTTATAAAATTGGAAACCACAATATCAAATATAGACACATTTATACATTATTAGTAATAAATTAAAACGTGCATTACATATTATCTATTGTTATAACTCATATTTTATTAATGGAAGTCCATAACTTAAATTTAATAAATTACTTAATTTAATAATCTTATATTTATTATCTAGTTCAAGCTTTTGTAATTTATAAGCTTTGAGAGCCTATAAATAGTGATATGTATACATAAAGAAAGGATGGGAAAATTAGATTTTAAAAGAAAGTAAGACATATATATGAATGAATAAAAAGAATATTCTAACAACTTATATTTATAAAAAAGAAATTATTAGTAAACTATTTTAATTTCAATCATGTGTAATTGGATTATTGTTCCTACTTTCAACAGGAGTTCGAAGAGTGAGAGTGTAGAATTTCTAATTTTTAACTTAAAAAAATTTTAGTATTTAAATTTTTTTTAATTAATTGTAGGCTTTTATGGGCTGAAATAATACTGCGAGCTACACAGTAGGGAGTAGCCCTCACCTTAACTCATCAAATTGTTCGAGACCTCTCACTTTTCACATAAGTAAGAAGACCAACCAAACCACTATTTAATTGGCTAATATTTAAAATTAAACCAAGATTCATGTATTGTTGTAGTGCAATATTATAGTAACACCCTAATATTTATTTTATTCTTGAATTAAATTTTAACATTTTTATAAAAAAATTATATAAATGAAATACTTTTAGTTAATTAAAGAATAATTATTTTTCAATTACAGGGTTCTAGAATAAGGTAGCTTTTTTGGACAAAAAAAAAAAAAGCCATTTGTTTAACATATTTGGTCTTATATATCATTTAATATTAATATTTAAAATTAGATTCAATTTTATATCTCTAAATGGATGCAAGAGATATATATAAAATAATAATAACAATAATAATAATTGGTGGTGTTTGAGATGCATGATTCAGTACTCTTTTCTCTCAAGTGAGTTTGATCCTCAACGAGTTAACAAAGTTGGTGGTGTTGGCTTGTAAAAACTCCAGAATTGCAGGCTTAAATCATCTAATGAAACCAATGTTCTTCTTAGTTAAAGAGTACTAAACAAATCAACACACTCACTTGGCCTGGCATTCTGAAATATCCCTTATGAAAGAATCAAGATTAGTATCAGATGATCCACCATTTGCAATTGCTGCCTGACAAGATTCTTGAACTTCTTTTGCCCTTTTCCTCATTTCTTTTACTGCAATATTTTCTTGATCCATAAACCTCTGCACTAGTTCTGCAATTTCTTCTCGTTTCACCAAGTTTTTGCCTTCAGCACCTCGTTCTAGACTCCATCCAATCTTCCAATCTTGGACAATCTTTTTACTGTTAGGAATTTGATCACAAACTATAGGAGAAGTAAGCATTGGAACTCCGGCGAAAACACCTTCAAGGGTAGAATTCCAACCACAATGTGTCCAAAAACCACCAACAGAAGGATGGCATAGCACCCTCAGTTGGTCACACCAAGGCACTACTAATCCCATATCACCATGACCATCTTTAAACAGGGATATTTCTCCGCGGGACACCCACAAGAACCGAACACCACTGTTAAGAACTCCGGCAATGATTTCATCCATTTGGTTACTTGAAACTGAAAGGAAGCTTCCCATTGAAATATACAATACTGAATCTCTGGGTTGGGAATTTAGCCATTGTAGATAGTAAGGAAGATTGTGATGATAACCATTAGTAGCTGAAGAAGAATTGCTTTCTAGTTCAAAATAAGGTATCATAGGGCCTAAAGGGAGGACACGAAAGGGGAACTTCAATTTTAAAGCATCAATGACTTTAGATTCAAGCTCATAGACAGAAGTGGATAGCAAGTACTGTGTTTTGGACACCATTGAAACAGATTCCAAGACTCGGTGCAGCGTCTTCCGACCAATTCCATCAAATACTGTTGGAAAATCTAGTAGACGTGTTGGAGGAATTCCAGGGATGTAATCCACGCAATCTTCTCCTCTTTCTGCTAGCCATTGAAATGGGAAGGAAAAGAGAAGAACTTACAATCCTCATATCTATGTGTGTGTATATATATATATATATATATATACATTAGAATCCTGCAATCTTGAACCAACTAATCAAGGAAATAGCAAGCTCAAGAATCTATTTTGGATTATGCTACTGAGACCAAGCCTTAATAAATAAAACACGAGCTGTGTAACTTCTAATTAATTAATTACTTAAAAGAAACTTTAAGATATGAACTAATAAATTACCTGATAGTTCAACCGGAAAATGCCCATTTTGTAGCAGGAGATCAAAATGGTGAAAGACAGAAAATACATCAGCAGGCATAGGCCAAAGAGAAGCCACCGGAATATTCCTTCGATTCCCAACACTGACAACCCAGCCCAAATAAGTATCAGCTATTATCACATTCACAGGCAAATCAAGCCGATCAAGAAGTTGCTCAAATGGAGCTTCCATCTTCGTTGCTACAGCTTCAAAGAATCCCGGAAAATCTTTCGCTCGAACAAGCTCTGACGGTATATCATTGGGGATTGTGTCAAATCGGATATTCTCCGGCTTCTTGCAACCGCTAAGGAAACTGTGCCACTCTTCGGTGACCACGAAGGTGAAGAGAATGTTGGGATTTTTTTTCGGTGACCACGAAGGGTGAGGAGAATGTTGGGATTTTTTGAATTGCATAAGCGCTCGCAGAGATTCGATCACGGGTTTATATGACCTCTACCTGGATACGGAAGGCCAACACGTGGCAAGATGCTGGTTTGGTTTCGCACTTATGAGGTATTCATGTCTGCTCAACCGTGGATTCTGTTGAATACAATCGAGGAAGAGTATGGGTATAAATCAGAAGGTCGGCTAGATAGAAGGGCGGAAAGCAACAGCCAGCGAGAAAGAAGTAGGTAAAAGACCGCAGTCGGATGTTCAATAGACCGGATAAAGCGCCAACACAAATTTTGAACGATTCAAATACCCCAATTAACAACCATTGATTTGAGAACTCAGTGATTTAGTTTCTTGGTTTATTGATATTATAAAAGAACTGTAAAATTAATTCAACATGAGTATTAGGATCAGTGATTCAGGCGTTCGTTTTCCTTCGAGCAAAAGAGATCGCCATACATGAAGCAACATGCTGCCGGCCAGGCGCAAAACGCTGAGAGCCTTTTGACCTTTTTTGATTAGCTCCAACCTGAATAAATTTCAACTATTTGTTATTTTCAAAATCTTAATGTCCTAAATAAATTAATTAAAATAAAATCATTGTATTAAATTAAAACGTCTGACTTTCAAAAAAATGTTTTGTGTTGGATTCTTTTAAAAGCAGAAACCGCCGTGGAAGTGACGGAAAAAATTTTTAATAAAATTAAGATTGAGGCATTGTTAATCTGAGTCATAATTGAATCAGCATATTAGTAAGGAAAATAGCGAAATCATTTCGCAGATTGCTTATAAAAATAGATATTTGAGGCGTAAAGGTTAACTTTTTTGGCTTTCAATATTAAGAATCCCGGAAAATCTTTCGCTCGAACAAGCTCTGACGGTATATCATTGGGGATTGTGTCAAATCGGATATTCTCCGGCTTCTTGCAACCGCTAAGGAAACTGTGCCACTCTTCGGTGACCACGAAGGTGAAGAGAATGTTGGGATTTTTTGAATGCATAAGCTTGCAGAGATTCATCATCGGGTTTATATGACCTCTACCTGGATACGGAATGGCCAACACGTGGCAGATGCTGGTTGGTTTCGCTTTGAGGTATTCCATGTCTGTAACCGTGAATTTGTGATACAATGAGGAAGGTATGGGTATACAACAGAAGTCGGCTAGTAGAAGGCGGAAGCAAAGCCAGCGGAAGAAGTAGTAAAAGACCGCAGCGGTGTTCATAGACCGGTATAAAGCGCCCAACAAATTGAACCGATTCAAACCAATTTAAAACCATGATTTTAGAACTCAGTGATTTAGTTTGGTTTATGATATATAAAGAACTGTAAAATTAAATCAACTGAGTATTAGGATCAGTGATTAGGCGTCGTTTTCCTTCGAGCAAAAGAGATCGCCATACATGAAGCAAATGCTGGCCGCAGCAAACGCTGAGAGCCTTTGATTTTTTATTAGTCCAACTGAATAAATTCAACTAATTTGTTTATTTTCAAAATCTAATGTAATAAATTAATTAAAAATCTTTGTATAAATTAAAAAGCGTCTGATTCAAAAAAATGTTTTGTGTTGGATTCTTTAAAAGCAGAAACGCCGTGGAAGTGACGGAAAATTTTTAATAAATTAGATTTGAGCATTGTCTAATTGAGTCATATTGAATTCAGGCATATTAGTAGAAATAGCAATCATTTCGCAGATTGCTTAATAAAAATAGATATTGAGGCCGAGGTACTTTTTTGGCTTCGATATAACGACTAAGAGTAGTATTATTTTAATACTTGCAGTTTTTTTTATAGCTTATCTTTTCTTATCTCAAGAGGAGATATGTACGTCTATCTTGTACTGTTGTAAGGAGTTTTTGGTAACCGAATATTTTCAATTATCAAATTCAAGTGTAATTTTGAGTGTATAGAAAAAGTCTGCTGGGTCGGATTTAATTTCTTGAGTTTGATAAGTTTTTTTTCAATTTTATAATTTAATAAAATAAAATATAAATTGCTGATAAAAAAAAAATTCTTCACCCATATCTGAATTTTGCATCACGGAAAAAATTCAATTCTGATTGAGAGTATAATTTTAAAACGTGACCAGTTTTATTAATTAAAATTCATATATATAAATCAAAACTTCCCTCGTCTCATTTCACTCTGAAAAAGAGATATATATATTTAGAACTATTCTATTTTATTATTATAATATTTCCATTAATGAGCAAGTAAAAATTAAGAAGCATTTTATTATGATTTTAGTAGTAAATTAATAATTGAAATTATTTAAATTTAATTGATTTTTTTTCAAAAAAAATGTATCGATAAATGTAAATCAAAATTCTTCTTTTAAGAATTTTCTAAATAAATCTAGAATAACAAAGGGTTCGTTTTATTTAATTTTCTTTTCTTTATGTTTTATAAACTAACCAAATATTATAAATAAATGTTAAGAATATTTATATAATTTAATTACAATTCAATATTTTTAATATTTTAAAATAATTTTTTTACTATAAATCACGTTCTTTTCAAACATGAATATTGATAAAATAAAATTTTATTTAGAATTAAAATGACTCTCTTTGTTCTTTCGTTATTCATCAAAAAAGTTCTATTTCAATTTTCTTACATGAATCCTATATTAATTTTTTTTTCGTCGAATTCTAAAGTTATTTAATTAGTAATTAATTTCTTTTAAATAGTTAGTAATTCTATATATATAATTTATTTAGTCCAATTAGAAGACATTCTCAACAAATTTAATAATTCTCTTTCAAAAAATAAAAATATAGTAATATTAACCACTACTATCATTAATCTATCTTTTTAGATAATAAATTATGAGTTTGTTTTGTTTTATATAATTGTTACAAATGGTCTAGCTCCGTAACATGCATCGGGTTGACCTAGATATACACATGCACACACTACATATGCACATGTGCATGCTTGTAAATTGGTGCACGATCATGCTTTTTCCAACAAGAAATGTAGAAACCCCATAACCTAAATCTAAAGAGAAAGAAAAGAACTGTTTCAAAAAAAAGAAATTTGGAAATAATAAAGAAAACCCTTTATCAAGAAAAGGAAAAAAATGTATATATAATTGAACTTAATTAATTAATTAAGTCCAAAGAGACTCTCTCTTGAGAGGGTCTTGAATTGTTACATTGCTAGAAGATGTAAAGTTATAATAGTGAGGAATTTGATTGCCACTACTATTATTAGTCGCTAAATCAAGTGAGGATTTAACTTCATGATCTTGGTCTTGGTTTGGAAATATTACAGGCTCTTGCTGCTGCATCTGAATGCAAAATAGCTCAGCTTGAGCAACTGAGAGCTGCATTTGTAACTCTGAAACTTGATTTTGTAGATAAGAAATTGCTCCAACGCATCCATAGACAGGATCTCGAGCTCTTGCACTCGCTTCATAAACTAAACTGCTCACAGCATCTGCTCTTTGATCAACTGGAATCTCCTGTATTATATACTCAATGTCATTAAATTTTGTTATCTTTGAGGGAATTAATAGGGGTGAGCGTTCGTAATCCAAACTAAACCCGCTCGAATTAACTCGGTTTCGGTTTATCCAGATATGTTTTTATAGTATCTAAATTCAAAACTAAATGGTATATAACTGATTAAATCGACTTAGATTCAGTTATTTTAAACCAAATACGCTATTTTAGACTTAAAAATAAATTCAGTTGATTATACATGATGATTGAAATATGGTTTTACGTATCCAAATCGATTGGTAATCAAAATTTTAAAATAACTATCTGAATTCAATTGAAAAAGTGATAAAATAAAATGAAGAGAAGAGAAACACTATTCCATTATTTCTTTGTTCGGATACTAAAATGATTCAGATCGAAAAAGTGATCAAAGGAGACGAAGAGAAGAGAACCAGAGTTTCAATTATTTATTTGTTTGGATACTAAAATGGGGAGTCCAAAGATTAAGAAGACGATCCCATTTTCCAATTTCTTTTTGGACAAAGGGAACTCATAGGTGGAACCCAAAAACTCATTTTTGCAACTGTACAATTGCAGATTGGACAAGAATTTCATTATATGTAGTTGGAAGAATTTATGTTTATCCAATGTGAGATGTGAGATTAAACCGTGCATATATTAGGAGTGCAAATACCGAGTGTGTATGAACATTAACGAAACATGCATCTCAAATTTTAATATGTAAAGTTAAAGAAGCTAAGAGAAGAGAAAAGAAAAGTTAAATAAGAAACCTGCAACATTTTGCTGACATTGCTAGCACCAAAAACCTTGTGAACAATGGCGAATTTGTGGGGGTCATGAGAAGGGAAATATGGTGCAAAGATGCAGTCTTTGGCACAGCGACGCCTTAATAGCTTGCAAGATGCACAAGGAGGAGAAGAAGAACCCGCCATTGTTATCTTCTTCAAGTTATAAGGAATTCAAGAATGGAAGTATTAAATTAGCAAGCTTAATTATAATTACTTGACAAGATTGGTCTTAATTATAATTGGGTATTTATAGTAGTTGAAGCTTAGTTAGAGTAGTCGTTATTTTTATGGTTTCCTAATGTAAAATGGATGCACATGTTCTCTTATGTCGGAGATTATTATGCATACACTTTTACATTTTTGCCCTCGTATGACTAGAAGGTTCGGTACTGCTGACTTGGGCATTTAGGTCACATGGGAGAATGTGTAATTTGACCACCGGCTAACGCTTGGCGCGTGATGGGTTGGCAATTGGCAATGCATAAACTGATGTACACATTTGTTGTGTGATAAATAATAATTTTCAAACCATGTTCTTGTCTGACTTTCTAATTAATTTGAATAATTAATTAATTAATTAATTAACATGAACAATTAAGATATAAAACCTAGTATTACATGTACGTATGAACAATTAATTGATTATCATATTCAAAAATAAATTTATTTAATTTTTTTATTTAATAATGAACAATTATTTATTACTTTTTAAAATACTTAAAACGATTTATATTTTGGTACAAAATAACTTATATTTTGGAACAGAGGGCGTAATTGAGTAGACTATACCGCCAATTTATCAACCTAAAGAGTTAGGATGCGAAAACATAATTTTGCATGATGAGAGACTGAACCTTTTTTTTTTCATGAATCTTCCAAAACATATAGTTGTTAAATTGATAATTGAAATTCTTATTTTTAAAATGGAGAGTAAAATCAAATCTTAAGATCTAATATAACTTTTGAAAATTAATTAAAAATAATACATATGCATTTATAGATATATTTTCCACTAGTTTTATCAAAAGAAACTAAAAATTTAAATTTGCAAATAATGTATTTATATAAATTTCAATTCGAATAATGTACTAAACACAAAATGAAAGAGAATCTAAAGATTTGTGTCGTTATCAAGTTCAAAATATCAAACTATCTAATCATGTACTATTTTAATTTATTTAATTTTTTTTTCTAAACAAATATATTAACCAATCTTCATATCAATAGTATAAATATATTAATCTTTCACTAATGTATTAACTAATTGGCTTGAGTATTAAATAAATAAATATAATTTAATTGATTTCAATAATAATATTTAATATGAAGCATTTAATTTTAATGAAATACTAACATTAATTTTAAAAAATAAAGCAAAAATTACAACTTAATTGTATTAATTAAATTTTAATTATTTATACATAAATCAAATCAAGAAACATCTTTGATCTTTTGATGTGTAGGTCCACCCCTTGTAAGAAAAATAGAAAATTTAATAGCTTCTATTCAAGCATTTAATTAATGTATGCTTGGTAGTATGGAATATTCCATTCTTGAAATGTGCATGTACTCATTATGTTTTTTTCTTTTCTTTTCATTTTTCAATCTAAAAAGAAGTGAGGATAAGCAATCTTTTTTGACAAAAAGGAAACATCTCTCAAAACTCAAAACTCTAGGTTATGTAAGACAAAAAATTTTCTTCAACAAATTGGATTTCCTATGCAAACATGATGCCACCAAAAGTCATCTTCTTGATCCAATATTAGACCAAAACACATCTACTAAACAAGTTAGATATCTTTTAGTATTTGTTCAAGAAATACTTGTAAATAAATTTATGGTCAAATGAATTTCACATTATTTAATTGTAATAATTTTCAAAACAACAAAATAATAGTTGTAAAGTATTATTTTTTTTCAACATCCACAATGATATCTTTTGAAAAATGAAATATTAAGCTCATTGCAAAACATTACAAAAGTACAAGCATAATTGATTAAATATAATGAATTTTCCATTTCACTACTTGAAAAAGAAGACTTTCCCATCATTTGGGGGAAGTAGTATGGAGTTGTTTATTTAATCCTTATATAAAAAACTTAAACGATTTATATTCAATTGATAATATTGATTGTTTAATAATATTTAGTTGTAAACGCTGCTAAAATACAAAATGAACACATTATAATATACTCTTTCTGTCCCATTTTGTTTGCTTATTATTATTTTTTTGGATGTCGTAAAATGTTTGTAAGATTTCTAAATTTGAATATGTAAACGATTATTTTTTTCCATGATAACTTTTATGATCATTCATTAAATGAATGACTTTTATTAATATCTTAATGAGTTAAAGCTAAAAAATAGCAAGATAACTTCTATTTACTAAATTCTTAATATATGTATTTTGTCATGCAAACAAAATGGGATAGAAGATTATTTTCTATATTTCCAATTTGTAAAATGAATATATTATTTTCTATCTTGATGTGTTATACTCTCTTTGTTCACTCAGCCGTCAAAGTTTTAAGATTTTTCTTGATTTACTTTGAGTGTCATTTTTTTTAATTCAAAAATGAAGTTATTGCATGTTTACTTATTTTTTTATTCTTATTTATTAAACTCCACTACTACTGAAGAAAAGGTTGTGATTTCAAGATGTAAAGGGCATTGAGGTAATTTAAAATGAAAATTTTATAGGATTAAGATAAACTAATCATTTCCTTGTCCTTTGTTGAAAAAACTGAAAATTGACAGTTTGAGTAGAATGAAGAGAGTATAAAGTTAATCATTTTTTACAGTTTACACTTCTATTCCTCAAATCTTTCACTCTCTAATGGAAAAACAAAGATTGAAAAACTAAATTTGAGACGTAAATGTACAAGAAGCTATCCCATATCATTATGTTTTTGTTTTTTTCAGATGAACAGGCCATTGAATAGTTACAAAGTCTTGAATAACAACATGATGATGACCTAATCAGAGTTTGTGTGTTTTTTGGTTGAAAGAACATGAACAAGGCATTATCTGCATTCTCATCTCAGTTAGCGACGGACCTGTAAATTCCCTGTTGCACACGTTGGGATTCACACAATTGTCGTGCATTTCGCTTCTTGATTCCATTGCGAAATAGAATGCTCCCTGTACATTTTGTTTCTTTATTAAATGGAGAATTCCTGTTGCTGTTCTCAACAGTTTTCCTTTTCAAGTACTCCGTTGCCTGTGCCTGGACTGTAAAAGAATAAGAAGAATTTGCAATGGTAATTTAAAATTATGTTCCAGAAATTTTCTATTATCTAGACTTCAAGGTCACTGCATGCCACTTAACAAAGAAAAACAATTTTTATGAATTACTGGAAATTATAAGTTACTCTAAATCCTAAATTGGAAACTGATGATTTTTCAACTTGCCACAATTTTATAAAGCATGCAGGAGTAATTATGAAAGCCACTCCTATATCAGCTGCCTTAAAAGTTGTGGCACCTAGCCTATGTTAAGGCCCATACTGAGAACTTTGATTGTTGTCGAGTCATTGCAAGCATTTATAAGAACTTCTTTAGAGTACTAACCTGTCTTCATTAGGTGAGATGCTAAAAACCGAGAAGATAGAGTAGATTGTTGAAATTATCAATCAGATACCAAATAAAATTAACTGCAGCCTCCTTTTTTCTAAATCAGATTTGAAGTGACTAATGATTCTCACTCTTGTTATCATTGGAATGCATCATCAACTTCAACATTGTTTTCCATACCATTGCATCCATAATTAATCACGTCAAGCTAACTTCATTTCATTTCACCAACTTAATCCAAATACAGAAACATTTAATCAAACTTCAACCCCCTAAGCCACGAGTAAGCACAGTCTGCTTCATTTTGGTACAAGTTAAAGTATCAGCTAATAATCTGTTATGCTTCGCATGCTTATTACTTGTAGAAAGAATTTTTTCCAACTCTGCAACCATGTTGATAGAACAAACACATCATTATCACAGCAGGTGCAGACATCCTATGTGAAAATGAATTATGCCACAAATCTTAAGAATTAACATCACAAAGAAGACATACCAGAACTTGGAGCTGCAAACTTCACGGCATATTCCCTGAGACTTTTTATTCTTTTGTCCACAGGGAATTCACTTGTTTTGGAATTGGCAACACCATCCTTTTGAAGGCATAACAGAGCATTTTCACATGCCTAAATAAATGAAATTCATAGCAGAAGTTCAAAATTTTCACAACTATCTAGTTAGTGTAATTTTAACAGAAAAAGAATCCAACGACAAGATCTGAACCATGAAAGAATCACAAAATCAGGCAAAGCAAAAAATGCTGAAAGGAAATGACAAATGGATTGCCAAAATCAAATATCTAAGAGCCAACTTGATCACATAACAATTGATTCATATAGCATCAATAAATAAAATCATTTTGCAGTAATGTCAATGAAACACACTTGATTACTCCTGTTGAACAACAAACTCTTTTTTGACTTCAGATCCAAAAAGAAATGTTCAACCAACACTAAGAACAGAAATCCCTTCTTTGATGTAAAGAACAAACTACATAATAGAAAGGAATTCTCCTCTATCCATATGCTATTTTGGAACTCCCAAGTTGTCCATAGAAAAGAACCCTCCAAAACAAAATACAATCCCTTGTTATTAAGTGTTAACACAGGCAAAAACAGGAAGTTCCTAAGTAAGTCAGCAAAGTTAAAGCAAGGTTATAATTATTATCACTGGCTTAAATTTCATCTTGGCATTTAATAATTCAAAAAACATTTAATCTCACAAGATATCATATTAATCTATCTTGTTTAATAATATACTAAAATTAAAAACGTTTACCTGTCTAGCAACTGGATAACAACCATTATCAATTAAGTTTCCAGCAAAATTTAGCCATTCCATATATGAAACTTGTAGAGATTGGCAACTTGAAGACTCAACTTGCCGTAAAAGCAAAGCCTCATATTTCAGAGCGAAACAACTCTACCATCCCAAAAGAACACACCGATTAGCACGAATTACATATATATGTATATATATATATATGACAGTTGACAAATGTATACCTTAGCATCACCCAAGAGAGCGAAAGCACGAACAAAGAATTCGAGAATCCTAAGCTTCTCGGAAACAGCTTTCTCTGTAATCGCACGCATAACAGAGAGAGATTTAGATCTCATGAATTCTCTTAAGCTAAATCGCATTTCCATCAAGGATTTCACATCTTTGCACACCAAAATGGATTCAAGAATTCGCAGCGTCTTATCATCGAATCTATCAAAAAAGTAACAAATAATAATTATAATGGTGTTGATGATGGAATTGAAGATTCCAAGTGTAGAAAAATTTACCTTCCTCGTTGAATTTCTTGCTGAAAGATTGCAATCTCGGCCTTAATCTCTATGTGCATTATTAGGAAAAAGCTCTGTATCAATGATAAACTATCATGAGTTTGTATTGGTTTTTGGCTGACGAGAGATGGAGGTCGTGGCTTTGTTCAATTTGGGAGGGAATGGGAAGCTAGCGCAATCGGGGAAGCGAAGGAAATTTATATATACCTACCTCAAACGGTAACCTTTTACTTGATATTGAAGTTTTAAAGAAAAAGGGAAAACGACAGTTGGAAAATAATAAATAGGTCCCTGAATTATTATCAAATTAACACGGGAGAACTTTTATTCTAAAAACTACTTATAAGGTGTTTAAATTATGCTTTTTTTAATACTTTGGTCCTTCGGTTCAAAACAGAAGGACAGAAGTACCAAAGTGTTAACGGAAATTATTTGAGAATGACTAAGGTGTTAACAAAAATTATAAGTTATAGATCTCATAGTTAATTTGACTTATAATTTAAGGACCAATTTTCTCGGTCAATTGATAGTTAAAAGAAGTTATTTTGAACGGAATGACCAATATATTAATGAAATAATAAGTCAAAGACTTTATAGTTATTTTTAAAAATACAGGTCTTCATGTGTTAATTTAATATATAATTCAGGGACCAATTAATTTTTTTCCATAAATCTTACCCCTCTATCCCAAAATATGACGTCCCGACCCGGCAAAGCGATCCTAGGATGGCAAGCTAGCTAGGGTAGTGGAATGCGGGACACAGGAATGAATCGAATCATATATCGAAAATGGGGAAACTAATCATTAGATACGCCTTTTGGTGGAATGGCTAGAGAGTTGGAAGAACTCCAGGGTTAAGTGTGCTCGCTTGACAGAAATCCTAGGATGGGTGACCTTCTGGGAAGTTTTCCATTTCACCTGCGGGACAAAACCGTGAGGGTGGGTGTATGTGTTGGTCGAATTAGGCCGGGGCACAACCCCGTGGCTAAAGCTGACAATTCCTCTGGTGATTAGAGTCGGGGCGTGACACAAAAAGATAGTCGATATATTTTTTTGTTTGTCCCAAAATATAATTCTCTTTCCTTTTTGTATTATAGTTAATTTTTAAATTGTCTATTATACTCTTATTAAATTTTATCTTATTTTCAATAACCCTCATTAATTCTTATTTATTATTCGTATATTATAATTGCTCATGTATTTTTACAGATGGCCATAATAGAAAAATTATACGAATAAAATTATTATTTAATCATAATAATTTTTATTTTCTTAATCTGTGTGAAAATAAAAAGTTGACTATCTTTTTAAGACGGATGGAGTACTTGTTTCGAATTTTTAATAACTGGATTAGACTTGCCAATATTTCATTTATGAACTTATCCATGAATCAAACCAATCAAAGTATAAAATTTTTTTTATAATTTTTTTTTACTTTTTTTAGTAAATGGTTAGAAATACCTTATTTCAATAATAAAAAAAAAAAATTGTTGGCTCTATGTATGGTGGGCCCTTAGACCAAGTCTAGCAAAACAATCCCTTATTAATTATAACATTCCATAACATAATATTTATAATAACATTTAAATGTTAATGTTTCTTCTCTAAGGTCACTTCTATGTTAAGTCGTGTTATAAGTAGCTAAGTAGCTGTTGTAAGTAGCTTTCAGCTATTTTATTGGTAAATAACGATTATATATTAGTTATTTTACTAATTGTTAACGATTATATATTAGTTGCTTAAATTGTTTAGCGAAAATTATTATTTGATTAACTCGTAAATGTAAAATATACATCTATGCATGTGGGAATGGGCAGGCTTTGAGAAATATTGTGATGGTAAAAAATGTCTCTATTAAATTTATGAATTGATAAAAATATTATTAAGAATTTTAATTTTTTAAGTTTAAATATAAAAATACTATTTAATTTTGACTGGTCATGTTAATATAGTATTAATAAAAAAATAAAGGGAATTTAATTTTAATCGGTTATATATAAGTTACATATAAATATGGCAAGAATGTAATACATTTACTTAGTATTTTTAATAAATATTTAATTTGATTAGTTATAATTAATTCCTACAAATAATTTATTATATAAAAAGTAAACGTGATTTATTAAGAAATATATTATAACCTTTATTGTTCGATATAAAATATAAAATAAAAAAATCACTAAAAAGATATATAAGATTATAACATGTTACATTAATAAACTATATAATATGTTTATTGAAAGAAAAATTTTTTTCTCAAAAAGGCAACTATATAAAATTAATTATATACTCATAAACTTTAGCAAAGACATAAACAAAAGTATAAAAAATATAAACGATGTTCTAAAACAGTAATTAATATAATAATTATTATAATAGTTAATACTGTTTTCCATATCTTAATAACATAGACAATTTATAATATCATATTATATACAAAATAAGTTAATTAAATTTAAATTATTATAATAAAGTATTTAAATTGATTGTGTTCGCACTGTAAAACAATCATAGCTAATTCACGGTTTGAGCGCACCAGGTAGTAAAGTTTACCAACTACAGAATGAATTACCCCACCTGGCTCCACAATAAACATTTCACCGACTGCTCGAAACTAATTAACAGTACTTAAAAAGTAAATGTTGTAAAACTTTGTAAAATAAAGAGATTGCTTGAATTAAAAATATTATATTAAGAAATACTGAAATTGCAAAAACAATTTGAAAATACTTGGAAAAAGAAATTACAATGAATATAAATGAAATTGAAATTGCTATTTGCTTGAGAAATTGCATTTGAGTTTGATCTTGAGTTGGATTTTTTGGAGTTGATTGTTAGGGCTGATTTTAATTTTAATTGGTCAAAAGTAACATAATTATGTCCTAAAGTTTGTTTTGCTTAGTTTGACATATGACTTGCCTCGTAGACAGGGCAAGTAAGTTTTTCCTATAATTATAATTCAATTTTATTGTAAAAGATTTAATTATAATTATAGTTAAATTAGGAATTTTAATCAAGAATTATATTAGATTTCTTTATATATATATATATATTAAACATTGTTTTAACTTTTATAGCATTTTCAAATATAATTAATTGGTAATATAATAAATTTATTTTAATTTTTATTATAAAATAAATACATAACACAGAAATGAGACACTTAAAAAAAAAAAAAACGACGACACAGGACAGCTTTGAGATAGTTGATTAAATTTGTTTTTGGGGTGTTACATTAATTAAATAAATCTTTTTTGAGAAGATTTTTTTTTTTAAATCATAAAAACTTAAAAAAAGCTTATATTTATTTATTTTCCCTCGTCAACCAGACCGAACCACAAAAAATAATCCAGCTCTTAGGAACCCTAACTTGTCAAAGCAACAGCCAAAATCCTTGAATCCGGTAACCTGTTCAAAGATCTCTGCTTTTTCTCTTTCCTTGAAACAAAACTAAATTTTTATGACAACAATCTTTTACATCAATCCTTTAGTTATTCAACAACCAACCCACAATTCTCCATGGCTACAGAAGCCACCGCCAGCAAATTCCAAAACCCTGATTTCCGCCCGGTTGAAATCTCTGTAACCGCTCATGACGGCCTCCATTTTTGGCAATTCATGGTCGCCGGTTCCATCGCCGGCTCCGTCGAGCATATGGCTATGTTTCCAGTTGACACAGTCAAAACCCACATGCAAGCTCTCGGTTCTTGCCCAATTAAATCCGTCAGTGTCACCCACGCGCTCCGTTCTATCCTCCAATCCGATGGACCCTCCGCCCTCTACCGTGGTATCGCCGCCATGGGTCTTGGCGCGGGCCCTGCTCACGCTGTCTATTTCTCCGTCTACGAAGTATGTAAGAAGTATTTCTCTGGTAATAATCCAAATAATTCAATGGCTCACGCCATGTCCGGTGTTTGTGCTACAGTGTGCAGCGACGCCGTTTTTACGCCTATGGATGTGGTGAAGCAGAGATTGCAATTGGGGAATAATACTTATAAGGGAGTATGGGATTGTGTTAAGAGGATTTTAAGAGAAGAAGGGGTTGGGGCGTTTTATGCATCTTATAGGACTACCGTTTTAATGAATGCACCTTTTACGGCTGTGCATTTTGCAACTTATGAGGCCACAAAGAGAGGCTTAATGGAGATTTCACCAGAGAGTGCTAATGATGAGCGGTTGGTTGTTCATGCTACTGCTGGAGCTGCGGCTGGAGCTCTTGCTGCTGCTGTTACCACTCCACTTGATGTTGTTAAAACTCAGTTGCAGTGTCAGGTACTTTAGTTCTTGCTTGCCACGGTTTATTTACTAATTTAACATTGTCAAGTGTGAAAATGCTAGCTTAAGTAAATTATTAGAGTTTAATCATGGTTCCAGAATTATGAAGATTTAGAATAGATATTTGTATAGGTATTATAAATAACTAATTTAATAGATAAGGATCATAACTGCAAGGGTTTAGGCAGTGCACAATTGAGGAGGAACAATTGGGTACTTAATAGTGGGGGGAAAATGAGGAGAAAAGGAGGGAGATAAAAATTATTGCTTAGCAAATAATGATTTGGTAGTGAACAAGGAAAAGATAGGAGAGAAAAGATATTTAACTGTCTGTAGTACTTCAAGCCTGAAACATAATTGAGTTGAATTGGAATTATCTAGTCGTTTGCATTTGGTCTCAACAGTTATTTCTAGATGGTATTTTGTACTCGACTAAACTGAAAAAGACCCAGCTTAGCTAGAATATGAATTGCAAACATCATCTCCCTGAATACACTACTCAAATAAATTCTTTGACTGTGCACTTCTCGCATATTTATTTACTTCTTGCAACCTCAACTTGACTATATCCTCTGTAGATTTTGAAATTCCATTTCAGCAGAGATCATTTCCAGATCAAGTAAAAGCATAAGACTACATCCTATGATTCTGGTTCTACATTCCAGTAAGCAGATTTTGAGCGAGATAAGAGCATTCTCAGTCTTGGTCCTGAGTTTCTAGCCTCAAAAGTTTTTGCATATAGAGCTCCTTCTGTGCTTTATATTCTTCACTTCTTGTTACTTAACTAAGGGCTTTTTAGGCAAAAGTGATTTCATGCTTGGTTTCCTCTTTTGGTAGTAGTAAATTTTATTAAAAGGAGCAACTTCCTGGCTGTTGAAGTGAGGTACCTATTGAGGGAGTTGCTATTCTTTGGAGAAAGAAAAAAAAACCCAGAAATCAGTCATGAGTCATGAGACCTGAAAATAGGTTCTCAATAACCACCATTGCCATAATCAAAGCACTATTACATCTCCACAATGTCAATGGGATTTTTTAATTTCCAAAAATATTCTCTTATCAGTTGTATCATGTGGCTAATTATTACACTCTTTCATTTCAATTTGCAAAATTCATCTTCTCTTCCATGTAGAGTTTTCAAACCAATTGGAACATGGATATCATAGTCAAGAATATTGATCTTTATCTGTGGTTTTGTTTTATTAAACTCATTTGTTTCTGTTCTAAAGCATACCTCCAATGATGATGTGAAGTTGCATTTTTCAAGAGCTCCAGAATTAGGGAAAATGCCTTTGGGACAGAAAATAGATAATGTTTCCTGAATTAGGAAACATGCGTTTGAGATAGAAAACAGAAAATGTCTTGACCAAAAAAGGCTATTGTCTGCAACTAACTTCCATGAGGACTCTTTGAGTTGGAAACTTATGAAAATTGTTATTCTAAGCAATTTTTCTGCCTCCATGTCTTTGGTGATCTTTAGTCGAGTTATCTATAAACGTTCATCTTTTGAATGGTTTTTTTTTTTTTTTTTTTTTTTTTTTTCTTGTGCGTTTTGTTATTTATTAAACTCATTGTTCTGTTCTAAAGCTATTACCTTCCAATGATGCATGTGAGAGTGCATTTTTCAAGAGCTCCAGAATTAGGGAAAATGCCTTTGGGCAGAAAATAGCATAATGTTTCCTGGGAATTAGGAAACATGCGTCTTGAGATAGAAAACAGGAAAATGTCATTGGACAAAAAAAGGCTATTGTCTGCCAACTAAACTTCCATGAGGGACTCTTTGAGTTGGAAAACTTATGAAAAATTGTTAATTCTAAGCAATTTTTCTGGCCTCCATGTCTTTTGCGTGATCTTTGTCGAGTTATCTATAAACGTTCATCTTTGAATGGTTTTTTTTTTTTTTTTTTTTTTTTTTTTTTTTTTTTTTTTTTTTTTTAAGTTTTAGAACCTCTCAAATTCTGAAGTACGTTTGAGTTTCCTATATAATAAGGATTCCTGCTTTTTACGTAATTTGGTTCTCTATTATGAGTTACTTTTTAAGTCGGAAATTAGCATTGAGGACTTGATGGCTTAGAGTGGGCCTCATGTCCTCAACCTTGGGCAATACAATAGAATGTGGAAGATTCATTTTTTGGAATTGATAATGAATGCACAAGTATGCAATTGGGTTTAGGTCTGTAAACCCAGTTGCTGCTTGAACTTTTTAACTGTGGATATGGACAAGAGATTGTTGGAAGGAAACTTAACCATATGAAAATCTAGTGTTGTGTCTGTTCTTGTTTGTAATGTGACGTCACCTTGATATTATTGGGCTCCTCCTGATCAGTTTGCATATATTTTTGCTAGATATGTATTTTTACAACTGTTATTTGCTTGGAATTAGATGTTAAACTATACTTGATTTGTGTGTCTGAGACTGTTTTCCTTTTCGTAGGTAGCAACTTTTTCCTATTTTAAGTATTGTCTTTTTTGTTGTATGACTAAAGTTTGCCTTTGTTTTCACTTTCAAACTTTGCGTAACTTTTCATGCTTCCACAATCCATGACAATTTGGTAGACTCCATTTTATTGTAAACCATTAGGAAAACAGTTAATTAGAGCACAGTTGCAAGATTTATTTAAGTTTATAGGCTTCCTAGAATTTTGTGTCGGGAAGTATTGCATGAAATCCAATAATTCTCTGAATAAGTTCAGTAATATTAGCAATAATTGGGTTTGCAGGGTGTTTGTGGGTGCGATAGATTTAAAAGTGATTCAATTGGCGATGTGATCAAGGTAATACTAAAAAAGGATGGGTACAGAGGGCTCATGAGAGGTTGGATTCCAAGGATGCTTTTCCATGCACCTGCTGCAGCCATCTGCTGGTCTACATATGAAGCCTCCAAAGCTTTCTTTCAGGAACTCAATAATAACAGCAACAGTGGTACTATTACCTGAATAAACATCAAAAGTAAGGGGATTTACAATTTTTAGTTGCGCGACAAATAATGCTATACGAGGAACAAGATGTTAGCTTCACACGAGGGATGTTAAGCACACGAGGGATGTTAAGCAAGATGCATGCGTAATTTTTCTGGTCTCATCCCTGTTTTCTCAGGTGTTAGTAGAAAAATTGATTTGTCAGATTAGAAGAATCAATTGTGTTGTACACATTGTTGTCCGATAAATATATTTTTCTCCAGCATATTGTAGTTTGCAAGAAATCCTCAAATGTGTCCTATCCAATTTTTTTTAACTTGGAAGAATTTTGCATAAAGAAGTTATTCAATTTCCTGGTCCGTTCAATGATTAGTTACCATGGTTTGTTTTTGTTTGTAATTGTCCTTGTTCTGTGGATGAATGTATGTATTTGACTATGATTCCTGACTGGGCAGTCGGCATCTCACTCGGAAACCACAAAAAAAGTCAGGTTGATGCATAAATTTGACCCTATGTATAAATTTAATCACGATCCTACACTTTCGCACATTATTAATAATTATGTTCCTTACAAAAATAGAATGTAAAAGCATATGGTTATAATTAAATTCCACTAAAATTATTCCATTTTGATGAATGACATGATTATTGCTGAAATGTAAAAGTGTAGGATTATGATTGAATCTTTCACGACAGTACAATTCAGGAGCCACGAGGAGAATCGATCAAAATTTATTGTTGAAATATAAAAGTGCAGGATCATGATTGAATCTCCCATAACCATAAAATTCAGGAGCCACAAGGAGAATCGGTCAAAATTCATGGTTCAAGTCTTGGATTCCAAGACTTCACTTTTTCCCCTCTATTATTAGGGAATGGGAAGAGAAAACACAATCACCACGGGAAACTCGAAGGGTAGGGATAAGAGGATTCACAAACCTTTAACACTCAGGCAATAGCTGATTGAAAGAAAGGTTCATAAATTTTATATGCTCTTGCTGATTGAAAGAAAGGTCCATATAAAACTTTCAACAAGTTACGTTTACTCGACGTGGGATTAGAAATATATACATATTCAAGGTCCAAGAGCTCCACCGACAACTTGTGTTCAATTCTAAACTCACTATAATCCTAATTATTAAATTTAAAATGTTACTTTATAACATATTTCGTGTAATTTATTAAATCAACGTATTTTGGATATATTTGAAGTCCATCTGCAATGAGTACAATCTTATCAAAGTGGAGAAGCAATTTAGCAAAGAACATTCCTTTTATTATCATCATTCTTCACTGTTATTTTCACCTTCTAATCCTTGTGACCTTACAACCTGGCCAACGACCACAGTAATATCATCAAGCTTTCCACCTGCCAATTAAAGAACTCAAGTCAAACTTGGGAAAGAAAAAGGGAAAAAAATTACTTGTAGAAAATAAAATCATGCCTGTAAGCTTCATCCCAAGAATTTTCTTCCACAAAGGAACATCAATACCCTATTTCAAAATAATAGTAGATTAAAATAAAGGTTAAACTTGCACAATTTAGCAGTCAGTCAATTTGCAGAACCAATTTTACCTTGGATTTGGCTTCCAATACATATGGAGATTCGAATTCCGAATCCATTGAGTGAATGCTCGCTAAGTTAGCTAATGCCTTTGCTAGCATTGAAAGTGAATTTTAGTTAGAAGAATTAAGCAGTTGAGTTAAAATTCTCTGGTTTAAATTAAACTATGGAAGCCTACCAGCCTCGGTTACATTACTATGTCTGGCAATTATTGAAACAATCTCGTCGTCGAATACATTGTCAAAAAGACCATCTGAGCCCATCACAATGGTGTCCCCCTCAGTTAATTGCACACTGCCAACCTTTTTTTTCAAGAGATGGAAAGCAACCAAATCAGAAAATGATAACACCATCAAGTTCCCCATATCATCACTCAGAATTCAAAGCTGCAACTATGATGACAAGTAATTGTGCCATACCCATCAGCAAGTTTTGTAATCCAAAATCAAATCAATTCAATTCTCTGGTTACACAAAATAAAATGATGAAACTGAGTAAATCCTAAAATTCTATACCACCTTGCAAGGCTAAATACTCCTGGTTGACCGATAGCGAAGTAGTACCATGAGGAAAGGGTGAAAAGAACCCCATCAGGGAGTGAAATAGAACGTGAAACTCTAAGCTCCCAAGCAGTGAAGGAGCCTGAGGCTCTGACCGCATGCCTGTTGAGGAATGAGCTGGCAACTCATAGGGGTTAAGGGAGTATATTTTCAATCATTCAAGTTTTAAGCAGAGAGTAGATGGAAACTGAAGTCTATATCATTATTCTAAACAGAAAGGTATAAGTCAAATTGAGGCCGTAGGAACATGTTACCAAATACCAAGATTTCCAGTGTAGGATTAACACATCAATAATCCAGACAAAATATGAAAAGCTGATAACGAAACAAACAGTCAAGCTCTTTTACTGGAAACAAGATATAAAAATCATCATACCATGGCATCAATGTATGTCTGGCCAACCGTTTCTGAGCTCAGTTGGTAGGGACAATCAAAATAATGTTCTTGAATTGGTGTGGAAAAAATTATCTGACCTATGTAGTCAATAAGTTATCAGAACAGAACTGTCAACGGAAAAGAAGAAAACACAGGTTAACTGCTATACCTCCACGGATAACCCTTAGTCCGCAATCTCCAACATTGGCTATTTTTAGCTTTCCACTTCTCTCCAGCATGGCCACAATCCTATTTGATGAAATCTCTAATTAAGCTTAACAATTACACTGTAATTTATATGCTCATAAGCACATTGATAGATTGTTCTATTGCAAACTACATGACGTAGCGTTGTTAAAAGCATTATGAACCTACACAGTAGCAGAACCAATAGAAGCAGTAGCAGCGTGTGCTTTCCTTAAGAGAATCTGGGGGTCATAGTTGACCTACCAAAAATAAACATGTATCCTGTGTTAATCAACATTGTCAGTGGCAATTCCATTAGAAATTATACTCTTACAATCTCACTTCAAAGATATTGTTTGCAGCGGATTAAAATAATCATAACATATCAATACAATATTGTTTTCTTTGTTTACTACCACTACCTCCTCATCCGCCACGAGATATGAAGCATTAGCCATCAGTTCTTGAGGGAATAAAGAAGGATCCACATTCTGTTCGGCCCAACTGACCATTTAAATAGCAAAAGAAAGAAAGAAAGAAAGAGAACGGTCTCAGATTTCATCAAGTAATATCTGGTACCTTTGTAGCATGGCATAATTGAACATAATGGAATTTAATCAAATAAAAATTCAATATAATAATGGACCAAATTCATTTCATTACATTACATCACGTTTTATTATTATGGTCTGAAAAACATGTATTTATTTCATATAAACTACAAGCAGACAGACTCTAAGGACCTTTGACATTGTTGTTTGAAACGCCGTTTCACAAAAACACTATGATGAAAATGATTATTAGAGGAAGATTAAACATGTTTTAAAGGTGAATGAAACATGTTCCGGCCATGAAAGCTCCAAAACAGCTAAAACTATTTTTTCCAATACCATCTAAATTCGTATCATTTTAAAAAAACAATACCAATCTCAATGTAAATAAACTCTAAGTGGCTTACAAACCTTCAAGTTATGATTTTAAACAAAAAGTTGCAAATTTTATATGCAAATTCCAAGTCATTAGTCAAACAAATAGCAAACAAAAACATTCACACTTCAAAATTCAAGACAAATAAGAAAAATAAGCGACAAAACTTAAGCAAGATTCCATACCCAGAGACACCATCAGCCACAGCAATCACTCCCCCATTATAGCTGCTCACCAAAAATGCATCTTCGCCACCTCTCTCAATCTATTAAAAGTGCAAGTAAGTTTATACTATAAGCCATTTTCGCTATATATACAAATAACAAACAAAAAAGTGATTATCAAGAGCTTGCCTTGTTAGGATGTGGGATTAAGTGAGTTCCAACACAGAAAGACACCTCTGACCTATGAGCGAAAAAGAAACTTAACCCTTGAAAAAAAAAATCGTAAGTAAAAACAGAAAATTTAATAAGCTAAGAGAAAGAAGCTAACTGAACTGAATAGGGTCGAGCTGTGATGTTGAAGAGAAACAAAGCCACTTATTCTTCCTGGGAATTGAATTTTCGTTTGATAGAATAGGAAGTGAAGAATGAAGAAATGGGTGAGAGCGAGAAATTGAATCCCAGAAAACGGGAATGGCCATTTCCCGCTTGGATTCTCTCTCTTTCCTTCTGAGCGGATAACTACCACACTTCGCTGCTCCTTATTTGCGGAGTTCGAGTGTGAGCGGTTCAAAATACGGGTGAGCAAACTGTGGAAAAAAACCGAAAAAATCGAATTAGTTTCAATTTTTGGTTCAGTTATTTTGGTTTTAAAATTCTATGATTTTGGTTTCCTATTATTACAAAATACTTGGGTCATATTTGATTTGATGTAATCAACCATGTAACAGAGTGAGGATTACATTATATGATTGATTACGTTGTGTTAAACTTTTTTTGGATAATATAATGTAATTGAGATTACATATGCAATCTTCGTTACTTAAATTGATGCAATATTCATTACATCAAAAACACATCTATTGTCCATTACATCAAGCAAATGTAATATCAATTACATCAAGTTACCCTAATAAAAATTATATTATTCAAGGCTATTTAACACATCTGACCACCACAACCACTACCTTAGCCATCATTATCACCACCGCTCCACCAACCTCACCATCACCTCAACTACCACCACGACCATCACCACCACCACTGCTCCACCACTACCATCGCACCGCCACCGCTCCACCATCACTACCACCTCAACAACTTCACCACCTATATATTTAGATCTTACATTTCACGTATGCATTTAAATATGTAAAAATAGCAAGCGGTAAAATCACTTTTAGTAAATTCAATCCTAATAATTGACTCAATTTATAATATTCAATCTATTAATGATGAGACATTTACGAAATTTCTAACTACAACGTTTTTTTGTTTTGGTTTTATGATTTACGAAAATCTACTGATAGTATTATATTTGCTAAAACGCCATAAATAAGTTTAAAATGGTTTAATAAAACTCATTTGAATTTAATTAAAATAATCAAGTTTGATTTACTCTCTTTTTTATTGAACCAATAATAAGTTGAAAATTAAAATAATGAATTTTCTAATTGAATATTGGTATTGAGCTAATTACAAACAAAGCATCACGAAAATAAAAAGATTTATACAAGGGTATAAAATTTATTATTCAAATAATATTGATATTGTTTCTAAATCCACATGAAAATTGAAATAAATTTCTATTGTTTTAAAAAACAGATAGGCTATGCTTAGATGTGAGCAATTTGAAACTCAGTTATTTATCAAACTTGTTGCTTGAAAAAAATTATTGTGTATTATTTTCACCAAATAAAATGAAATAAATTATTTATCAAACGTGTAGTAATTAACATCTTGCTGACATTAGTTTCATATCAAAAATTTATTTATACCGAATATATGATTTCACAAATAAACGATAAGTTATTATGTCGAACTAAATTTTATAATTTATTATTTTCATTTAAATAAAATAAAGTAACGAACTGAATGATTTCAAATTTATAGAATATATATATTTCTCTTTGATACGGTTGTTATTTATTATTTTCATTTGTCAAATATGAAAAAATTATTTGAGGTGATGGTGGTGGTGAAGTGGTAGTTGTGGTGATGGAGTGGTGGTGGTGGTGGTGGAGTGGTAGTTGTGATGGTGGTGATGGTGGTAGAGTGATAATGGAATGGTAGTGGTGAATGAGTGGTGGCAGTATGTTTGGTGGTGATAGTAAGAGTAATTTATAAATTAAAGGCTCTCAATCCGACTTACTCCTTTAAATGGAGGTTTTAATTACATTATATTACATATTTACAAATAAATATAAAAATGGAATAGTGATTATATTCCAAAAATTTTCTTAATTATATTACCAAACATAGTAATAAAATCTTAATAACATTACTTTCTATTACATTTTTCATTGCATTATATCTTCGATTACATTGCATTGTGTTACATCCAACCAAACATAGCCTTAGACCATATTTGGTATGCAGTAATCAAATATGTAATGGAATGAGAATTACATACATTATTAATTATATTATTTGGTTAAACTTTTTATTAATGTTATAATGTAATTAATTTTACATATGTATTCTTTATTACTTAAATTTATGTAATATTCAGCACATAAAAAAACGCATGTATTATCCATTACATCAAACACATCTAATATCAATTACATTAAGCCACCCCAAACAAAACTCTACCACTACCACAACTGCTCGACCACCAATACTATCACTGCTTGACCGCCATTCCACCATCCGTACCACCACCCCAACTTTCCAAGTTGCAGCATTTGCTGGTGCTCATGCCATGAGGCTCGCTGAAACTGGTATTCTTGCAGTGTAGAACTATATGATTCGTCAGAAAAAGGCATGATAATTACTTTTTTCTGTATAACAGGATTGTTAGTTATTCGTTGGAACCATCCTACCACCACAACCACTCCACCAATCGCCACCATTCCTCCATAACTATTATAGGAATGAAAAGAATAGAAAGAAGTCCTAAAATATCAAAATGCTTATAATTTTATATTGAAATTTAATTTATTCAACAAAAATATATGAAAAAAAAAAATTTAATGACTTTAAATTTCTTTTTGTTATATTACATTTTATCGGGTTACCTTATTTTAATTTTTTCGTTCAAATAAAGTAATAAATCTAAATGGTCCTTAGTTAATATAGCGAATAACTTAGTTCAAATATTTTTTTTATATTAATAATGATGTTGTTACGGTGAAGTGGTGTTTGAAGTGGTGAAGTGATGGTTGTAGCGGTGATAGAGTGGTAGTTGTAGTGGTGGTGGAGGTGAAGTGGTGGTAATGTGTTAATTCCATTATATATTTACAAATAAACAAAAAAAGAAACGGTGATTATATTTTATAAATTTTCTCAATTATTACATTATTAAATATAGTAATGAAATATTGATTATATTCCGTTTCAATTTTTCATTGCATTACATCTTTAATTACATCCACGAAATATGACTTTATATTCTGAAAATAAAAATATTTTATCGAACCAAATCAACTGTTTTAATTTGATTTTCGTACTTACTTCAATTAATTGATTTCGATCGATTTTAAAAAAAAAAAAAAGCTATTTTGGATTTTTGAACCAAACCGCGGGTTTCTTCAAAACAACCAAATAAGACAAAGTAAAAGCACATTTACCTCTTTAGAATTAACAAGTAGTTTTTAACATAAATAATAATTAAATAAAATTCTCTCGTTTATTTTCATTGAAATAATAGTAAAAAAGAATCATAATATTGACAAAACTAAAACATAATGACATTACTTTAATATTAAATAAAAATTTTACTTTATAATTAAAGTGGATCCTAAAAATTAAATAACAATTAAAATCAAGAAAAAAAAAAAGCAAAATAGAGAAAAACTTTGATAAATAAATATATAATAATTTTCACCCTAAAACCATGTACCAAACCAATAACTCAATTTTTCAAATTATACAAATTCAATTAAATCGATAATTTTTCAAGATCACAGTCTTAAATCGGTTTGGATAGTTTAAGCAGTTTTTAAAAATTCATTAATAATGTACTTAATACCTAAGAGGTTGATTAATTGAATTAATGATTTAAGATCAATTTAAAAAAAAATCAAGCGTTTAGATTTTTGATCGAATCGTGGTTCAATCAACTTTGAATTATTCTGATCTTGGCAAAAGGTCCAACCAATTTGAAAACACTAAAATCTCATGTAGTTGGGGATAACTTTATTCGAGAACTTAAACTCTTAGGAAGTGAAAAATATCATCTTTGTCATCTTGTTTGGTTCTCAAAAGTAAAGAAATTTTCGAAAGTTTAAAACTTTTCTTCTTTGACGGAAGTACGTTACACTTCAATACAAGGAAGTGTACTTCCTTAGCTCTAGAAATTAGAAAATTGATTTAATCTAAATTTTTCGCAGACAAATTGTAATTTGAAGAAGTTGTTGGCTAGACTGTTGACCGTCGAACACGTAAGGAATCTTTATCTCCAAATATAAAACTAAAAAATAAAAAGAAAGTAGGATATACCAAAAACAAATACCTGGCTGAGAAGGAAGGACTATTTTGCACATGGAAATCCAAAATAAACCAACAAATAACTAAATAAATGCTTATGCATTTATAGTTTATATTTTGTCCTAATTATAATCTAAGCAAATGGCTTCATTGTATTTGTGTCTGAATTCTTTATCTCTGCCACCTTCTTCTTCCTCTTCAGAGCTTCCCCGGAAACTAACAGAAACATGTGCTTCTTTTCCTGCTTTAAGCAGCAATCAAAGTAGCACTAGAGGACCATTAAAACCCATAGTTATTAGTGGAGACCCTCCTACTTTTGTCTCTGCTCCTGGTCGCCGAATTGTTGCTGGTTAGTTCTATTCTTTCATTTCTTGATTGTTTCTGTACTGTGCTTATGTTCTAATTTCTTTGCATTGCTACTTTATTGTTATTTTAGTGAATTTGAATGTGAGTGCCAATTACCAGTGTTTTAATTCTTTAGTTTCTCGATACGCATTGAACACAATCTGAGCGAAAGCTGAACGTTAAATGGGTTTTTCTGCAATTTCTTCCCTTCCTTTTGTCAAACGTATGTACCTAAAATGTCAAATGGATGTGTGTCAGAGATGGAGAAGTCATACAAAGTGCCAATTAGCCTTGTACAAGTCTAAATTGAATTTTTGGAATGGTTTGAGTTGAACATGTGTAACTTTTTCTCGTTTTTTTTGGCAAATTGGATTGAATGTATGTCATTCACTACTTCCTTTCTTTCTTTCTTTTTAATGTCTTTTCCTGTGATACTTATTCATAGTTGGAGATCTTCATGGAGATCTTGACCAAGCTAGACAGGCACTTGAGATAGCTGGTGTTTTGAGTTCTGATGGAGAAGACTTGTGGATTGGTGGAGAAACAGTATGCTTGTATTTCTATTTTATTGGATGAAAAAGCTTCCGAAGTACCTTTTTGTTCCCAATTTAAACTTTTTCTTTTGTTGTTGGAAAATAGGTTTTGGTTCAGCTTGGAGACATACTTGATCGAGGTGTAGATGAAATAGCCATACTGTCATTGCTGCATTCATTGGATATTCAGGCAAAAGCTCAGGGTGGAGCTGTTTTTCAGGTTTGTAATCCTGAAAATGACACAAAAATTTGTCTTAAAGGGTTTGATTGGCTACTATTCATTTTTATTGCCAAATGAAAATGAACTATTATATTCTTGTATCTGCTGAAATAGGTCAATGGGAATCATGAGACTATGAATGTAGAAGGAGATTTTAGATATGTTGATTCAGGGGCATTTGGTGAATGTACTGATTTTCTGGCATACTTGGATGACCACAAATATGACTGGGAAAATGCTTTTGTTGGTTGGATTAGTGTGGCTAAAAGCCGGAAGGATGATCAGAAACTGTCCCAAACTTATTGGGGTCCCTGGAATCTAGTGAAGGTACTGAAATTTTCTACCCCATTGACAAGAAAATCAGTGATCTTTTAGCTTCCTTCTTTTCCTTTCTGATGAGGTCACTAAAATATTAGGACAGAGGCAAAAGGGAGTCATTGCCAGATCAATATTGTTGAGACCAGGAGGCTTATTGGCATGTGAATTGGCGCGGCATCCTGTTGTACTCAGAGTCAATGACTGGATATTCTGTCATGGCGGACTTCTTCCTCACCATGGTAAACTTTAAAATTCCTTTTGTTAGTATTAGTACTGATAGAGTTGCTACCTGCTAAGATATAATGTATCCTTTTTTTTTTTTTTAATCAGAAATCCCTAATAGGGTCATTAGTACTTTTGCAGTTGCATATGGCATAGAGAGGATCAATAGGGAAGTATCTCACTGGATGAAAGGTCAGAGTGAGAGTGATGCTAGTCCAAACATTCCTTTCATTGCAACCAGAGGCTATGACAGTGTTGTTTGGAACAGATTATACTCTAGAGATATGTCAGACTTGGAAGATTATAACAGCAAACAGGTAAGTATCCATTTGAAAAGGCCTTTTATTCTTCTCTACCCTTTAATCTGGAAATCAACCAGTTCAAAAATTCCAAGCCGACATGATGCGCATGAAATTTGAAGCTTTTTTTATGTTTGGTACAAATGAATAATTTTATTTTACAACTGAATTTCACCGAAAAAAAGTTCATTTATAAGTATGAACTCTGGAATGCTAAATTTACTGGTTTATCAAGCTATTCAAACTAAAATCTTCTGCTTAATTACCAGATACTTTCTATTCTAGACGAGACGTTGCAAGCAGTTGGAGCTAAAGCAATGGTTGTGGGGCATACTCCTCAAACATCTGGGGTAAATTGGTACTTATCCTTGACCTCTGATACCAAAATTCCAATTTTCATTTTAGCACTACATTTCTTTTCTATATACAGTTTCATGTTCATTGTGTTTCCTGCAGTGAATATAACTGTAGCGTTTGGCGCATTGATGTTGGAATGTCTAGTGGAGTACTTCATTCAAGACCAGAGGTAATCTGAAATTGGACTAGCATATAGTTCTGTTACTATAGCTGGATAAAAAAAATTAAGAAAAGCAATATACATGTCTGTCCACATGGGTGCCTTCACGTGTTACATCTGAGGATTTTTCTCAAACTTGTGTAGCACTTTAATTTTTTGGTTTGATCCATAAGAGTATAACTTTTAATGTACCAACAAAATCAATTTTGTTATTTGAAAAAATAAACTTCGAACAAGATTTTTCTTTTTGAATTTAGGCATTCATTTCCATTCCTGTTCCATTTTCAAGATGAACCAAACATGCTGTTAATGTATGGTAAAAACAAAAACACATAGGAAGTAACATATAGTAATTCTATTAATTTGATTTCTATTGTTCAGGTTCTTGAAATACAAGGTGATAAAGCAAGAGTAATAAGGAGCAGAAGGGATACATTTCATGAACTTCAGGTTGCTGACTATACATAAAGAAAAGTTTAGAAATGAACTAACCAGGTAATAGGTCTGCATTGAGTTGCAACTGCAGAATCTTTTCAGACACATAAATATTGACAATTAGTATTTCATTTCAACAAATAAAAAGAATATGCATTGGTCTAGTTTTGATACTTAGTTTCCAAACTTGTTTTGAGTGATTGTAGTGGTTCCATTTTCATTTTATGTTTTAACAGGAAGAAAAGAAAATCCTCGTTCCTTGGATTTTGTCATGCGGCATACTCTCGAATTCTTTATTTTGGTCAAGAGGAGACAACCCTTCATTATTTGTTGCTGGATATAGCGAAGTACATAATTGAATGTGGATAGTTGTCAGTCAGTCATCAGTGGCTGGAATTGTAACTCTCTCTTGTATTAGCAAATATTTGCAGCTTTAATAATACTAAAGCTCAGCTCAGTGCAGATTTCTTGGTTCCTTCCGAGTCGTGAGTCTTGACACTTCCGTATATAGACTTGTTGCCCGAGATGAAGTGATAAGATTTGCTATTTATGTTGGCGGAATGGATTATGTGTTTGTAAATGCTAAGATCAAACAGTACAAAAGTGTCAACTTATTCTGATTGGATTATTCTCTGAGAAATTGTAATTAAAGCGATTTCATCATATATGAATAAATGGAGAAATGGAAGAAGGAAAAAAAAAAAAAAAAAAGTAGGGACCGCTAAGAGGTCAATTACGGAGTACGAGAATGAGAAGGTGTCAACTTAATTCTGATTGGGATTATTCTCTGAGAAAAATTCGTAATTAAAGCGATTTCATCATATATGAGATAAATGGAGAAATGGAAGAAGGTGAAAAAAAAAGAAAAAAAAAAGGTAAGGGACGTGGTGTCGAGAATCTGTGTTCGTTTTACAGTTCAACTGTGCAGAAAAGGTTTGGAAATTTAGAAGAGTTTATCATTGAGCGAAAAATCGGAACTCAATGGACTTAAAAGCATATGAGGTGCGTGAGCTACATAGATTTAAGTAGTTTGATTTGTTTAAAGATGCTGAAATAGAAATAATGTACAAAATTATCAATTCTAAGAAAAGAATTCCAATGAAATAAATACTATGCTTCGTTCATAATACTTTGTTCACATTTGAATATTTACTGTTTCTTAAGAAGATCATTAAATGTGTTTATAAGTTTTATACATGTAATTATCGCGAGTAGAAATTGACTATATTAATTAATTTAATATTAATGTCTCGCAAAAAAATCATTAAATTGAAGTAATAATTATTAGTCATAAAAAAAAAAAAAAAAAAAGTAGGGACGTGGTGTCGAAATCTGTGTTCGTTTTTACAGTTCACTGTGCAAAAGGTTTGATTTGAGAGAGTTTACATTGCGAAAAATCGAACTCATGACTTAAGCATATGAGGTGGTGAGCTACATAATTTAAGTAGTTGTTTGTTGATGCTAAATAGAAATAATGTATCAAAATTATCATTCTAAGAAAAAATTCCAATGAATAATACTATCTTCGTTCCATAATACTTGTCACATTTGAAATTTTACTGTTTCTTAAGAAGATCATTAAATGTGTTTAAGTTACAGTAAATTATCGAGTAAATTGACTATATTATTTAATTTAATATTAATTCTCCAAAAAAATCATTAAATTGAAGTAATAATTATTAGTCATATATAAAGATTAAACATGGAAAAAAACATTAATTCTTCTTAAAACCACAAAGTTTGACAAATATTTTGGAATAAGTTATTTTCTTAAATGTAACAAATTGTAAAAAAAAAAAAAAAAATGGTTGCTTTAAATATCTGTGATAGAAAGATGTTAGAGCAATTCTTTTTATTTTTGTAAATTTTTGATTAAATGAAGGATACTAAAATATAATAATTTTTATTTTTATACAGTTGAAGCTCATCAAATTATTTTAAAAATAATTTGTATTTTTTTCATTAAAGAAATTATAATCACTGTACCATTACAGGACAGGACCGCTCGCTAGTAGCTACAGTTGGCCGGTTTCCTCGGTTTTCAAGCCACTTCCAACGTCTCTCTTTGTAAACTCCGCTAACCTACTCACTACCCATCTCCTTCTTCTTCTTCTTCTTCTATCAAATCGTATGCGCATTCTTCTTCACCGCCCTCTCACTATCCCACATTCATTCTCTCTTTCGTCATCTACCATGGCTTGTTCTCTCGCTCTCCCTTCGTTTTCTCTCAAAAGTCTCTCTTTCACCGGCTCCAATGCAAATGGAATTCGAAACTTTGGCATGAAAAATCCAGGTCGATCTAGGGTTTTTATGAGTGTATCTGTTGGATCTCAAACCGTTGGCGTTGTTGATGATTCCTTGTTCGCCGATTACAAGCCTACCCTTGCTTTTCTGTTTCCCGGTCAGGTCAGTACTTCTAAATTGCCATTTCAATGTTAATTGCTACTCAGTCTTGCTTATTATTATTTCTTTCTCTAAAAAATTAATAAAATTGAACTAATGAATGAATACAATTTCTCTTTTTCTTTAGAAACTTAACTATTTATGTGTTACCAGTTGAAGATTCTTGATATATTGAATAGCTTCTCAAATTGTAGTGCATTGATAGAAATATTTTCTTGTCTTGTAATTTAGAATTGAAAGGATGAGGTTCTTGCTCTTGCAGCTAGATTGCTATTGGTATTGGCCCTGAGAGAGTTATTTGAATAATAGCTCTTTTTATTGAGGTTTCTTAGAAATTAAACTCTCAAACAATTGAAAATAGTAGAAATCTGCTTTATGTGTTGAATGATCTACCTTGTGTGTGAATCTAATTGAATCATTTTAATCATGCCTTTCTTTTTATTGCATAATATACTTGTTCAACATTTTTTTTCTCTCCTCTCAATACGTTTTAGGGTGCACAAGCTGTTGGAATGGGAAAGGAAGCTCAGAGTGTGCCGGCCGCAGCAGACTTATACAAGAAAGCAAATGATATATTAGGGTAGTGCTTTTTATTTATCCTTTAAGACACATTGATATATAATTTTGATCTTGCGTTAAAATTCAACTACATCTCAGCTTAAAACCTAGTCCTTTCTTGTTAAGTAGTCTTTGTTGGTGATATTAATGCAGCTGTAGCATGCAGGTATGATCTTCTAGAGATCTGCACTAGTGGTCCAAAAGAGAAGCTGGATTCAACTGTGATAAGCCAGGTACTCTTGGTCCAGCTCTGCCTAATTCTTAATGGTTTGGCAATAACCTTTTGCTGTTTACACCATGAGATGGAGACAAGCTGATGTTGCACCATATTAAGTTTCTGAAAAGGCTGAAGTGCTAGTATAAATGCCAAAATTTTCTAAATATGAAGTGTCCTCTGTGATTCATCTGCCAAATTACTAATTAGCTTGAGCACTTGAATTGATCTTTGAAACTAGCTTAAACATGATGCATTGTATCACCTCCCCTTCAATCTACATTGTATGGAATCTTTAGCTGATTGATTTTAAGGCTGCACCTTGGATTTCTTTATTTTATTACTTTTTCATATATAATTGGTGCATTATTATCTATTTTTATTATAAAATTATGCCTTGTTATTAGAGAATAATGTATCCAATTGATAATTATAGTCAGCATCTAATCTTGCATCTTTGCAGCCTGCTATTTATGTAACGAGTTTAGCTGCAGTTGAGGTGCTCCGAGCCCGTGATGGAGGCCAGCAGATAATTGATTCTGTTGATGTCTCATGTGGTCTCAGCTTGGGAGAATATACTGCTCTAGCATTTGCTGAAGCTTTCAGGTGAGCTTCATCTGGCTTAATGAAACACTTACTAGGTTCACATGTTTGACTAATTGGTTCAGTAAATTGAATCAACACTGAACATATATAACCTTTCCAAAATTAGTTTATAAGCTTCTTACCTTGTCCTTTGGGTCCATTACCTCGTATATTCTGTCAAGATAATGTTGATTACCTTATTTTAGATATTATTGGCTTGCATTTAATGATTTAAATGCTGCCTTTCTATGTTTCAGTTTTTGGTAATTCTGATCTTAATGAAATATTGAGTTGGTTCATTGCACTTTAGAGTAGAAGTTAAACATGCCTTGGGACATATATGACCCAATACTTCCTCTCCTTTTTTCTCTTTTTCTTATTATTATTTTTTACTATTGTAAGCTTTGAGGATGGACTCAAGCTGGTCAAACTGAGAGGTGAAGCAATGCAGGTAAGCATCAATAGGTCGTTGGCAGATGGCTAATTGATATATTCAACTTCATCACATTGAACACTTACTGAGATCCCTTAATAAACTTTCTATGCAATTGCCTTCAGGAAGCTGCTGATGCTGCAAAAAGTGCCATGGTTAGTGTCATAGGACTGGACTCTGACAAAGTGCAACAGTTGTGTGATGCAGCCAATCAAGAAGTTGATGAAGCTAATAAAGTTCAGATTGCAAATTATCTCTGTCCTGTATGTTTTCTACCCAGATCTTTGCATCCGGTCCTTTTGTGGTTTCATATGCACTTGCAGCTGAATAAAGCTTTACTTTGGCAGGGGAATTATGCTGTATCTGGGGGTGTGAAAGGAGTGGAAGTTGTAGAAGCGAAAGCAAAGTCATTTAAAGCTCGAATGACGGTGATTCTCTCCCTAATTCATAGTTTTCTATCCCGCCATGATTGTACTCGAAATAACAATAGAGTCCACTAATCTTAGGTACGCCTAGCTGTTGCTGGTGCTTTCCATACAAGTTTCATGGAACCTGCTGTCTCAAGATTGGAAGCTGCATTGGCAGCAACAGCAATTAAATCTCCTAGAATACCAGTTATATCCAATGTTGACGCTCAGCCACATGCTGATCCTGCCACAATCAAGAAGATATTGGCACGCCAGGTAAACTATGGAAAACTTGTTTCTCCATATTAAATCCAGAAATAGCAATCGAATTCTAAACTTAAAAATTGCAGGTGACTTCTCCTGTTCAATGGGAAACAACAGTGAAGACTCTCCTAACCAAAGGGCTGAAGAAAAGTTATGAATTAGGACCTGGGAAGGTACCATTTTTCCTCACTAGTTGAATTAGAGAATCAAAAGCAATAGTTTCACCATATTGTACATTCTAAATTCTTGAGACTTCATGATTTCAAGTTCCTTTGGAATAATTTTTTCAGGTTATTGCTGGCATTGTCAAGAGAATGGACAGGGGTGCTGAAATTGAGAACATAGGCGCTTGAAAGGGTAAATTAGACCATTTGGTGTACATGGTTTTGTTCAATCGAGGAAAGGAAGAAAGAAAGCTTAGATTTTATAGCAAAAACTAGTTAAATAGTGTGCGATTCGTCTGAGGATATTTTTTTTTTTCAACTTCAATTTTGAATTGAGATTAGCGTCATGTACTAGAGATTTCGTATTTATGTTGTGAAATAATACTAATAAATTAGTTTATTCAATATTTTCACATGTATAATGATATGATAATATAAAATTCATATATCAAAATAATAAGTAAAGAAAACATTAAAAATCATCTGCATTTCAAAAATTCAAGAAAAAACAAGCATGTTCCATTCAAGAATTAATTAAAATAGAAATATAACAAATATTATTATTGAACAGAAGTCGGAGGTCTTGGAGGTTGCCTTAATCGCCGAAGCTGATTGATCCACTGATCCTCAGGAACCCGGCCCACCCAATCAGGAGCGGATCCCCCGAATGAAATCCCACGCATTCCCTCCCTTACCCGCGTCGCATTCTCCGCCGTCAACGGTGCATTCCTTCTATTCTCATCCTCTCTAAAAGCTCTCAATATAGCCGAATCAGACGCCTCTCTAATTCTTTCTTCCTCCTCCTCTTCCTCACCGTCGCTGCTGCTCTTCTGCTCCACGTCGCCGTTTAGATGAAGAGATGAGATTCCGTTCTCTGCTTCTCCCCTAGAATAGCTATAGTGTTCTTCATCGGAGTTAACTTGATCGAAATCATCACCATCGTTGTTATCGACAGCTGAGATTGGTTGGTAGTGTTGAAGCGCTACATCGTGATTCGCGTCAGAATCGCTTTCGCTGTTGTTGTCTTCTGCAAGAATACACATCGGTATATGATAGATCGACAAAGTTGAATCGAATTGAAGGATAATTTATATATAAAAAAAATAAATAAATAAATAACTAAATTCACCTTCAATGGTGTTAGAGAAGGGCGAGGCGTTCATTGCTGGAGATTTCGAGAGAGGGACGAGGGAGTGACGAATATGATTTTATGAGTAGCTCTGTGATCCTACCCAACACAATTTGAACCGTTCAAAAAAAAAATAATCACTATGCACCAGCCGGGAATCGAACCCGGGTCTGTACCGTGGCAGGGTACTATTCTACCACTAGACCACTGGTGCTTTATCTCTTCTGTTAATAGCAATTGTAAGACATTAACCAAGCTGTTCCAACACCCACATGGCAACAAAAAGGTTAACTATAAATTTGGTGTCCAAAATTTTGAAAAATATTCTATTTTAATGTCTTACTTTGCGATCAAGTATTTGAATCTGTGTAGCTTGGTCACATGGCACGCTGGAATTTCATTTAAAATTTGTAGTATTATGCTATGTTAGATAAATCGCTAACGTGTCAAGCGGTGACATGGCAATCTCAGTGGACATTAACCGAAAATTTACTAATTTATCCTTCTCATTTTGTTGGCGATGGATCCCTCTTCATGCATCCTCTCAGTCCGACATCAATGAGATCGAGAACCTAATAAATGCCAGCATTCTATTTGGCCCAGCAACAGTTCTCCCGACACGCCTACATAATATCACAAATCTTAAATGGAATTCTAGCATGCCATGTAAGCAGACGGCACTTAATTGAAAATTTTTAATCGGTTTAAATACTTTATTGCAAATATTTCCTTTAAAACATCAAAATAGAATATTTTATAAAATTCAGACACCAAATTTATAATTGACCCTCAACTAAGTGATACTCCCATAGCATTTGAGGTTATGAATTTTTAGTTTATTGGAGGTAGCATGAGATCCGTGGTAGGGAAAAAAAATCACCCGTATGATCGAGTATCCCACCAATAAGAATTTACCTCTTATTTTTGTGTGTGCTTTCTAAGGAGCACGCATGCAAAAATAAAGTTTGAACTTGATGCAAATGGCCAAAATATCTTTGGCTTTATACGATTATCAATCAACTAAAACGTTTTTTCAGTTATCAATCCTTCCGTCTCCTATAACTGTGGGTTTGACAGCTAGTTCTAGTAGGTTTAGGAATATTATTGGAAATGAAATTCGGTCAGATCAATCAATTTATAAAATGGATAAGAAAACTAACAGCCACTTAACTGTAAAATTTACAGTTGAACCTTATAATATAAAATTAAGTATTGAACTATAGTAGTGTAATTTACCAAAATCGAAGGACTAATATAGTAATTATATATTCGTATCTAGAGCAATAATTTGAGGTGCACACAGGGGAAGAAGAGGGCCAAATTCAGGAAAGAAATGAGTGACACGTGGAATTATGACAGTCATGTCCTGATGTACCACTAGGCTTGGCCACGGTTCCGGTTCAGAAAAACTGGAATCGGAACTGAACCGAAAAGGTCCGGTTCCAGTTCTGATCCGGTTACAAAACCGACGGTTCCGATCAGTTTTTCAGCGAATCGCATAATTTTAAATTTTAAATTTTGAAGACCGATTTTAAAAAATATATATATTTGAACATAAGAAATTAAAAGATACACCTAAAAAATTAAAAAATACTTCAATTAAATTCATTTTTTTTAAAGACTTGAACATAATTATTTTTTTTAAAAAAAATTATTCAGGAAAGAAAGATGAGTGACAGTGAATTATTGACAGCTCATGTGCCTGATGTATGGCAACATAGGCTTGGCACAGCGGGTTCCGGTTTCAGAAAAACTGGAACAATCCCGGAGAACTGAACCGCAAAAAGGGTCCGGTTCCAGTTCTGATACCCGGATTACAAACACGATCGTTCCGATCAGTTATCAGCGAATTCGGCATAAGTTTAAATTTTAATTTTGAAGAGCCAAATGTTTTGAAAAAAATATATATAGGTTTGAACATAAGAATTAAAGATAGCACCTATAAAAATTAAGAAAATACTTCAATTAAATTCAATTTTTTTTAAAGAGCTGAACATGAAATTAATTTTCTTTTAAAAAAATTTTCAAACTGAATTGTAATTTTTTATTTAAAAAAGTTTTGAAACAGTAATGTTTAAATTTTGAAACGCGCGGTTTAAAAAAATATATATTGTGGAACATAAATAAATTAAAAAGATAGGGGCGCAAACCTAAAAAATTAAAAAATACTTCAATTAAAATTTTTTTTTTAAAAGACTTGAACATAATTAAGGAGATTTCACAATAAACATTAAGGAAAAAAAAAAAAAAACCTACAGTTGTGGCTAGAACGCCGTTTCAAACCGGTTTTTCCGAAACCCGGCGGGGTGTTAACCAGCCAACCGCCGGTTCAAACCGGTTCGAACCGGCGGTTCTAACCAGCCGGAGAACCGGCGGTTCCAGTCCGGTTCCGACGGGTTCTCTGGACCGCCGGTTCCAGTTTCAGAAAATTTGGAACCGGAACCGAACCGGAATTCTCCGGTTCCGGTTACGGTTCCGGACAGGTTCGAACCGACGGCTCCGGACCTTCCCGGAACCGTCGTATGGCCATCTCTATGTACCACTCACATACTGCAGGTGCCATGTAAGTTTTGGATTTGGCCTAGAAAGTAGAAACAAACGCATCTACGTTTGCTTCTTTTTTAGGCTACAGCTTCCCCATTGAATCCGCATGTTGCACTAGCAGCAGTACCCTACACTACAAACCCTTTTTCTAATACTATAAGCTATATATGATTGATTGCTAATTTATCAGATTTCATTTTTGGGTCTTCTTTTATGCAAGATTGATTTCTAAAAATAAATATAAAAAAATCAAAATCTAATTCTGACTGTACATCTTTCCGCGTTGAAATAGTAAGAGAAAATACCCAGAATTTGCTTCGTGATGAACTGAATAAAATTAATAGATAAAAGAGCATTCAGACTTGGGAAATGAGAGATGAGAAAGTCAGTAGACGGAGAACTGAAAAGTGAAAAAGAAAACTAATTGAAGATAGGAGCCTATCTGAGTCAGACAAAAGCAAAATAGATGTCTCGTTGTTCAAAGCTCAATTCTAACTAACTAGCTCATTCTCTTATAATAACTAATTTCAATCAATTTAATTTTTAAAAAATAGATTTATCGACCGACTAAAATATCTTTATATTTTACTGTTCGAAAGAAAAAAATTTATCTTTGGATTAAAAAAAAGTTATTTTCAAATATATAATAATTTAATATTATTACATAAACAAATTTTCAAAATTTACTAGCAAGGTTTAGAGTTCTAAATTAGAGTTGTAATTGTTAGGAGAGTTTTAGTGGTAAAAAATTATACCAAAATATAAAAAATTAAGTGTACAAAATAATTACATATTTTTTTATAAAAAAAATGTTCGTACCATATAAAATATGAGAAGTAATAAACTTATGATGGTTGGTTTGACGAATGTGTTGGGAAAGTGAAGGGCATTTTGTGGAATACAGTCCCCACAGAAAGTTAGTTTATTTAAAACTCAATATATATATACATCTTCCTATGTTTAAGACAATGAATAATTGGTGTATATGTATAATTTTCTAGGTTATTTCATATTTTTTTCAATTTCAATATGAAACCAATCGCGTTTGAAATATGTGGTTATCCTTTTTTATAAATATATTTTTATAAATCGAACTCTAAACTCTACAGATATCACTACTAAATTTAAGTATACCTTACCACTTCAATAGCTTGAGCACTTTTTATATAATGAAAATGCTTAAGTAACTGCACACTAAGGCATTCGAATCTCCCTCCCTAATGCTAAAAAAAAAAAAAAAATACTTAAGGAAGACCAAAAAATTTTGAGGTCCCTAAAGTCCCGGGGTTTGGCCTAATATTAAAGGGTATTTTAGTCTTTTTTTTTTATTGACTTAACGATAAAAAGGGCATTTTTTGGACGGATGGATTATATTGTTTCATGGAGGTAAAATTCAGGGACAAACAAATTAGTTCTTAAAAATGTAAGAACGAACCAGCAACTTTTTTTGTCAATCCAATACTTGTGTTCCAAACACTTAAAAAGAAAAATAATCCATGGCTTGGGAAAATTTAAAATTTTTAGTTTTATGATAAAATATATTTCCTTAATAGCACGCAAAAAATAGTTCATATTATATTAATTTGAAAATTTGCAAATTAATTATTCAATTTATTATTTTAGTTGAAAGTCAACAACTTAAAAATTAATAAAAATTACTATATTCAAAGTCAAAATAAATTCAAGATTTAAGTGTGTGTGATTTGTATTTACATTAGTAGAAAGTAAAATTGTATATATGAAAAATGCCAATAAAAATAACATAAACATCCCTACTTTAAAAGTAAGAGAAGTCTTTTTTTTTTTTTTTTATAAACACCCTACTTTATAAAAGTAAGAAGAAGTCCTTTTTTTTTTTTTTTTGGCAAGTAGTAAACAATAACTATTTATTTTAAGAAAATGCAACTTTCTTAAAAAAAAAGAACTTCCTTTCTTCCAAATAAAGTTCAACATTTTTTGCCTTTTTTTTTTTTTTTTTGGCAAAGTAGTAAACAATAACTATTTAATTAAGAAAATGCAACTTTCTTAAAAAAAAAGAACTTCCTTTCTTCAAATAAAGTTCAACATTTTGCTTCTAGAAATTCAAAAATTTAATAGAAATCAACATGCTGAGTGTATGAAAATAGCTCTTTTCTTCTTTCATTGACCTTCTCCGTGGACTCTCATTATTGATTACCACATTTTCTTCCAATTCAGTATATTTTTCTTTTACCTTTGTGTGTTTCTTTTTCAAATAATTCTATATTTGTGTCTTTTGATATAAATTTGAGTTATTATTGCCCATATATTAGAATTATTGTTGCCTACGTTTTGTGATTTTGCTCTTGGATATAGTTGTTTTAATAGTTTCTAAGTTCATTGTTGTCAGTATTTTGGTGACTTTCTTTATGGTACTTTGTTATTTGGCATTTATGCAAAAAAGATGTCTGAATTTCTTTTCTAACAAAAAGAAAAAATTTGAAAGTGGTCAGATTAAACTTATACTATGGAATGAAATAATGACAACAAATAGCCACCGAGTGGAGCAAACGACTGCCTATGATACATGTATTATACTTTGTTAATTCGATGGAAACTTCAAATGAATATTGTGTTTTCTTATTCTTTGTATAAATGGTTTATTATTAGACTACCTATAAAAAAAATATAAAAAATTTTTTATCTATATTTCATTTATGTATACCATTTATTATTATTATTATTATTATTAAATCCAATGGTCAAAGACAAATCTGAAAGAATAAAGGATACCTATCCGGCAAAGCTGCAATAGTGGAAAAAATAAAGGGCTAAACACCGATTTGGAATATGAGGACATCTAGAGTCCATGACCGTGTCCCAAGCGTGTGACAGAAAATGAACCACAACAATTACAAAGTAACAAAATTATAACTAAAAAATATTATTAGCCCTAATAATAATATATCTGAACAACCAATAATATAGAAAATCAATCTTATTTTGGTAGCTTAATTCATGATTGTAAATTGCTATCCGGAGGATTTACTTCATTGTCTTGTTCATTTGTTAAAAAATCAGCAAATCAGTTTGTTCATAAATTAGTTTAAATTATGAATTATTGATTCTATGACTGATTTAATAGAGTGGTTTCTAGATTCGTAAGACTCCTATTGCTATTGATTTTAAAGTTATTTTTTCAAAAGTTGGTTGGTCTATTTGATAAGTAATGAATTTAAAAATTTTAAATTGTTTAGTGAAATGTTAAAAATTGATCACCATTTGATCTTTGTTTTTTTAGTAGATATTGTAAATTTTACCAAATGTTAGGACTCTGCATAATTTAATTACCAAAAAACAAATATAAAAGAAAAGAATGGTCGCTCCAACCAATCTACTAATCCTTTCATATTAAAAGTTTTTCCCAATCAAAAAATTTATTTTTCAAAATAAGTAAAACAAATTCAAAAACAAAAATGTTATTTGGCAAGTAGTTTCTTTAGTATATTAAGATTTTTTTTTTCTTTTTAAGCATACATATGCACATGATTTTATAAGTGAGTAATTGATTTTTGTTAATCAAAGTGAATTCACTTCCCAACATTATCCGAGTAAAAAAATTTTCAAAATTGTTATAAATCTTTTATCTAAAGAAATATCGGATTGGTGAGCCTGTTTCTACGTTTAAACAGAATGATGTTTAGATAAAATTTTCTCAAGTAATTATAAATTTTCAGAGAATTGAATCCAGCTCCAACAGTAGAAACCATAAATTTGCCAAATGTTAGAGGCTCTATATAGTTGAATGAATTAAATAATAATAATATGAAAAGAACCGTCCCTCCACTCAATCAACTCGTTTATTCATATTAAAATAGAACAGAAGTGCTTCTTCTTCTTATAAATACTCCCACCCTCTTCTTTCCATCCCCACCAATATGAGAGGGAGAGAGAGAGAGAGAGAGAGAGAGAGGTTGCAGAGACACTATAAGTTTAAAATCATGATCTGATAGTACTCTCAACTGTCTACATATAGTATGGATGACTCTGTTAAGCTCAGGAGGGATAGCGCCACCAATGATTAGTGATAATTATTATTTGTTTGTGAGTTAATCTCACCAAAAAAAAAAAAATTCTAATCATTAATCTGTGGCGCTATCCATCGTGAGTTTCACAGGTTCTTCCTACTTTCTTTATTTTCCTGGTGCAGTTTCAGCTTCAAAGATCTAGTTCACTTCTGGTTGTGTTCCTATTTCGTTTCCACACACACGCACACACACACACACACACATATATATATATATGTCTTAAAGTTCTTTTTGATCAGAAAACCTAACCTGGAAATATATTGTTTGTTTTCAGGTTCACATATATAGATTCTTGAATCTTGAAGCTTGAATTTTGAATTATGCCTTCTATGCCTTTGGGTTTCAGGTACATATATTGATTATTGAATCTTGAATTAAGCCTTTATTTCTTGTTTATCTATTAATTAATTCTTAGTTTTCTTTCATCAGTAGAAGAGTAATTAATCAAAGTAAGATCAACTAAATTATATTGTCTTTCTTCCCTTTTTTTTCTTTTTTAAATTTTAACTGAAATTCAATATAATACAATTAAATATTTAATTTTTTTTAACCAAATAACATGCAATTACTCTACTTATTTATTTATTAATTTATTTATTTTTCTGTTCCTTACTGGCTCCTAGCTAGATTCCTGATACTGGTCTACGGCTGTATTTTTTCTGCTTTCTAGGTTACATCCAGAGCATGCCTTGGATAGGCAAAACCTGGTAACTTCTAATTTGGTTTTCTTGTACTTTTATTTATTCACTTTTCTTTTATTTTTCCACAACCCTTTTTGTTATATTAACAAAGGTACGTAATTTTGTTGAATTACGTGCATAATTTTGGTTTAGCTAGGTTTAATCTTAACCCCTTCGGATCTCTCTTTTCTGCTCTTTCATGATACCCAAGGTTTTGTGTAGTTTTCTTCAAGGTTTAGCTCATCCTCTGTAACTTTAAAAAAGAAAACACTTACAAGTACTCGTTAATTAGAGATTTTTATAGGATTATTATCGCAAGATCATTGATCTGTAGACCTTCTCCATGTATTTCAAACAAGGGTTTGTTCTTATATATAAAGATTAGCAATTAATCCACCTGGGACTGGGTTTATCTTTTTGGTTCTTGATATGAGTTCTCTGCAGTCTTCTGCAACTCGACCATCAACATCAAGAAAGGCCAAAGGGGCAGTAACTTTATAACTTTTCTTTTCAAAAGTAGAGTTTGCTTTTCTTCAGTTTTTGGTTGTTTTAGTTTTAATGGCTGATGGAAATTTAAGTCTGAAACTGTCTGAAAACCCTAAGCTAGTCTCTCTTCTGTGTACGTGATTTATGGTTAGGGTTTTTCCTTTCCTTTATTTTATGTTCTGACTTGAATTGCAGGCTATGGGGTTAGTTACTGTGGATGTTGACTCCTTCCCAACTTTGATCGGTCGCTTTCTTTTTTAATTATTTCTTTAAGTTTTTCTTTTATCATATGATTTGATTTGTGTCCATCATCATTATCTTCTTATTATATAGTAAAATTAATTGGATTAATTATTATTTTGTTTCTGATTTTTTTACCTAGTTCATCGTTTTGCGTTTTTATTCTTAATCTCCAATTTCTTTTTTTACTTTTATCAAAATAATTAAATATAAGTAAATCATAATTTAATGATAAGTGTATATATAATCTGTCTATATATCATATTTAAATTCGAATTCTCATTTCTCTAATGCTGAAAACAAAATAATTGAACAATTCCTTTTACTTATCAAGAAACAAATTAATTAAACAATAAATAGAACAAACTATTGGATATTTATAAATTCAATTATCAAAATAAAATTTATGAATCCAATTTTTTTATTAATATGTTTACCGCGTATTAAGAAATATTTATAATTTAATTAAAAAATAAATTTTTTTTTCTTAAATTAGTAAAAATAAATAAAAATTAATAATCAATTTATAGAAATTTATTTTTGTACTCTGTGTTTTTCCATGATGCATTTTCTTATGGGTAATGATAGTGATTTTGACCTGTAGGAGGGATAATAATTTTCTTAAAAATGTTTTGGTATAATGTAGTTATCCAAATTTCTGTGCAGATGCAATATAGATCATTTGGTTGGCCACTAGAGCAAAAATGTAAAGTTAGATTTGCTTATTTTAAGAATTTTGGTCCATCTTTAGGGTACAAAGTGTGTCTTATGTTTGGGGACAAAGGAAACAACTTATACCTTCAATAGATCACAGGATATTGGACAATGTGCTTCAACAGCATCACCCACTTCTCTTCTCTTATAAAATTTGAGATAAAAAATTTTATTCCATACTTAATTTTTTGTTCATATATTAAATATTTTAATTTATAAAATTATATTATTAAATATTTTAATTATAAAAATTATTTTATTAAATACTTAAGCTTGTAAAATTGGATTAATTAAATATTTATTAAATAATTGATAAATATGAAAATTTTTGTTCTACAAAATATACTAGCCATGCATTAAGTCAAAAGAAAGACTACTTATTGTATAGTATATAATATTGTTCGAGTTTTCTAAGTCTTCCAATAAATAAATAAAAAGACAAAATAATTAATATTATTTTGATAAAAGTTACGAGAGCATTATTACGTTTAGTGTTTCATAACAGTTATGGATAATTTTTTGATACTTACACCCATTATTTTTCTTGCAAATTAATAAGCTTTATTTATAATATGAAATCATTCTCTTTATTTTTTTATCACTTTAAATTTAATACCTAATTAAATGGTTATATAAACGACTAACCGCCGCTAAAACTCTTAGTATTGCACCCTTAATAAAATATATTTATTAAGTGAAATCATTCTCTTTATTTTTTTTATCCACTTATTTTAATTACCTAATTTAAAAATGGTTATATAACGGACTTAACCGCCGCTAAAACTCTTAGTATTGCACCCCTTTAATAAAAATATAATTTATTAAGTAATAATATAATATATATATATAATATATATATATATTTTTTTTTTTTTTAAAATTTTCGGAAGGCTTTTTAATATTTTTTTTTTTTTTTTAAAATTTATCGGAGGCTTTTATGGGCCAAAATAATACTGCGGACTACACAACAGGGGTAGCTCCTCCCCTTACTCACCAAATTAGTGAAAACAACTGTAATTAGGTCGGAAAGATTCGAACTCGAGACCTCTAACTCTTCGTATAAGTGAGAAAATTAACCAGATCACTGTCTGACAAATAGTAATAATTATGTCTTCCCATATATATATCCGTATAAATTTGCTGCCATTGATGGAATGGAGAAGTTGAATTGGAGGTGCAAATCCACATGCATGCTTAACTTAATTAACAAACAAAAATGGAGAAGTTGACCACAAAAACGTGGTCAACCGCCAAGACTATGCTAAGTACCCAAAATTCACTCACGTCCACAATATCAACGAGTTTTTCTCCCTCCTTGGGTGTGTGTTGTGTGTCTGTCTCTATTTTTTTTTTGCATGGTTTTCTTTTCTGTACTTGTCATGGTTAGGGCTTTCCCAGTTTATCATTCGCTTATTCGAGATGAATTGCACCATAACATGGATGTTAAGTCTAATCCTTCCGTGGAATTCGACCCTGTTATTCCCCAAATTACAGTAATATGTGAAAAGATCCATGCTCCTCATCCCTTAGGTGTTTTTTATGGCGAGAACCCTTTGGATTACTCCTTCAGCCTGGTTTTGCTTGAGATTATTTTGATTATTCTCATTTCTAGGTTGATTCGTATTCTTCTCAAGCCTCTCAAGCAACCCAGAATTGTTTCTGACATCATTGTGAGTTCCTTTTTCTAACTTCGTTCTTTGATTTTGATCCTGTTCCAAGTTATTATTATTGTTATTATTTTTTTTTTCTTCCATGATTATTCATATAACCTTTTGGATATGAGACTAAAAAGTGATTTGCGTTATCAATTTTATTATGATAATATTTGTGTATATAATGGTTGATTCTATTTGCTAAAGTTATGTCATGATTTGAAGGGTGGAATGTTCATTGGACCTTCCGTTCTTGGATGCAACAAGAAGTTTACTGCTAGCGTATTACCAGATAATGCTCAATTTTTGCTGAGAAATGTTGGAGTAATGGGTTTTATGTTTTTCCTTTTCTTGGCTGGAGTGAAAATGGATCTGGGTTTAATTAAAAAATCAGGAAAGAAACATTTATGGACTGCCTTAGTTGGGGTCTTCTTTCCTTTTTTATCAGTGGGTGTAGTTGGAGCCATTTGTCGAT